CAAAAAATTAAACATATACATATATAAAACTTTTTTTTTTTTTAAATATTATTACGCTTAGATATCAATCTTAGTATGCTTCAGTGCGATATGAGTATTCAGTGTGGACTTGCGCTTCGCCTTGTAAGGGCAGAACTGGCAGAATAAATTCGGCTCTTTGCCACATTCCACCTTCAAGTGGGCCGTAAGATGGCATTTCTGCTTGTAGCTCCTGGGGCATTGCGGACACTGGTACCTTCCTGGAAAAATAAACAGTTGGATAATTAAAAACCCACTCTTGTCTGTAAAAGAAAAAGAAAAAAGGATTTACAACAAACAAACACTTGTTGCATAATTTTTTAATTTTTAATCTATCATTGACAAATTAAATTTTTCATGTTCGTCGCCGAGTTAATGTTAATAATTATTACTTTAAATTAAAAAATTACATTAAAGTTTTTTTTAAATTATGCCTAGATATTAATCTTAGAATGCTTCAGTGCGATGTGAGTATTCAATGTGGACTTGCGCTTCGTCTTGTAAGGGCAAAATTGGCAGGATATCTTTGGCTCTTTGCCACATTCAAATTTCACATGGGCCGTAAGATGGCATTTCCGTTTGTAACTCCTGGGACATTGTGGACACTGGAACCTGCCTGGAACAAACGTTAGGATCATTAAAACCCCAGCTTCTGCAAAAGAAAAAAAAAACAAGCAAACGCTTTGTTACTGTACCATTTTTTTATCTGTTTATCATCAAAAAATTAAATTTTACATGTTCCTTGTCCAGTTAATATTTATAATTAATAGTTCAAATTAAAAAAAAAAAAAAAATTATACGAAACTTTTTTAAAATTATTACGCTTAGATATCGATTTTAGTATGCTTCAGTGCGATGTGAGTATTCAGGGAGGACTTGTGCTTCGTCTTGTAAGGGCAGTACTGGCAGAATATCTTTGGCTCTTTGCCACATTCCACCTTCAGGTGGACTGTAAGATGGCACTTCTGCTTGTAGCTCCTGGGACATTGCGGACACTGGAACCTGCCTGGAACAAACAGTTGGACCATTAAAAACCAATCTTGTCTGCAAATGAAACAGGATTTGAAAAAGAAAAAAAAAACTTTGGTGGTCTACCATTTTTTATTCGTTAAAATGTGATCAAAACTACACATTAAAAAAAAAAAATGATTACATTTAAACATATATCTTAGTATGCTTCGGTGAGGATTTGTAAATTTCCAAGATAACGATTCTATGTTCGGTGTGGAGGCACTGTCTTTACTGTTATAAACAGTAAAATAAATTAAAAAAAGTATAAAGAGAATAGAACCTTTTACTCATTCCAAATTTGACCTTTTACAGGTCAGAAGATGATAATTTCTCCTACACCTTGAAAAATTTGACTCAAAATTACTTGTACAAAAAAATAGTTGGCAGGCTTATAAAATGAAAAGGTTCGAGTGCTTCCGCACGATGTGGGATTTCAAAGAGGACTTGTGCTTCGTCTTGTAAGGACAGAATTAGCAGGCTATCTTCGGCTCTTTGCCACATTCAAATTTCAAGTGGGTCGTCAAGTCGCACTTCCACTTGTAGCTTCTATGGCACTGTGTACACTGATGCCTTCCAGGATGAACTGGAATAATAAACAGTGGGACCATTAAAGCCAGTCTTGTATGCAAATGAAACAAAGGATTTGAAAAAAAAAAAAAAAAATTGGTGTACCATTTTTTTATTGGTTAAAAAATATGAACAAAACTACACATTAAAAAAAATGATTACAAAACATCAATCTTAGTATGCTTCAGTGAGGATTTGTAAATTTCCAAGATAACGGTTCTATGTTCGGTGTGGAGGCACTGTCTTTACTGTCATAAACAGTAAAATAAATTTAAAAAAAGTATAAAGAGAATAGAACCTTTTACTCTTTGCCAAATTTGACCTATTACAGGTCGGAAGATGATAATTTCTCCTACACCTTGAAAAATTTGACTCAAAATTACTTGTACAAAAAAAATAGTTGGTGGGGTTATAAAGTCAAAATGAAAAGGTTCGAGTGCTTCCGCATGATGTGGCTCTTCAAAGAGGACTTGTGCTTCGTCTTGTAAGGACAGTACTGGCAGAAAAACATCGGCTCTTTTCCACACTCCAACTTCAGGTGGGCAGTAAGATTCCATTTTTGCTTGTAGCTCCTGGGACATTGTGGACACTGGAACCTGCCTGGAATAAACAGTTGGACCGTTAAAAACCAATCTTGTCTGCAAATGAAACAAAGGATTTGAAAAAAAAAATACTTTGGTGTTCTACCATTTTTTTTATTGGTTAAAACATGAACAAAACTACACATTTAAAAAAAAAATTGATTACATTTAAAACATCAATCTTAGTATGCTTCGGTGAGGATTTGTAAATTTCCAAGATAACGATTCTATGTTCGGTGTGGAGGCACTGTCTTTACTGTCATAAACAGTAAAATAAATTTAAAAAAGTATAAAGAGAATAGAACCTTTCACTCTTTGCCAAATTTGACCTATTACGGGTCAGAAGATGACAATTTCTCCTACACCTTGAAAAATTTGATTTAAAATTACTTGTACAAAAACCCAATCTTGTCTGAAAACGGAACGAAGGATTTGAAACAAAACAAATCTTTGTTATTGTACCATTTTTCTTTATTGGTTAAAAAATATGAACAAAACTACACATAAAAAAAAAAAAAAAATTATTACACTTAAAAGATCAATCTTAGTATGATGTGGTGCGATGTGAGTATTCAGTGAGGATTTGTAAATTTCCAAGATAACGATTCTATGTTCGGTGTGGAGGCACTGTCTTTACTGTCATAAACAGTAAAATAAATAAAAAAGTGTTAAAAAAAAAATTGCATATTGAAGATCGATACTTGTAAAGTCTTGGATGCACAGCGTTTGTTACAGACCATCAGCAATAATCAGTTTGAAAAATAAGCATTAAATGATTTTTTTTGTTAGGTTAAAAAATGCAGAAACTTTCACTCTTTGCCAAATTTGTCCTTTTACGGGTCAGCAGATGAGAATTTCTCCTACTTGAAAAAATTGATACAAAATTACTTGGACAAAAAACTAGTTGACGGGCTTATAAAGCTTAAATCAAAATGGTCGAGTGCTTCAGCGCGATGTGGGACTTCAAAGAGGACTTAAGTTTCGTCTTGTAAGGGCAGTACTGGCAGAATAACTTCGGCTCTTTGCCACATTCCACCCTCAAGTGGGCAGTAAGATTGCATTTTTGCTTGTAGCTCCTGGGACATTGTGGACACTGGAACCTGCCTGGAACAAACAGATGGATAATTAAAAACGCAGTTGTGTCAGCAAAATTAATAAAAAAAAAATATTTTTTTTTGCCTTGTTGTTATATACATTAGCCAACGAACCGACCTTTGGTGCATCTACCAGAAGTCAGATGCCACCAGCCCGGCCACAGTGAACAAACAGGGAATGACAGGACCAAAAAAAGGATTTAAAACGAGGAAAAACTTTGTTATAATACAATTTTTTTAATCTGTTTATCACCAAAACATTAAATGTTTCATGTCCTTGCCCAGTTTAGATTGTATAATTTAAATTAAAACAATTACATGGAGCAATTTTTTTTTCAGTAGGAGTATTCAGTGAGGATTTATGCATCTTGTAATGTATCGGGTTGTCCGGAAAATAATGCAGGATTTTAAGTTTTCATTAAAAAAAATCTATATAAAATATTCTGTTTACGTTTACAGGATTACTCATTTGTATGAATGTCAACACTTATTAATCCTCTTCCAAATGATATTGTTTGTTTACCTCTGTAGCATTCCGCTACTTGGAAATAATTCAGTCATCCTTATAATGTCAAAGCGAGAATTTCGTACGATTTTCTTTTACGAGTTTAAACTCGGCCGAAGCGGAGCCCAAACGGCTAGAAACATTAACCAAGTCTGGGGCGAGGGTTGTGTTAATGAGTGCACTGTGCAAAGGTGGTTTAAAAAATTTCGGGAGGGAGATTTCAGCCTTGAAGATGAAGAAGGTCGTGGAAGGCCTTCCTCTCTTAATGATGATGTTCTGCGATCAGTGGTGGAAGAAAACCCCAAAACAACTGTTCGAGAACTTGCAGAGCAACTCAAAGTCAGTAAAACGACCGTCGCTGACCACCTCAAGGCGATTGGAAAAGTGAAAAAACTCGAAAATTGGGTTCCACACTCATTAAACGATCGCCAAAAAAATCAGCGCTTTGATGTTTGTGCATCACTTCTTTGTCGAAACAAAAATGACCCATTTCTGGCCAGAATTGTTACATGTGACGAAAAGTGGATTCTCTACGATAACACTAGACGTTCTGGACAGTGGCTCGACAAAGGAGAAGCTCCAATACATTTTCCAAAGCCCCCAACTCATCAAAAAAAGGTAATGGTTACGGTATGGTGGGCTTCATTTGGTTTAATACACTACAGCTTCTTAAATCCTGGCGAAACCATCAATGCTGAATCATACTGTAACCAAATTAATACCATGCATCAGAAATTGGCAGTAATGAAGCCCTCTTTGGTCAATCGGAAAGGGCCCATTTTGTTGCATGACAACGCTCGACCACATGTGTCACGTGTAACGTCACAAAAATTATTGGAGCTTGGCTATGAAACTTTGCCTCACCCACCCTACTCTCCGGACCTCTCGCCTACTGACTACCATTTTTTTAGACACCTGGACCACTACTTACAACACATAATATTCAAAAATCAAACGGAACTGGAAAATGCATTTATTGACTTTATCAATTCTAAAAATTCTGAATTCTACTCAGACGGAATTAATAAGTTACCAACACGTTGGGAGAAATGTATTGAGAGTATGGGAAATTATTTTGATTAAAGAACATTGCTTTAAAGTAACTAGTTTCTTTTTTTTTGTTTAATACCAAAATCCTGCATTATTTTCCGGACAACCCAATATTATAGGTCAGCAGATGATATTTCTCCTACTCCTCGAAAAATTTGACACAAAATTACTTGGACAAAAAAATATTTGACGGGCTTATAGCTTAAATTGAAATGTTCGAGTGCTTCAGTGCGATGTGGGACTTCAAAGAGGACTTGCGCTTTGCCTTGTAAGGGCAGAACTGGCAGGAAAACTTCGGCTCTTTGCCACACTCCACCCTCAAGTGGGCCAACAAGTCGTACTTCCACTTGTAGTTTCTGGGACATTTTGGACATTGGTGCCTTCCTGGAACAACTGGAACATAAACAATTAGATAATTAAAAATCCAGTCTTTTCTGAAAAATAAAAAAGTGGATTTGAAACAAAACGAAATATCTTGTTATTGTACCATTTTTTCTTTTATAGTTAAAAAAATATACAAAACTAAAGTCTTTTTAAAATTATTATGCATAGAAATCATGGATTTGCACGTCTTGTAATGTATTACGGGTGAGCAGATGACATATTTCTCCTTGGACCCAAAAAAAANAAATATGGCGGGCTTACACAGCTTAAATCAAAATGTTCTAGTGCTTCAGCGTGAAGCGGGACTTTGAGGACTCGAGCCCCGTCTTGTTAGGGTAGTACTGGCAGAATAACTTCGGCTCTTTGCCACATTCAAATTTCAAGTGGGTCAACAAGTGGCGTTTCTGCTTGTAGTTTCTGGGACATTCCAGGCTGAGAACAAGGATTAAAAACACTTTGTTACTATAGAATTTCTTCTATCATCTTGTACAGCTTACAACAATATAGACAGCGTGTTATGTTGAAAAGAGATTAAGCGTAGCCAGTCTAGAGACCAGAGCGCCCGGCCCCTTTATTTTTAACTTCTGCCGTCCTCGACTTTCAACACAGATAAGCTCAAGTAAGAACTCCAGCTGAAGGACTTAGAGGTTTCATGTAGTGTGGACGACTCCCGTTTGGCAAACCTTAATGTGTTATTCTGGACAGAACGGATTTCCAAGACATTGCGTTGTTGCTCTGTCATGGGGGCTCTTTATTGTCATAAGCAGTAAAATAAATAAAAAAAGTATAAAGAGAATAATTGCATATTGAGGATCAATGATTGAAAAACAAACATTAATTTTTTTTATTAGGTTAAAAAAACAGAAGAAAATAAAGAAACATCCATACTTTGCCAAATTCGACGGGTCGTCAGATGACATATTTATTCAATCTTGAAAAATTTGGAACAGAATTAGTCAGAAAAAAAAATAGTTGACTGGTTTATCCAGCTTAGATCAAAATGTTCGAATGCTTCAGTGCGATGTGGGACTTCAAAGCGGACTTGTGCTTCGTCTTGTAAGGGCAGTACTGGCAGAATATCTTCGGCTCTTTGCCACACTCCACTCTCAAGTGGGTTTTCAAGTCCTGCTTCCACTTGTAGTTTCTGGGGCATTGTGGACATTGGTGCCTTCCAGCAACAACTAGAACAATAAACAATTAGATAATTAAAAACCGAATCTTTTCTGCAAATTAAAAAATGGATTGGAAACCAAACAAAAATTTTGTTATTGTGCCATTTTTTCTTTTATTAGTTAAAAATAAATATACGCAACTAAAAAAAAATGTACAAAACTAAAAAAAAATATACAAAAAATATAATGACATATTGAGGATCAATGCTTGAAAAACAAACATTAAATGTTAATTTTTTTTAGGTTCAAAAAACAAAACAAAAACAAAGTAAAGAAACTTCTGCACTTTTCCAAATTCGACGAGTCGTCAGATGACATATTTATCCAATTCTTGAAAAAATTGTAAAAATTTCTTGAAAAAAACAACAAATAGTTGACTGGTTTATAAAGGTTAGATCAAAATTTTCGAGTGCTTCAGTGCGATGTGGGACTTCAAAGCGGACTTGTGCTTCGTCTTGTAGGGGCAGTACTGGCAGAATATCTTCGGCTCTTTGCCACACTCGACTCGCAAATGGGTGACCAAGTGATGTTTCCGCTTGTAGCTTCTGGGACATTTTGGACACTGGTACCTGTCTGAAAACAAAATAAAAAAGCCAACTTGTTACTGTCAGTTTTCTTCTTTCATTTTTTCTGGGTTGACGGAAGCAAATTCACGCTATCTTGTACGATTGTAAAATAAATAAAAATATAAAGAGAATTAAATTTTGAGGATCAGGTTTGCAGATGACGGTTTATTCTTGTAAGATTTCGATGCACTGTGATTGTTACAATCAGCAATAATTGAAAAATAAAGTTTTTTTTTATTAGGTTTAAAAAAACAACGAATGGTTCTTCTAATAGTTCATTATATTTGTTGAGAGTAGAATGAGAAACACAAAGTTCCACAGAAACTTCATTCTTCGTCAACTTCGATCTAACATTGGTTGATTGAAGTTTATTTCTCCTGTAAGGAAAACATGGTACAAAATAAATATAATTAATCAGATTGTTCTTAGACTAAAATTTTCGAGTGCTTCAGTGCGATGTGGGTCTTCAAAGATGACTTATGCTTCGTCTTGTAAGGACAGTACTGGCACAGCATCTTCGGCTCTTTGCCGCATTCAACGCGCAAATGGGTTATGAGGTTGCACCTGTGCTTGTACTTGCGGCCGCATTTCTTGCAACAGTGATTTCCTGAAATTTCAAACCAATATGCGATTAGTTTTAATTGAGTGTGCTTGGAAAAGTTGGTGGGCTGAAGAACCTCAACCTCTCCCCAATCTTCTGTGTTGTCAAACTCCTATTTAAGTATATTAATTGAAATTAAAATAATATGAAAGGTTTGTGCGATATTTGAAACTCTTGGGGAAAAACTGTGGGCAAGGCCAAAAAGTAGCTCCACCCCTTCAACTAAGCCCCACCCCTTCAACTAAGCTCCACCCCTTCTACTCTATTAGCTCCACCTTTATGACCCAAATATTCTTTCACCCTAATTAATACATAAATTACTGGGGGGAAATGAGGTTTGATTTATGTATTGATATTTTTTTTAAATTTTGGTTTTATGCTATTGTTTTTAATTTAATTTTTTAACAATGTACAAAGGGACTTGTTTAAACCATTCTGTGCATTATGGCGATGTGGCTCTTCAGATTTGACTTCTGCTTGCTTTTGAAGGGGCAGAGAGTGCAGAAGAACTTGGGCTCCTGGCCACACTCGTTCCTCACGTGAGTGTTAAGGTTCCTTTTGTGCTTGTACGTCCGGCCGCATTTCAGGCAAACATGCCTCTCTGAAAAAGGAAGAAGAAAGAAAAGAGGCGTTAGAAAAACCTTCGTGCACCTCCTGGTGGGCGTGAATTCAGAAGGACGTGCACGGCAGTTGAATCAGAAAAGAAAGCACCGTCTGATACGTCAATAATCACCTTCGACAAAATAGGTAAAAATAAAATAAAAAATTGTGAAAACTTATTCACAATTTGAACAAATTCAATTAATTAAAAAAATGTTTTTACGTCCAAATAAATTTTATTCTTTAATATACCTGTCAAAAATGATAAAAAATATGTATTGTTTCAAAGCAACTAATTTATAAAAATAATTGCTTATCATAGTAAAATAATACAAAACATATTTGCGACAATTTGAAAGAATTTTGTGTTGCTCATGTTAATCTTATTCTACATCATGTATCAAGGATTACATAAAATATAAAAAATAATTAAAATTAATACAATCAACTATTTAAAAAGGTCATCTTTTGCTGCTGAGCAGAAGGGTTTACATAATTATCGAATTATTATATTTAAAACATAATTCCTTTTGTTCAAAATTGCTGATTATGCAGAAAGAAATAAACCAAAAAAACAATACGTTTAAATAAATTTTTTTATTTTTTTTATTGTACCCTAAGTTGTCATGGATGGTTTTATCATTTTATTTATTGTAGACATTTGGACAATGAAACAATTTCTAAAAAGTAATATCTAAAATAGCATTTTGCCCGATTTTAACAGGATTGGACTTGCTCAAGAATACTAGGAAAAAACTTATAAAATAACACTAATGGGCGTAAAATTCACCTTTTTGTAGGCCCTTAACTACATTAAAAAAATTAATTCAACTTGTAAAATGTTAAAATCTAGCAGAGCTGTGTTTCAACACGACATGGCATTTGAGTTCGTCGTAAGTCTTGGTTCTGGCGTCGCAGATGCGACAGCCGAAAGTCTTAATTGCCATTGAATTTGGTATCTTGTGGACGTGCATCTGGTGTGCCAACAAGTTCGACCTGTTCTTGTAAAACTTGCCGCATTTTTCGCACCGTAACTTTCCTGTAAAAAAGAACTTATGTTAGTAAAAAAACAAATTAACTTTTAAAAAGTCCCCCCCCCAATGAAAAAAGGGTTACAATCAAACAATAACATTTTTAACTGTTCGTTGTTTTTATTAATCATGATCTTATTTAAATTCCACCTGGCTTCATTTGATCACAAGGGATTCGGCCCTGTCCAATTGCTATGCTTGAGAGCGATATGGCTTTTCATGTTGACCTTCTGCTTGAACATCTTGTTACAAAATTTGCACTCGAACTGTGGCGCCGTATTGCATTCGTATTTCAGGTGTGAATTCATGTGATGCTTGTGCTTGTACCCACGGCCACATTTCGGGCAAATAAATCTACCTTTGAAAGACAAAACAAAAATCTCGTATTAATAAAAAATGAATTAATTAATTAAAAAAAAAAAAATGAGGAAGAAACCTCCAGGATTTACAACAGCAGTAAAAGCTCAATAATAATCTTCTTAGAGAATAATTTTATAATAATTATCAATATGGAAATTATGTTTACTTAATTACCATCATGTAGTATCACAGTTGATTTAAATAAATGAAAAAGTGAAAGCATTGTCTAGAGGTGATCAATTTAGGGAAAATAATAATAACTTGAAGATCCCTATATAACTCCAGTCCATAGCCACACCCAAAACAAACAATTAACTGCGCCCACAACACAAAATACCTTCTTAGCCACGCCCACCACACAAATCCAATCTTCTTTGACACAATCATCAAATAAATCGAATTATATTAAAATATTATTTTACATTATGAAAATGTTTTTTGTTTAACTACCCTCGGGCACCAAAATCAAAACAGTTTTTTTGGTATACAAATAAGGTAGTTTTTAGGTCCTGGAACAATTATTGACCACGCCCCCAACACAACGCCAGAAATTTTAGTCACGCCCATCGCACATAGCTAACCACGCCCACAACACAAATCCAATCTTCTTTGTCACAATCATCAAATAAATCTAATTATATTAAAATATAATTTTACATTATGAAAATGTTTTTTGTTTAACTACCACTCTGGCACCAAAAACAAAACAGTTTTTTTGGTCTATAAATAAGGTAGTTTTTAGGTCCTGGAACAATTATTGACCACGCCCCCAACACAATACCAGAAATTTTAGTCACGCCCATCACACATAGCTAACCACGCCCACAACACAAATCCATTAGCCTCCTTAGCCACATTGATCAATAAACTAAACTAATCATATTAGAACTTAATTTATATTATTGAAATGTTGTTTCTTTAAGTGCCAGAGATTATTGAATAAAAAAAAGAGTTTGGACAGGTTTGTCAGAGGTTATAAAAATAAGGGAAAACTCGAAGATCAAAATCATTTTTGGTTGATATGTCAACCATTGGGCAAATAAGGTAGTTCTAATAGATTGTGTGAATATTTGATGGCTATGCCCACAACAGTACTTTACCTTGTTAGCCATTACACAACTTACCACACCTACAACATAAATCCAACTATTAGCCACACCCACAATTGACTTAGCTGGACAGTAAAAATATTTCAACACACCATATCAGCTTAAACATAATTATATTGAAAAAGAATTGATGAAATTAGATTAATGCATTACATATACAAATTAGTTTTTATTTTCATACCAACACAATACAAGAATACAGGGATACTTGGCGTTTCGATGTTGTTTTATTCGTCGTCGATTACACTCGTCTCTTTTTTCACTTTTGTCCAAAAAGAAAGTTCTGTATTTTTAAAAATGGATTAGGGTCGGAGGCCGTTGAGTGCCTGATGATAACGTGCTTCTTCAGGTGAGACTTCCATTTACACTTGTACGGGCAGAATCTGCACATGAACTGGGGCTCCTTCCCGCACTCGTACCTCAGGTGGGCGTTGAGGGTGAACTTGTGCTTGTAGCTCCTGTCGCAATTCGGGCAGAAATGTCTCGCTGAAATAGAAATGAAACAAAATTTAAGTGGAATCTAAAATTCGGGGCTGAAAAATCTATAGTCAGGGCGAAGATGGAATGTGCTTGATAGTTGGATAGGTGGAATATGATCTTGATATTAAAGCTCCGACCTTAGTTTAAAAATTTTTGGTAATATTATTTCATAGATAAAAGACTGGAGGTTAAGGCAAGCAAAAACGTGTTTAAAAAAGGTTAAATTTGTCTGAAATTGTGCAGTGTAGTGTCCATCACCGTACCTCTCCATGGAAGGGTCACTGCATTCAAGCAGATTCATCACTGACCCTGACCATAGAATAAAACCTTATTATTGAAAGTTGTTATTTTTCTTTTAAAATGAAGCATTTCAATTGTCAGACTTGCACCTCCTAAAACTAGATTGAAAGAGATTTTCTACGGCGAATTTGTTAGGAAATAATTGCTCTTCCAAGGGTTTACTATTGCAAAAGTGATCAATAATGGGCTTTGGGCAAAATGGTTTTATTTCTCATAATCAAAACAGTTTAACATTTAAAAAACCGGCATTTTGTGCTGAGTCGTGCAGTGGCGTTTCAAATTTGACTTCTGCTTGCACTTGTAGGTGCAAAACTGGCAAGCGAACTTGGGCTCTTTGCCGCACTCGTTCTGCAGGTGGGCGACCAGATGGAACTTGTGCTTGTAGCCTCTATTACAATTTTCGCAATAGAATTTACCTTGAAAAGAAAACAGACATGTGAAAAATTAGAGCACAGATTCGACGTGCATTTAAACTACCTACTTCAATTCTAGAATGCGCACGCCACAACCAAGCACAAAAAAAGTCTGCAAAGAAATGAGGCAAAGACTTAAGTGCTTAATGAATTGTTTTGTACTTCTAATTTTCGGCTCCCCAAGGAGGTCCCACATCCTCTTCATGTACTTTGGCTTAAAGTGGTTATACCCTTTCTACCGTTGTACTTCCCTGGCTATTTACTTTACCAAAAAGTATCTTCCCATTCCACTCTTTATACATATGATCTCCTAACCTTTAGGTCTTCGGTACCCTGTCATAATCTTATTCAAGGGGCTTTAAGCTTTAGAAAGCTTATTAAAAATAAAAAAAAGTTTGTTTCTTCTTATGAATGTGGTTTATTACAAAATGATTCTTTGTGTATTTATCTTTATCACACCCACATCATCATCCACAGACTGGAAAGTTTATAATCTTTTGCATCAGAAATTGTGGGACCCTTAAATTGTGTAATGTTGTGTAAAATTGTGGTGCTTAATCTTACGTTTGTAGATATCAGGATGTGGTCATCAAATAAATAGGTAGTTCAACTACATTTGTCGCCTTTTGTCATCCTAACTACCTGGTATGAGCTTAAAGTAGGAAAAATATTTTTAAATTTTTAATTTTTTGTTTTTATTATTAATGGCACCTATTTTTATTAATTAACCATTCACCAAAATATACACCAGATTTTTTATTTTTGTTATATAAACACAAATAAATTTGAATTATCCCTTATTTTTATTAACCAGGAAATTTTTTTTTTACTTTGGCCCGTTGTACTAAGGCAAGGTGCATATTGAAGCACGACAGGTGTGTGCGCGATGCAGCACGACACATCTGACAGACGTGTCACATAGATTTCGCGCTACACGTTGGAGTCGGAATTTGCACCATAATTTTTGTTTCTTTTTATCGGCGAGAGAAAATGAGTGATGAAAGGATTAAGCAGTTGGTATCAGATTACTTAAATTACATTAATTAAGTCAGTTTTCTTATAGAATTATTCATATTTTCACGTGAAATAAACTTTTTTAAAAAATTATAAATTATTACTTTATTTAGGTTATTATTAACCTCGTCTGATTTATAAATAAACAGGTGGATGATGTTCAAGCAAAGTGTACGTACATCACAACGCTACGCATCATTAGTTGGCGCCGTGTCATCACGTTTCAATATTCACCTTGCTTCCTAGCCAATTTTTTTAAAAATGTATCATATATGCCTGCAAGAAGATTAAGTTAACGATTGAAATCTCAATTTCAGTATGGCGTTGGTCATAATATTTCTTTTTATTTGCTGTCAAGCCTTGTGAATATTTGACAATTAATTAAGGTTTTTAGTTGAGATGAAAAAAAAGTCAATGGCACGAGAGGGATTCGAACCCACAACCTTCGGCTAGATACGCCGCTGCTCTACCACCTGAGCTATCGTGACCTCGATCCACTCAGACATCAACTCATCTCAACCCCACCTTATGAGTTTTCCCTCCTTTTGCCATTTTTCAAATGTCGTATCTAGCCGAAGGTCGTGGGTTCGAATCCCTCTCATGCCATTGACTTTTTTTCATCTCAACTAAAAACCTTGATTAATTGTCATGTATTAATTGGTTAAGCGGACCACGAAAGTAGTGAATTAATGATTTAAAAATGAAGTACACTTCACTAAAGCTCTCCGTTGCCATTTCAATTGTCGTCGAGAATCCAAACCGATTACACGACATTTGAAAAATGGCAAAAGGAGGGAAAACTCATAAGGTGGGGTTGAGATGGGGAGTTGATGTCCGAGTGGATCGAGGTCACGATAGCTCAAGTGGTAGAGCAGCGGCGTATCGTCGAAGGTCGTGGGTTCGAATCCCGCTTGTGCCATTGACTTTTTTGTCTCAACTAAAAACCTTCATTAATTGTCATGTATTAATTGGTCAAGCGGACCATGAAAGTAGTGAATTAAACTTGTGAATATTTTGTATCACTTTGTCAAAAATTAGGACAACCGACTCAAATGAAACAATAATACTGTGAGATTTCCTCCTGTGATCTGCAGGGTAATAAAAAAAAAAAAATTATGGTTAAATTTAATAGGTAACTTGATCCATATTTAAGAATGTTAAGAACTAAAGGAATATTCCATTGTTAAAAAATTAAAGCGTTTATTATTTAAAGACATACAAGTTCTCATGTTAATGAAAGAGTTGTGTTTTCTACACGTTGAATCAACAAAATTTCTACATGAGCAATGTAGCGGCCATTTGGTCACGAGCAGCGATACCATCTGCCGTATCTGATGTACTTCCTTCTTCATTTGAGGTTTCTTCAGTGAATTCTAACTCATAGTTCACCTCGAAGACATCGTCTATGCTAATATTATGCAATACGCAGCATGCTCGTATAAAATGTTCTATGTAAGTCATGTTTCTCAATTTGACGTGGTTCAATTGACGAAATTTCTCCTTCAAAATGGCAAAAGCGTGATCTACTGTACTACGATTCTGAGACAACTTTGTGTTATAATTTATCTGGCTTTTTGAAAGTTGACGGTCCTTGTAAGGAGTCAACAAATTGCTAAGTAAAGGGTAGCAGCTGTCTCCTAAAATAAAGTAAGTACCACACTTTTCGGCCAAGGTTTGAAAAAGGCTGGAGTTTTGAAGTACACCACTGTCAGGAGCCGAACCTGGACACCCAATGAAGACATCGGTAAATCTCATTTTATGGTCACAAACAGCTTGCATCTAAAATAGGTATAATTCATTGAATATATAGGTATGTATTGAACAAAAATTGAAAAAAGTTTACCTGAATAGAAAAAAATCCTTTTTTGTTGATATAAGTGTCAGGATCGATTGTCGGTTTGTCAATTGAAATGTGGATTCCATCAATAACACCTATAACATCTGGAAAACCGTTTCTCTCAAAATTTTCTCTAATTGCCAATTTCTCATCCTCCGACGGCCATTTTATTATTTCAGGAGACAAGCTGCTCAAAAATAACGTCACTTTTCTAACAATGCGATGCAATGAGCTGATAGATATGCAAAACTTATCGGCTATAGCGCGGAAGCTCGAAGTCTGATGGCCTGCAAACCAAAGAAACACAAGCACCTGCAAACAGAATAACCAATTTTTTTATACAAGAATAAATAATATTACATTATATTTAAATTACCTGGCGTAGAGGAGAAATGTTTCCAAACTGGCCAGACCCACTTTTATAAAAACCACTACTTTCGTACCTTCGAGCCAGATTTTGGGCTATTCTCCTGCTTACCCTGAAATGCTTCAAAAATTCATCTTCGCTGCAGGTCAAGATTGTTCGTTCTGAAATTGAAATACAATTTAAGCTAAAATATAATAAATACCGTACGCGATTTTGGTAATGATAAGCACCAACATAATTTTCATCGTTTGTTTATTGTATCTTCATCGTCACTGTCACTGGACGTAAATAAAAAATCATCACAAATATATTCATTTTTTAAGTTGGAATTTTAATTTTAACAGCCCAGAAAACACGAGAAACAATGAAAGAGGCGGAGCTAGTGGAATAGAAGGGCGGAGCTTATTTTCCAGCCCTGCCATGATGTTTCCACCAAGTGGTAACAATTAAAACGATACTGTTACTGCATACAAATAAAACAAATCAAATGGAAGATATTCAGTTTTAAGTTTGAAGTTAGAACTTCAAGGTCACAAAACACAAGAAACACAGTAACAAAATTTACAGTGAAATCTGCTCGAAAACGTCACAGATTTATAACAAACTTCATTTGAGCATCAACGTTGATTTTAAGCACATTTTCTTTTCCTTAAGCGACATTGAACTATGAACTTAATTAAATTTTAAATGTAACACTCAATTGAAAATAGAAAAGGGTGAAAGGGGCGGAGCTAGTGGAATAAAAGGGCGGAGCTTATTTTTCAGCCCCGTCCACAATGTTTCCACTAAGCGATGACAATTAAAACAATACTGTTACTGGACACAAATAAAAAAAAAATCAACTGGAAGATATTCCGTTTTAAGTTTGAACTTTAAGGTCACAGAACACAAGAAACATAAAATTTACAGTAAAATCTGCTTGAAAATGTCTCGAATTTATGATAAGAAACTTCATTTGAGCATCAACGTTGATTTGAAGCATGTTTTCTTTCTCTTAAGTTACAGTGAACTTTGAACTTACTTGAATTTAAATCTAACCCGGGGTATAGAGCGGTAGGTCATGGGTTAAGTCCTGCTCATGATGCTAATTTTTCATCTCATCATATAAAAATTATAAATCAATTTAAATAATTATTTTGGTTAACTAGGACCAACTAAAAATATAAATTTTAAATCTATTACTCAATTTCAAAGAGAAAAGGATGAAAGAGACAGAGCTAGTAGAATAGAAGGGTGGCACTTATTTTGCCCACAATCATCGGCCAGGAATTAAGATTAAAAAAATTCATGCGCTTTGCCTGCTCTTTCACAGTTTAACACTCTGGCATTTTATTGTGTTAAAAATCATGAAATTCCAGTGAAATTGACAGACAAAAATAAACTTCTATTCAAACTCTAAAAAAAATATGGGGCTAGGATTACTGAAATTTTATCCAAATTAAAAAATTGAAAGACAAATGGGTAAATGTCAAACTCAGTGAGGTGGTGTTTTTCAAATTATACCCAAAAAGTATGCAATCCTTGCCAGCTATCTTGTTTTGACGGAAGACAAGAAGAGGTTCAATTTTTTTTTTTTTTTTTTTTTTTTTTTCGTGTAGCCCAAATTTAGCCATTCAAGATCTCAAAATGATCCCAAATTCCCAGTTTTCATTGCAGATGCAAAAAAAGGTTCATTTATCTTCCTCCATAAAACAGGTTTCATGCTTCCTCGTAAAACAGTCAAGAATCGACAAAATCCTGCTGAAGTTTGGCGGACCTGTGTTTTGGACGTTTCTGATTATTTTTTTTTTTAGTTTTGGTTCTCAGAATAGATTTTTTTTTTAGTATGACAGACTAAAATGTTGAAGATAGGCAGTCCAAAATGAGTTGCACAATGTACTTTTTGTCGTAGTTGGCCAAAAAAATAACAATAATAGTTATTTTATAATTTTATTATTAGAAGTGGTATAAAATACTGGATTTGAGGTGGTTGATGGTGGTTTAAAAGTTCCACCCACTGAAAACAAAAGGGCATTTCATTCATATTTTTTTGAGGGTAGTCTTAATTAGGACAGTAAACTAAATATATTTAAAAAAAACCAAACACATCTCTCGTATTCTTCATTTATTAGACATTTTGACTAATAGACAGGTATAAATCTCGGCACATTGTTGCAAGAAAGACAACATAAAATGAAACATAAACTGTGACATGACAGAATGAGAAAACTGGGTTTCATAAAAAATTCAATCAAAAATTTTAAAGCGGAATATCACAAAAGACTAGAAGTTGTATGGAGTGTTCTACATGATGAGCATCGGCCAGGTGAACATCTTTTCCGGGTGTCTGATGAGCATGTGACGTTTGAAGTTGCTCCTCTGCTTCGTCGTGTGTGAGCAGTACTGGCAGCTGAACTGGCCCACTTTACCGCATTCGTAGCGGAGGTGGCTCCGCAGGCTGCTCTTCGCCTTGTAGCTCTTATCACACTTGGGACACTGGTGAGGACGGTTCAGGGCTAAAAAGTTCAAAATGCGCTTGTTAGACAAGAACCAACATCTATTTTATTATATACTCACAGCCCACAAAGGGTTAAAACTAACGGTGAATCTTATTTTTAAAGAAAATTATATATATTTAAAAAAAAAACATATTTTATTAATCTCGAACATTTGAAATTACAGTCTGACACGATCTTGAAACATTGCAAAACATTAAGGGCAATTAAGACTTAATATATGAAACAAACGCATGACAAGCCTGAGCAGAAGTCTTGTTTTTGATATGGTATCTTGGCCGTACCATGCCATTTGGCCATGGAGAAGTGCTACGGTCTGCCGGATCTCGATGTTACAATTAAATTGTTACTATGGAATGGGCTGCATTTCTATTCTCACAAGGTTTCCCTTTTCTGGTGGAATACAGCTCTCGACAAAACAACCCATTGACCTTCCAGCTTTCGCTGAAAACTGTCTTATCCAACATGATCGACTGTGGTATGGCTCATTTTTATTATTGAAGCCTTGAGACTGGATTGATGCTGAACACTGTTTCAAATTGTAGACAGGGATAAAAAAACAGACGGCAATATTGATTTCTGTCGAACTCTCTGGTTGTTCCGCCCGGTCTCGTAGTCATGACCCACCTCGAATCAAAATATTGTAACAAAAATCTTGTTTACAGGTCCAAAATAACAATTTTGGATTTATTAAAAAAAATACTTTTTTAACTTTGCTTTTTTTGTTTATACTTTATACAATAATGCAGAGATATAATGTTTTCCTGCCACCCTTGATTTTTTTTTTTTTTAATGTCTTCTGAATGAGATTGTAGGTTAAAAATATAATACACAAGTAGCCGTACTGTTAAGTATATTTTGTAAAGTTTATAAAAGTAAAGTGCCGTGCTTGGACATTGTGTGGACTTTGAGGGAAGACGGGAAGTTACATTTGTAGGAGCAGACTGGGCAATTGTACCGCGGCTCTTTCCCACATTCGTACTTCATGTGCCTCCACAGGTTCCTCTTGTGGCTGTAAGCTTTCGAACAGCGATCGCACGCGTACTTGCAGCCTGAAAAATTAGAAAAAAAGTCAAATTAGGCGAAAGGTGGAGAAACTATGGGAAAAGTAACGTGCGGAACGAGGTGGAAGAAATTGCCTTCGTCTCGAAGCGACTGATGGTATTTTATTTACAAATCCTTCTGTACGAGTAAAGTCCTGTGCTTGGAAACCACGTGGGATTTCAGGCCGGCCTTTTGCTTCGATTTGTAAGGACAATGAGGACAAGGGAATTGCGGTTCCACCCCACACTCGTACCGCTGGTGCCTTCTCAGTGTAATCTTGTACTTGTACGACCTGTTACAGATGTTGCAGACAAAGTTACCTGCTGGAGAAAAATTGGTTTCGATTAATTTCTGAACCATTTCCAATGTAATTAATAAGAAAACCAAAAATGGTGAAATCCAAGTCTGTTCCGTCCTTGTTCGTGTGACGTTCATGTACCATTTAATGCAGTCAATGATGGCAGAAAAAAAATGGACAAATTAAAAGATTGTTCGCTGTTGAGAATAGACTGGTGCAATTGTAACAGTAAACTCCAATACCAGAAATTGATAGAAGAGAGAACTAACCAAATTGACCTAGATCGACTCTCAGGTCATCCATCTCCATTAAGACGATTTAATCGAAATTGGCCTCAAAGCTAGGATTAAACAAGAAAATACTTTCATTATAACATCTATTCACATTCATTAATCTTGTAAATTTTTAATTATAGTTTTACAATCCTGATAAAGACGTTTAATTTTTCAAAAGCGCAAAGAAGGTACACTTTTCTTTCCGATTAGCCTTTTCTCTGATCTTTTATTGTAAAGCCAGAAATAAGAAAAGCTTTAAAAAAAATTAACGAATTGAACAAAAAGAGTACAAGTAAATTGACCTAAATCGATTCTCAGGTCATACATCTCTATTAAGACGATTTGATCGAAATTGGCCTCAAAGATACGATTAAACAAGAAAATACTTTCAATATAACATCTATTCACATTTATTGACCTTGTAAATTATTAATTATAGTTTTAAAGTCCTGAGGAAAAGGATTCTGGAAAGCTCAGGTACATTTTTTGTTCCGTTTAGCATTTTCCCTCATCTTTTTCTGATAAGATTAATAAAAAGCTTAAGAAACAATTGATTTTTAAGGATAAAGTCGATAAGGAAGAATAGGGTTTAGAAAAAATTACATAACAAAAAAAAAAAACGATAGCAGTGCAATAGCGAGATTTTTCCATGATGACCTCAAGTTGGGTATTCCAAACAATTTGGCCCAATCCGTCGCTGGTTCTGTCTATCGGACACATTCAGTCATTCGACATCTTCAGTAGGTAATTGTCCTATGTATTAAGTTCCTGACCAAAACAGTGAGGATTGACAAAAATTATGGTAAACTTGAGAAAACCAAGATAGGAGTCGTTTAGGATTTTTAAGAACTGACACAGTACTGCTTACATATACATATATATATATTTAATACACTTATCTCTTGGGGTTCTATATATCTAAAATACCATGATTAACAATATATTTTTACATAAATCTACTCTGCAAAGTGAAATGACTTAATTCTATTCTGCAGTCTGAAACATCTATGTCCTTTAAGTGATTCCTTCCTTTTAGCGACGTAAGGGCAGTAGCCGCAGTAGAAGGTGCCGGTTTTGCCGCATTCGTACGTCTGGTGTCTGGTCAAGGTGTATTTATGCTTGTAAACCCGTCCGCACGCGCAAATGTAACATTTCCGACCTAGAACGCCAAATAAAATGGACAGTGTTAATTCTAAGGAAACTGAACAGGTCTGGGTTTAATTTTTAGCGATGTCCGCCTTCGGTTCAAAATTGACCATATCGGGGAGGGCGTGGTGGTAGTAGTGGATGTTGAGGACGTGCTTCTTCAACGAAGACTTGTGCTTCGCCTTGTAAGGGCAGCTGGAGCAGCAGAACATGGGCTCTTTTCTGCACTCGTACGTCTTGTGCCTGTTCAAGCTGATCTTGTATCTGTAAGACCTGCCGCAGTCTGAGCACTGGAAAGCTTTACCTGGAAGCAAAACAAAGAAAGTCGATTGTTTTAGACAAAACAGGACTGAGAATTTTTCCGTCAATTTATTGTTTCGGATGAAAGGTTGTTTAAATTAATAAAGGCTTAAAATAACTAAAATTTATTATGGCTTTGTCACAGGGTTTTGTTCCGACATTAAATCGTGCTGGCGTTTGAAGTGCCGGGTATAGCTGTGGGACTTGAGCGAGGACCTGTGCTTCGTCTTATAGTCGCAGATCGTACATTTGAACATAGGTTCCTTCTGGCATTCGTAGCGCAGATGGCGTACCAGGCTCATCTTGTAGATGTAAGTCCGACCGCAGCGGTTGCACTTGTGAGCCCTATCGCCTATAAAGACAACAAGAGACCTATTAATCGAAGAGCTCTGAGTAGTTCGCGTTGTGTCTGTATAGGATGTGGGATTTGAAATGTCCTTTCAGTTGCGCTTTGTAAGGGCACAAGTGGCACTCGAACTGGGGGCTTTTACCGCACTGGTACTTCCTGTGCTGGTACAGTCCCGCTTTGTACTTATAGCTCTTTCCGCACGTGTTGCACAAATATCGCCCAGCGGAATCTGAAACGAAAACTGCATTCATTAAAATAGAAAGACTGGCTGCCAATTCGTTGGTTCCAGTTCTGTGATTTTAAGCACAAATTCAATTTGAATATGTTATATCTGTCATTTAAAACCTAAACACGCTCTGCCATGAACCTCCTAATAGTGCCAAGTACAATTAACTACTCATACATAAGCAACATAAAAATGCAGTGACCTCCAAGCAAAGACACAATGCCGAGAATCATTAGTTTTCTAAAATAGCGTTTTTTTAAAAAGTATTTAAATAGATTAATTTTGATAGCCCTAGTCATAAAAATGTCAGATAAACAGTTTAAATAATGAAAAATATTCTCCCCCCCCATGCTTGAACAGTGAAAATGTAGTGATAGTGGTATGAGTATGTCCGATTCTTCTCCTTATTCCAGCTGTCTCTGAACCCTCCATCTAAGAGCCCTTTTGTTTTCCATCACATCAAAATTACCGTTTTTTTCGCTGATGGCTTTACAAGGCTAAATCTTAGGGAACATTTTGTTTTCAATTTACACAAACGACATTTTGACTTTTAATGACATTGAAAATTACTTTTTCCCCAATTATCTTCTACTGATCTCAATAAAAAATGCCCCTTAATCTACGTGTTTCCCAAGGCTATATCTTAAGGACTGTTTTCTTTTCAATTTACATTAACGACATTTTGACATTTTATGACATTGAAAATTACTTTTTCCCCCAATTATTTGACTAATCTCAATAAAAAATAAAACATCTCCCTCAATCTATGTGTTTCTCAAGGCAAAATCTTAAGGACTATTTTCTTTTCAATTTACATTAACGACATTTTGACATTTAATGACATTGAAAATGATGGTCTTTTCCCGATTAAATTCAGTTAATCTCAATAAAATTAAAACCCTTAATCTGTCTATTTCCCAAGGCTACATCTTAAGGTCCATATTGTTTTTAATTTATTGAAAAGTACCATTTTTGCCATTTATATTCGATTAACCTCAATAGATAAAATGTTCTTTTTTTAATCTTCATGTTTCCGAAGGCTACATCTTAAGCATCATATTGTATTTAATCGACGGTATTTTGTCTTTGATTGAAAATTACCGTATTTTCGCCGTTTATTTGGTCAATTTCAACAAATTCAAAGACATTCTCTTATTCTGCGAGTTTCCCAAGGTTACATCTTAAGGCCATTTTGTTTTTTGTTTACATAAACGATATTTTTACCCTTTTTTTGTAAATAAAAATTACCACTTTTTTCGCCAATAGGTTTATCACAACACATTTTTTAAATATCTTTTTTTAAATTTATGTATTTCCCAAGGCTACGTCTTAAGGAGTTTTCAATTTGCATAAACGACATTTTGACTTTTAATGACAATGAAAATTACGGTTTCTACGCCGATGATATTCGATTAATCTCAATAGATAAAATCTTCTATTTTTGATCTGCATATTTCCCAAGGCTACATCTTAAGGACCATATTGTTTTTAATTTACGATATTTGGTCTTTTATTGAAAAGTACAGTTTTTGCCGTTTATATTCGGTTAATCTCAATAGATAAAATCTTTTTAATGTGTTTCCCTAGGCTACATGTTAGGGACCATATTGTTTTTAATTTACGATATTTGGTCTTTTATTGAAAAGTACAGTTTTTGCCGTTTATATTCGGTTAATCTCAATAGATAAAATCTTCTTTTTTTAATGTGTTTCCCAAGGCTACATCTTAGGGACCATATTGTTTTTAATTTATGATATTTTGTGATTACCGTTTTTTGCCGTTTATTTGGTTAATTTCAATAAATAAAAAAATTCTCTTATTCCGCGAGTTTCCTAAGGTTACGTCTTAAGGATCATTTTGTTTTTAGTTTACATATCCGACAGTTTTACTCTTTTTTGAATTTGGATATTTCCCAAGTCTTAAGTACAACTTTGTTTTCAATTTACATAAACGACATTTTCACTTTGAAATGAAATGGTATTAACTCTATCTCAATAGACGTTTAATATATCTGCTTTTTTAATCTGTGTGTTACCCAAGGCTACGTCTTAAGGGCCATCTTCTTGTTTCCTCTTCCATTTCTTGTCACTGGTTGTCTTCCAAAGCATTATCTTGAGAGGCAGCCTTTAAAACCATTGACTTTCAATTACATGTTTTCTCCCCTGTTAGTTAAGTTCGTTAAATTAGTAATCTGTAATTGTAGGTAGGATAGAATTGCCTGTGTTCATTGGTGTTACTTTGTTTTTCTTTTTGCGTTTTCAGATTGAAATATTTGAATTAAAAGACAATCTTTGGCAATAAAATTTATTTTCACATAAAACACAGAATTTAAATTATTCAAGACATATACATCCGTCTTTGTTTGCAGTTGAACATGTGGACTGTAATGCTCTCCTTCCTTTTGGCCAGGTGTCCGCAGAAATTGCAACTGAACTGTCTTTCCGGTCCGCATTCGAACTTCTTGTGCCTGTTGAGTGACCTCTTGTGCCTGTACGTCTTACCGCAGTCGCAGGCGTGTCCGAACTCTGTAAAATGTAAATTGTTTGGAATGAACGGTCGGAGTTTCTGTGCGGTCTCGTATAAGAACCTTCACCTCACTCAGGGCGAGGTTTGAATGGAATCAACTATAATCTAGTTTTAAGAGGTTTATTGATAAAGACAGACAATTTTAAAACGGCGACTGTAGGTCGTGGTATCGTTTCATATGCCACCTGATCATGTCCGGCCTTTTGGACTTGAACGGACACGACGGGCAGTTGTACTTCTCCCAGCTTTGGCCGCACTCGTACCTCTTGTGCCTCCAGAGGGACCGTTTGTGCAGGTAGACCTTGCCGCACTCGCAGGAATTCTTCCCTTCGACGAATCGCTCATCTGAAACAGCACGGGTTGTCTGAGATAAAAACACTAGGGTTTTCGATCTTGAAAAAGACAGATTCCATGTTTTCTGCTTCAATGCAGTAAACCACAATAAACCTCTGGAAAGATGAGACTTTTTCTCTAAACACTTTTCAATAAGACTTAAAGGAAAACGAAAAACTTTTCACTTTAATGCTCGATGCAATTTATTATCTAACAAGTATAAAGTCTTAATACAAAAGAAATAACACAGGAAAATCACATTTTAACAAGAAAACAACTATAGGAAAATATTTTTAGATAGAAAATAATGACTGTCTTTCCGACGAGAAGGAGGACAGTCCATTTGACAGTGAATCATGAACATGTGCCTTTTGAGGTTCCCTCTCTGTTTCGCTTTGTAAGGGCAGAGTTCGCAGCTGAAAGAAGGCTCTTTGGAACACTCCAGGCGCAAGTGGCGTGTGAGGCTGTCCTTCCTTTGGTACCGCTTGTTGCACTTTGTACAAACGAAAAGTCCCTCTACATCTGAAACCAAACGAAAGAACTTTCAATGAAGGTGTTTTACTCGTATCGAGCAGAAAAGGGCCGAGACTAATGCACGAGGTTGATCTACGATTTATAGAATCTAGGAACTTTTGGTATCGGGGATGACTGTCGTGTCTAGCAGACGAGGCTTCCTTTTCTCAGCTGGATGAAAGCGTTTATCTCGTCTCTGTGCCTGGTGGCGACGTGTCGTCTCAAGTTGCACTTCTGCTTCGTCTGATAGCCGCAGAACTTGCAGGAGAACTGCGCAGATTGGCCGCATTCGTAGCGGAGGTGCCGGTACAGGGCACCCTTCCATTTGTAGTTCTTGAGGCAGTTGACACAGGTGAAACCGGCTCTCATCCTCCCTGGAAAGAATGGGTCGAGTGAGTCCATATAACCCGTCCAACTTTCAAAAATTTCATTAGTTCGCCGGCTGGGGGAAAATTCAACAAGAACCTTCCTCATGATTAAAAACATTATGGAAAAATCTTGTTTTCCACTTAAAATCTGAAAAATCTGTGAAATCCTGTTAACATATGTAATTAACCTCAACGATAGACCTTTTTCGGGTTGTCTTCCCACATTTTTTTTTTGTGGAAAATATAGCATGATTTGATTTGGCAAAATTTGACTACATTTCATGCCATTTAAAAAAAATACTTTGTGCTATATACTGGCTATGTACCGAGTAAAGTCCTGATGGTGAAAAGAAGTGGTAAGAAATGGGATGTTCATCCCACCAAAGAAAACCCACACACGCCGGCCAAAAAAATTAAAATATTATAATGTATTTATATATTATTTTTCATTCATTGAATAGATATTTATAAAAATATTTCACCAAAAATTATCGATAAAAACAAATCCTAGTTTCTCTAAAAGACCCCCATATTTTTTGAGTATCGATGTGAGATATTTACATTTCTTTATATATTTTGCATCAATATGCACTATATACATATACTTATGCTTAAATAAATTTTCAATATATATAAATGTAAAATCGATTATGTGGGTTTCTGTGTAAAATATCGGTATTTTTTTCTAGCGATTCGAATTTTTGATATCTGTAAACTTGTTTGCCGTTTCTCAATCTGTTACTTATCTATTCATAAAGTATCAATATTTTCAATTTAAATAACAATTATTTCATGAAAAAGTATTAATACAAATAGATCCTAATTTTTCTAAAAATATCGATATTTTTATGTATCCATGTTAATTATGATTATATATATGTTTTTTTTTTTGTTGTTGTATCGATTCCTATTAAATTGCTTATGTATATGTCAGGTATTGATATTTGGAGTATAAATGAAAAACATCTCCCGAAAATGTATCTATAAAAACGGATCCTAGTTTCTCTGAAAAATATCGATTTTTTGAACGAATTGTTGTGAATTATGTATATTTTTGTATATATTTTGTTTAAATCGATAAATATTGAATTATTAATGTATACTTTAATTATTGATATTTTGAATATGAATTTAAAATATCGCACGAAAAAACATCACAAAACATATTCCAGTTTCTCTGAAAAATATCGATATTTTTTATTTGTTGATGCGAATTATGGCTATTTTTATATACTGTATACATCGATAAATATTAAGTTGCTTAGGTATACATTAAGCATCGATATTTTGAATATAAATTAAAAATATCTCACGCAACAGTATCAATAGAAATAGATCCTAGTCTCTTAAAAAAATCGATATTTTATGCATCGATGCGAATTACGATTATTTGTATATATTTTTTATATCGATTCTTATTAAATTGATTATGTATAGGTTAGGTATTGATATTATGAATATAAATTAAAAATATCTCACGAAAAATTATCGATAAAAACGGATCCTAGTTTCTCTGAAAAATATCGATTTTTTGAACGAATTGTTGTGAATTATGGATATTTTAGTATATATTTTGTTTACATCGATAAATATTGAATTGTTAATGTATACTTTAATTATTGATATTTTGAATATGAATTTAAAATATCTCACGAAACAGTATCAATAGAAATAGATCCTAGTTTCTTTAAAAAATGTCAAAATTTTTCATGTATCGAAGCGAATTATTGAACAAATCCGTTGTGACCATTTAAAAGAATGTCAAATTTCCAGTAAGGTGTGATCAATACTAAACTTGTAAACCTCGAAAACTTTGAAAAAATAATTTTTTTTTTCAAAATTGTAAAACTTACAATGGTGATTCTAAACTACTATTTCAAAACCTAGAGAGCAGCAAATTTCAGAAAACGATCTCCTTTTAATATCCTTTTTAGTGGTGAAATTGCTTTTTTAATTACCTTTTTCGAAGATGAAGTAATTGATGGAAGAAAGGAGAAACCGTGGCTGACGGATTGTTGGTAAGGTGGAAAATAAATAAAAAATTCTTAAGGAAATTTTGAATGAAATTATTAAACTTTTTTTTAAATTTGGGTTCGAACCCGAAATAGTGCAAGTGTTTACTTATTTATCAACACGACGGCAACTTTGATTAAAGAACTATTGTATTATTCTCCGGAATAAAAGAATTTTAAAGTTCAAAACTTTTTTTAGTTATCTTTGTGATATCTTGTTAACATTATGGCTACTTTTTCTAATGAAGAATACGCTGATATAGAGGCGTCGGTGGCCACAACGGTTTAGACGTTGACACGGCGCTCATCACTGTAAGGTAAAGGTCCCGGGTTCGAATCCAGCGGCTCGCATTCGAACCCGACATACTTACAAATGAGCTTTTTTTTTTCAAAAACACCGACACCCCGAGGGTTGATATAACCTCTGCTGTTGCGAACCTCGTAAATAAATAAACAAAAAAAAATATGCTGATATACATCTTATGTACAGGTTTTGCAGGTTTAATGCAGGTCGGCAGCGCGTCGAAAATACATTGCGAAGGGTGGAGAGCATTTAGAATCAAAATTTAAAAAAAAGTTTAATAAATTCGTTCAAAATTTCCTTAAGTATTTTCTTTTTTATTACTATTAATCTTTCCACCTTACCAATCCTTCAACCATGGTTTTTTCTTTACCTTCATCAATTTCTTCATCTTTGAAAAAAGTAATTAGAAAAGCAATTGCACCACTAAAAAGGATATTAAATGGAGTACGTTTTCTGAAATTTGCTGGTGTCTAGGTTTGAAAATAATAGATTAAAATCACCATAGTAAGTTTTTCAACTTTGGAAAAAAAATTTTTTTTCAAAGTTTTCGCTATTAAAACCCTTATTTCACTAACGTTTACATGTTTAGTATTGATCACATCTTTTTGGAAATTTAAGCAATTTTCATAGATATCAATGGATTTGTCCAAAACCTTTCAGTTTTGGAGTTATCACTGTTTATTTGAAACAAGGTCGTGAAATCTTAAAAAATCAGAAAAAGTGAAAAAACTCCGAAACTGTTGAGATTCGGACCGTAGTTAATTGGGACTTTTTGGTTCCATTTTGAATGTAGAATCTACTGGTAAAGTTTGTAGCACGAGTAGCCGAACAACCTGTATATATTTTTGGTCTCTCTCTTTCTGTCTCTCACTTTCTCTCCGCCATAAAATAATTCAAGGTCGTGGATTTGTGGGATTGAAAGAAAAATAAAACTAGTAAAAAATGTTTAATTAAAAATTTCAATTCAACATTTGTTCTGAATGTCTGTTAAAAATGTGTATCTTGAGGTTCTCCTTCCTCTTGGACTTCATCGGGCAGAAAGGGCATTCGAAATTCTTCGGTTTCCCGCATTCGTATTTCTGATGTCGTGTGAGGGTCCCTTTGTTCTTGTAAGTCTGCGAACACCCTGGACACGTGTGACCGTTGGACTCTGCAAAAGTACGAACCGGCAAAACGTCAGTGGTGAAACGGCCCAAGTTATATTACACATATGTTTTTTTGTTACAGCAATAAACACTTCTAGATTTTGGGTATTTGATTTAAACAACACTGAACGCTTTTTCTAAATTTTTTATTTACAAAAACACTAATATTTCAAGGGGTTTATATATCTAATTCTGTGAGGCCGTGTTTGGATATGAAGTGCATTTTGAGATGGACTTTTTGGTAAGTCTTGAAGCTGCATAAATGACAGCAGAGCGACGGTTCTTTCCCGCAGACGCGGTTCGTGTGGAATGACAGACTCTGCCTGTACTTGTAGTGTTTCCCGCATTTCGTGCAAGTAAATTTCTTTTCTAGAAATAAAACAGTCCGTGTTAACAATAAGAAGTTTTATATAAAAAAATTGTCAAACGAATAAACGTTATAGAATATAGCCTGTTTGTCTACCTATTTGCCACCGACTTCAGTCTGGTTTACGTGCCTGGAGAAAACGTGGAATTTCAGGTTGCCCTTTTGTTTCGACTTATAAGGACAATGAGGACAGTGGTAGCGAGGCTCTTGTCCACATTCGTTCCGAACGTGGGACGCAAGTCCTTTTTTGTACTTGTACGGCTTCGAGCAGACCGTACACACGTACGGCTTCCCCGTCCAATCTGCCACAATTAGGCAAAATAACCAATATTAATGTAGAGAAACAACAAATTAAAAAAAAAGACCTCCCTAAATAAAACCAAACATTCTACCATATACAACATCAAGAAGGTTTAAGAAAAAACACATTTAGAATACAAATTTGTTAAGATTTGAATGTATCAAGGCGGACTTTATTTTTCACTTTTATTCATAAATTTGAGAAATCGCTGTGTCGGAGACGCCTGTGAATTTGGAGGGTGGACTTCCTTTTTGCTTTGTAAGAACAGTGGTTGCAGGAGAACTGTGGCTCTTTTCCGCACTCGTACGTCATATGGAGGACCATGCTGTTTTTGTACTTGTACTGCTTGTTGCAACGGGGGCATCGGTGTCTTCTCTCACCTGGAACTGGAGTTGATTCCGTTAAAAGGTAGCTAATTTTTCCAGAGACCTTATGCTGGATTTTTTTTAATTTTTGCCATGAGTTTTTGTCAGGATCATAGCTAAATTTCTTGAAATAATGATTTAAAAGGTTGACCAATATGAAAATCTATTTACAATAATGAATTAATTGATTATGAATATTGCTGCTGAAATTATAGTAAATTTAGGTTAAATCGGTAGGCATATTGACTGTTATTGTATATGATAATTGGATTGAGGGTTATTTTTTCCATGAACTCTCTTTTCATTTTTAATATAAAAAAATGAAAAGAGAGCACATGATGGTGTTGTAAGCGGACGACGGCGCGGCGGCCGAATTATCTCTCGATATTCGCTTGTTTTTCTCTAAGCGACAAGAGATGAGTCGGCGTAAGCGCGTCGCTACTTATTCTTGTGTAGGGGAAGGTAAGGTTCCAGAATTCAATAAACCAGAGAGCGTATTCAATAACATTTATTGTACACAGTTCTTTCTCTTAATCTTAAAAACCTCAGAATCTTACTTAATCTACAAGTCAGCCACAACTGTAAAGTCTATCAACAAAGGGACTTACCCCAAACGAAGCTCGCCACGATCAGTGTCCACAACGTCTCTTCTCTCGACCTCTGACTTGACTTCTCGCAACGGCTGGTCCTCGCTGGCTCTGGCTGGCTGAGTCCTCTTGTTGAATCCCAGACGGAGTGTGGCTGCTTCTCTCCCGGTCCTTGGTCTTGACTGCCTGGGATGAGTCTCTGCTGGGTCTTGGACTGGGGTGAGCCTTGTACCTTGACTTTTGACTTTCCAGTCATCCCTTTTATACCGGGTCTCTCCCGGTGTAGGGGTGGAAAGGAAACTCAAAAGTCGGGGGAGTTCTCACGCCGCGGCGGGGCCGGCAAAGACGGCGGTCCAGCACAGGGTTGAAATATTCCCAATTTACGATATCCCCTGTTCTTACCTGTCTACCTGGGTAACCGTTTCCAAGCTACATTTGCCAGATGTGTCACGTCGTTCCCGTCTGGGTCTGCCTCACACTTCGACGTTCTTACCTAACTGTCTTCCTGGGTAACCGTTTCCAAGCTACATTTGCCAGATGTGTCACGTCCTTCCCATCTGGGCGGTTGCCCCTTCAAAGGACAACCTTTGTCCCTTTTCCTCGTTTACCTATTTCGTTCTTATTTTACAATATAACTAAACGCTAAGACGGGGGCCGGCTTACAGTGTCATTATGGTAAATTTAGGTTAAATAGGTAGGCATATTGGCTGTTATTGTATTCGATAATTGGATTGTGGTAATTTTTTTAGGTTTTTGTATAAAAAATAAAAAGAGAACACATGATGGTGTCATTATGTTAAATTTAGGTTAAATAGGTAGGCATATTGGCTGTTATTGTATATGATAATTGGATTGAGGTTATGTATTTTTATGTTTTTATATTACAAATAAAAAGAGAACACATAATGCTGACATTATGGAAAATTTAGGTTAAATCGGTAGGCATATTGACTGTTATTGTATATGATAATTCGACTGAGGTTATGTTTTTTAGGCTTTTATATAAAAAATAAAAAGAGAACACATGATGGTGACATTATGGTAAATTTCGGTTAGATTGGTAGGCATATTGCCTGTTTTTGTATATGATAATCATATGGAGGTGTTTTTTTAGAGGTTTTTATATAAAAATTAAAAGAGAGAACATAATGATGATATTATGGTAAATTTAGGTTAAATCGGTAAACATATTGGGCTGTTGTTATTGAATATGATAATCGGATGGATCTTATGCTCTTCGAAAGTTTGACGTAAGAACTGTTCTTTTTATAATTGTCTTCATCTTAGACTTTTTATTAAAAAAATAACAATATAAAGATAAGAAAGAAGAGAGTATAAGCTGATAGATCTGACAGAATGTACCAAAAATCATTGGTAACAGTAATATTGGTGACATCCTGGTTACACACACGCGCACAAGAGCATATAAAAAATTGATCGTTAAAAGAGAACTTTCGGTGGGAACTTGGAATGGTAAAATGAAAAAGAAAATTATTAACAATAAACTATATATACACATAAATTAGAAATAAAAGTCAGCTTATTTCAACGTATATTTTTAAATATTAATTAACAATGTAAAAAAAGAACCACCGTAAAACTCCAAAACACTTTTTTTCTATATAATTATTATTATTATGAACAGATGAAATCTATAAGTCGTAGGAAATGGTCACTTCTGGGACCGCCTCACACGTCATCACGCCTCACTCATGGAGTCTGACGGTGTATAGACTTCTGCCCCCCACCCTTGGAGATACTGGGACCGCCTCACACGTCATCACGTCTGACGGGGTTCACTAGCGAACCTGGTGGCATTCTGGGACCGCCTCACACGTCATAACGTCTCACTCATGGGATCTGACGGTGTGTAGACTCCCCCTCCACTTTCTTTGGAGATACTAGGAACCCCTCACTTCCCTGCCTTCACCGTTCCTCTCCCGCCCGGTCCACATGTTTTCTGATGTGTGCCCCCCCCCTCCGACCCTTTTTGGAGATACTGGGACTGCCTCGGTCAAAGTCTAACTTTCTGGGACCGCCTCACACCTCATAAGCTTCACTATCGCATCTGGTGGCCACAATCTGAACTATTGAAATCGGGGGTCTGACGGTATGTTACCGAAAGATGAAAAAAAATTGTCGTGGTTTTGTCATTGCAATCGTGGGATCTGATGGCTTGAAATTTTACCTCCAACCTCTAGTTTGAAAAAATATGATTGACCAAGTGTATTGGGATAACTTTAGTTTCGAATTCTGCGTGAAAATTAGTTACCGGAGGGTACCACCGTTTATCGATTCGAAGAAGCGTATTTTCATCACTAAAATTGATTTTTGTAATTGTTTGTTGTCAACGCATCCTATTCATGGGTGGGTACACGACCGAGCCACCCTTCTAATTTGAGGAGCAGGTTTGTGTCCGCCTCCTTGCATCATGACGTCACCACAGCGGTAATCTGACCGCGTCTGCATGTTCGTGCATGCATCGCCCACCCTTCTAATTTGACGAGCATGTTTCTGCACGCCTCCTTGCATCATCCCACGATTGCAATGACAAAACCACGACAACTTTTTTTTCATTTTTCGGTAACATACCGTCAGACCCCCGATTTCAATAGTTCAGATTGTGGCCACCAGATGCGATAGTGAAGCTTATGAGGTGTGAGGCGGTCCCAGAAAGTTAGACTTTGACCGAGGCAGTCCCAGTATCTCCAAAAAGGGCCGGAGGGGGGGGCACACATTAGAAAACATGTGGACCGGGCGGGAGAGGAACGGGGAAGGCAGGGAAGTGAGGGGTTCCTAGTATCTCCAAAGAAAGTGGAGGGGGGAGTCTACACACGGCCAGACCCCATGAGGAGCAGTCGGGAGAGGGGGTTTTGGAGGGAAGGGAAGCGCGGGGGTCCCAGTATCTCCAAAGAGGGTCGGAGGGGGGCACACCGTCAGACCCCATGAGTGAGACGTGATGACGTGTGAGGCGGTCCCGAAAAGTTGGACTTTGACCGAGGCGGTCCCAGTATCTCCAAGGGTGGGGGGGCAGAAGTATATACACCGTCAGACTCCATGAGTGAGGCGTGAAGTCGAGTGAGGCGGTCCCAGAAGTGTCCATTTCCTACTACTTCTATAACTGTATAAAATTGTCGTTGGCTTTCAATCACTCCGGTTTGGTGGTGGGCACATTGAAGTCGGACGCCATATGTTTGTTGAAGATGTGCCTTTTCAAATGGATCTTGTACTTCGCCTTGTAGGAGCAATGGGGACACTGTGAACCCGGTTCCTTCCCGCACTCATACCTCAAATGGCGCCTCAGGGTGGACGGGAATGCGTACCTCCTCTCGCAGATGGTGCACACGTACGCCTTCTTCCCATGACCTGGAATGAAACGAAGAGTGAGAAATTATAGAATTTTCGACATGGAACCTGCGGAAGGATGGACAGCGAGGGTCACGTGTCTCTTTACAACTGTCCTCATTCTTGACTCTTTTTTACTTACTTTTATGCTGGATTTTATCGATTGTAATTTTTACCATGAGTTTTTGTGCAGATCACAGCTTAAATTTCCTAAAATAATGATTTAAAACGTTGACCAATTCCAAAATTTATTTACAATATTGAATTAATGGATTATGAATATTACAGATGAAATTATTATGATAAATTTAGGCTCAATCGGTAGGTCTATTCGCTGAACTATATAGGATAGTTATCCAGGTTTGTTTAACCGAGTCCAAGGTGAATTCAATTCGTAATTTCATTATGCTTTATTCAAAAATTATCATATGTAAGGCTGTAAATAATTATATAGAACTTTATTCATCCCAATTTACAACATCCATATATGTTTAGTAGTCATATTTAACCGTATTTGTTATTTTACTTAATTACACTTTTTATCTAAGGGCTTGTTTGAAATGGAAAAGTTAGTGTCACGAGCGGGATTCGAACCCACGACCTTTGGCTCAATACGCCGCTGCGTCAACAGATCGTGGGTTCGAATCCCGCTCGTGACACTAACTGTTTCATCTCAAACAAGTCCTTAGATAAAAAGTTGATTAATTAAAATCAATTTACAACTTCACTAGTTTTCGTGGTCCGCTTGACCAATTAATATCTTTCGATTAATTAAGGTTTTTAATTGAGATAAAAAAGCCAGTGTCACGAGCGGGATTCATAGATATATTTTCACCAGTGCCCAGAGCGATAGAGTCAGGGGAGATGGATTGACAAGCATTTTCTATTTGCAGCAGTTCCTAAACTGAGGTTGCGTAGACACTGTTTTTTTAAATGGCACCACAGAAAATAGTCAAGTGGAGTTAAATCGGGTGACAGAGGAGGCCATGAGGTCCTATCCACCTATCCGGAAAAAGATTCAGATAACGCCTCACCTGCAAAGAATTGTGTGCGGGGCATCCATCAAGCTGGAGAATACATTGCTGAGGAACATCATCTGATAATGTTAGTAAAACCTGTCTCAAAAAACTGAGGACCTGATCACCAAATAATTTATTTCCGAGAAGTTCACACTAAACGTTAATACTGCGAACAACCTGATGATGACAAGAGAAAGAAATTATCGTTTTATCCTCTGCCCACGTTCGAAAATTCCAAGGGTTCAGTATGCCATTAAACGTGAACTAGGATTCAGATTCTTCAATCGTTTTCTTCAGCCTCCCAAATCGACATTTGTGCAAGGAACGTTAGACGACTGTCATAATCATAGTCGGGAACTTAGAGAGAGGCTGTCTTCTACCTGGGACCTTTCGTGAAGCTTGCGCATGGCCAATGTATTATCCCCGGTCCTCACGGGAAACGTTGCGACCGGACGACAGCATGTAAGCGTTGAGGACGTCATGATCATGCTACAGTCCCTCGAATGCGTGAGTAAGCGACTGGAAAAGGGTAGTGGTATCGGCGGTTTCTGACGAGTATGCTTTGCATTGTTGTGCGTATGACCGGCGTGGTACCCTTGGGGAAGCGAAGGATCGGACCACCTAGGCTAGACCTATGGCGTCCCTCGATTACGTGCAGCAGGTGTAGGCTGAGCTTGATAAGAGACCTTTGTCCGTAGGCAGTACTCATCTAAGGGGTGGGTAGAAATCCCACTTTTTAATCCGAAACCGCTGTCGGGGCGTTCCCGAAAGTTTCTACGCTGGAGGAGCCTCTACACTTAGAGAGATAGAGTCGCCTTCTCTATCTAGGGAGTACGCGGGGGGGGCTGATGTATTTCGGCCCGTTAGCCCCTCGCGTGCGGCGTACGACCCGACGCACAATGCGGGCCCGACCATTCGGAGTGGACAAGCGGGGAGCGTGGCTACTGACCCTTTGGGGCCGGGACACCACTACACCAATGCTGCGGCGGTAACACTTTTCCGTCGTATGCAGAAGTGCGTCAGCTCCCATCTTGAGAATCAAAGCGTCCGATAAGGCCATGAGCCAGGTGCGGACGTTAAAGATCCTCTTGTCTTGTTGACGATGAGTAAATCGGGAACGCATGTCATAATCATAGTCCCGAGGTCCCTGGATAAGAGAAGCAACGGATCAATGGAGATTTAACATACAGAAAAACCCTAGGAAATGAAATTGTAGCAGCAACAATCTATGATCTAATACTTTTGAGAAGAAGGATTTAGTCGATTGTACTCAACTAAGGAACTAGGAAGGTACAATAAGCCAGATGGCTGAAGTGCCTGGGGGCACATACCCATCATTATATATTCTCGTCACCATCACCATCACTCTGGACAAGAATAGAGCGATATGGCTTAAAATTGTCCCGGAGTACATCTCCAATAAAAAATTTCCGGTGCGGGTTGCTTTCTCGATAATCCACCATGAATTAACAAATCCGTACGCATAGGGAAAATTGTAGGGATTATGCTGCTAGTCGGTTTCCGACTAGTTTCATACCTAAAAGCGTAACGAAAGTACTGAAGAAAAAGAGAGTGTACATGCCGGAACATAAAGTATCAAAAACATTTACGGTTATTGGAATATACATATTTTTTAATGGTTCTGATCATGACGACCATGAAATCATGTCACTCGTGTAATAATGATGGGATTCTGACTACACATACAAGAAAGAACATAAAAAACGTTATAATTAAAAGAGAACTTTTATGGGAACCAGGAATGGCAGAATAAGAAAGAAGCTAAGAATTTACAATAAACTAAGTGTACACATAAATTAGAAATAAAACACAGCTTATTTCAACGTATATTTTAAAATACTAATTAACAATGTAAAAAAAAGAACCACCTTGACATTTTAATCCACATATTTTTTTTATATTATTGTTATGGACAGATGAAATGCTTAACCTTTTCTGAATGTGTGTATAAAATTGTTTTTGGCTTTCAATCACTCTGGTTTGGTGGTGGGCACTTTGAAGTCAGACACCAGATGTTGGTTGAAGATGTGTTTTTTCAAATCAATCATATACTTCGTCTTGTAGGAGCAATGGGGACACTGGGAACAAAGTTCCTTCCCGCACTCATACCTCAGATGACGCCTGAGAGTGGACGAGGATGCGTACCTCCTCTCGCAGATGGTGCACACGTACGCCTTCGTCTCCTGACCTAGAACGAACCGAAGAGTCAGAAATGATAGATTTTTCGACATCGAACCTGCGGAAGGACGGACAGCTGGGATCACATGTGTTTGAGGATGAAGTGGGATTTCAACTTCCTCTTGTGCTTCGCCATATAAGGGCAGTTGGGGCATTGAAACTGCGGAGGCTGGCCGCACTCGATTTTCCTGTGTTGGGTCAAATTTCTCTTATACTTGTAAGAACGATTGCATATGTCGCACGTGAAAGGTCCTGAAAAAGAAAAATAATTTAACGTACCTGTCAGCCTTCTGGGTTTCAACAATAAAGGTTTTCGTATCGAGCGGAAAAAAACTCGCTTCAACAATTAAAATGAAGTGTATATTACAAATCAACTACAGCAAGTCGTGTTTGAATTTTTGGAAGTGTTTGTTGTGCATGTGCAGCTTCAGAGTCCCTTTCTGCTTCGCCTTGTAAGGGCAGAGTTGGCATTTGAACTGCGGCTCGACACCGCACTCGAACCTCTGGTGTCTGATTAGGTTGTCCTTATATTTGTACGACTTGTTGCACACTGGACACGGAAAGTACGGAATGGCGAAACCTGAAAATAAATCGCACTCCGTGTTACGTCATTTCTCATAGAAAACCATCTTCCTGGACACGTAGAGAAGCGTCCCTGAAAGTACTACTCTAATTTTGACCTTTCACACCAAACCCAGATTGAACATCTTAGAAAAAGAAAAACTATATATATAAAGTTACAGGCTTACATATTATAATAAGCCATAATGAAATTATGAACTGAATTTACCTTGGACACGATTAAACAACTGCCTATATAGTATTACCTTCATCCGTTTTTCTATATACAGCCAAATCACCTAACCATTTACTACACATACGCAACAATAGCCAACACTTAATCATCATACAAACAATTATAATTTAAATATCGATATTTGAAATTGTGTATTTATTAGCGTGAGTGGTGAGAGGTGTTGGTGAAATTAGAGTCACCATCGCCCCTCGAGCAGTGAATGTGTCTAGGGTCGATGGAGGACTTCAATGAATATTCCGCTATCGACCCTAGAGTTGATCGTCGGACTTTGCCTAGGCCCGTAGGGAAGGGTGCCTATGGGCGAGAGTCGGTGCAGTACTTGTTATTCCTCCACCGACCTACACCCAATATTAATAATCTTAATTAGGGTCGATGGGGTAGTTTTATGAATATTCCACTAGTACTGCACCGACTTATCTCGCCCATAGGGAAACCTTCCCTATGGGCCCGGCAAAGTCCGACCATCAACTCTGATGATTGGGGTATCGATGATGAATTACCGAGTCTTTTTCCCCATTTACTTTCCTTTTCGTTACCTTATCCCCTTATACTTTCCTCCCTCTGTTTTGGCAGAAGCTTCTTAGGTTACTGAACCCGCACCCCTCAGGCAACGGTTCCATCAGAAGGGAATTCCCTAGTGGGCCATCTTAAAAATAATTACAATTAATTAAGGTTTTTAGTTGAGATAAAAAGCCAATGGTGCGAGCGGGATTCGAACCCACGATCTTCGGCTAGATACGCCGCTGCTCTACCACTTGAGCTATCGTGACCTCGATCCACTCGGACACCAACTCCCCATCTCAACCCCACCTTTTGAATTTTCCCTCCTTTTTGCCATTTTTCAAATGTCGTGAACTCGGATTGGATTCTCGGCGACAAATTTAAATTGTAATATATTAATTGGTCAAGCGGACCACGAAATTAGTGAATTTAATTAATTAAAATGAAGTATACTTCACTAAAGCTCTCCGTGGCCATTTCATTGGGCTCTCAAAAGGTGGGGTTGAGATGGGAAGTTGGTGTCGAGTGGATCGAGGTTACGATAGCTCAAGTGGTAGAGCAGCGGCGTATCTAGCCGAAGATCGTGGGTTCGAATCCCGCTCGTGCCATTGACTTTTTTATCTGAACTAAAAACGTTAATTAATTGTAATATATTAATTGGTCAAGAGGACCACGAAATTAGTGAACTTAAAAATAATATTGTACCATGGGATTGGGTGACTCCAAGTGGCCCCCGATTGAGGTTGGACTCCTGGCGGTCGTGGTTTGCCATCAACTTGTACCGTTGGAGTGTACCGGCTTACCTTAGAGACAAAGTTGCCTCCTCTATCTCTCCGGTAGTGACTAAAAGCGGACTTTGTTAGTAAGTCACAAAATTCCCTTTTTCAAGACACTTTTAAAGAGCACTTCTGAACTTGGCTAGCACTGCACCACCAAGGAATGTGACAAGTCCATGCGTGTAAAATCTTCCTGGTATTCTCTTAGAGAACTTTAGGCGTCTTAGAAGTCCCTTCGGGGATAAGTCCGGACGTTAAAGCTCCTCATGGGTCTAAACATCCATGAGTAAAGATGAGTACATAGGTGTGAATGTATTTATTTGTGCGACTGTATTATAGAAGTTAATTAGTTTTAGGTTTGATTATATTTTGCATGCCTTGGTTGCTGAAGTGACCAAACTGTCGAAAGACCCCGTTCGACGTATCTACTAGCTTATGGCTTATGTGAAAAACCAGCGCACCAGCAGCATAACGGGGTAGGTCAACTCCAATTTGATACAGACTAAGGCCAGCACATCGGAGAGTCTTCCGGGTGAAAGTACAATACCGATAATATTGTGCTTAATTTAGTGATAAAATAATATCTCTAAGCTTAATTTAAGTCCAGGCCTACCACCGCGGTAACAGCGTCGTGGGTTCAATTCCCAGTCCCCCAGCCTTTTTTCACGCCCCCCCCCCAAAAAAAAAAACAACATGTACGTTAATATGTGCGTTTCCTCCCTTCAGTTCAAGATTCTGGAACCATTTTTAGCTAGCCAGGTTAATTTATTATTTTTTCTGACCTTAGATATAATATTTTTTACAGGACTTGAACATGGAATGAAACCAAATTAGAATAAGACACTGATGGATGTTCCGAGCGGAAAAAGGGATAAAACGTCCAAGCTTTAAAAATCTGGAACTTCCAGAGCTTGAAAATCCTTTCTTTGTAATCCTGGACTAAAAGAGGATAGACACCTTCTTAATCCTGGTATCGAATCTACTATAAAACCACAAAAGGACCTACTTTCGACTGGGTTCGTAGGGCTTAGTTTTGTTTGACTTTAATCACATTACTTAAGCCATGTCCAGCTTGAAATTCCGGGAATATACAATAAATATTAAAGACAAGTTTTTGTAAATTTTATTTAAAGGTTTAATTGATTATAAAAGTTTTCAGTTGATAAAAGTCTTCTCGCCGAAGTGCCTTAGCCCGATGTGGGCCTTGAGGTGGCTTTTGTGCTTCGCACGGTATGTGCACTCGGGGCAGGCGAATTGAGGCTCGATCCCGCACTCGTACTTCCTGTGTCTGCAAAGGTTTTCCTTGTGTTTATAGGATTTGGTGCAGTTCGGACAGGGGAATGCCTTGACTGAAAATTGCAAGAGATTGTCAAGTTAAAGTCGAGTTGGGGTAAGAAACAAAAAAATATTAATTGCTTAAACGGAATCGAAAAAAGAAGCCCTTGAAGGCCAAGAAAAACACTTGGTGGGCGGTATGTTCGTACAAAATACGTATTGATTAAAAACTACTTGACGTTTTAAGCAATTGTTTTATTTCAAAGACAGCTTTTTTGGGGTGTCGTATCAAGGTTTTTCTTCCCGTTTTTAACCTTGTCAGCCCAAATAATCTACATGAAGTGCTTGAGCGCGAAGTGGGCCTTTAACTGGTCCTTGTGCCTCGCACGGTATGAGCATTCGGAACAGTAGAACTGCGGCTCTTTCCCGCACTCGTACTTCATATGCCTTTGCAGATTCCTTTTGTGTTTGTACGATCTCGAACAGGTCGGACAGGCCAGGCGCTCGTCTAGAAATTAAATGCAGAAAAGAAATGAATATATGAAAAATTGGAGAAAAAAAATAAAACTAAAACACAATAAAAATATATATCGAGTTTCTCACAATGCGATGGAGCTCTGAATTACTAAAAAGTTTTCGACCCTAAGATGGAATTTTTAGGTTTCAAAAAACAAAACAAGAAAAAGAATAACAGTACAAATAGAAATTATACATGTATTATAATTATTTAGCATAAATAACAAAATACCTCTAAACACTGGGTAAATAAAAAAAACACATTTCTTATATTGTATCGTCAATGGGACTTTAAACATCCCTTATACTAAAGTTCAACCTGGCGTGGATAAAAGTGAAAAATACAATCGAAAACTGGACATGGAAGATTATCATGCGGTCAGACATACCGCCCACCAATCCTTCACTTTTACCTCAGCGAGGGTCCGGATTGTGCTTCAAAGCAATGTGCGTCTTTAGATGTGCTAATTGTTTCGACCTGTGCGTGCAGTAAGGGCAGAAAAACGACCTTTCCTTTCCACACTCGAGGACTTTGTGACGCTTCAAGCTTCCCTTGTGCTTGTACTTCCTCTGACAACCGTCGCACGTGAAGCCAAGCTCGGTATCTGAAATGATCAACGTAATATTAATAAAGGGCATTATGGTTATAAACTGACAAACCTGGACAATGGCGATAGTGATGGATGATAGTTATCAAGCATACTAACGGAACAATTTTTTCTCATTCTGAAGACACTTTTTAAATATAACTTCAATTAGAATAAAATAAAGACGTGATTTACCACCCGATTTGTTTTAAAGCAAAATTTTCTTCTTTCAAAAAAACCCGTTTCTAAGAGATAAAACAGGGTTGGATTCAAATACAAAATAAAAGTCTGTAAAGCTTATTATTTGTGTAAAATGATACACATCCTCGGATCAATTAAGTTTTCTGCTCAAAGCATGCCGCAAAGCTCGAGATGCTTCACGGCGATGTGGCTCTTCAAGTTGGACTTCTGCTTGGATCGGAACGGACAATGGGGGCAAATGAATTTCGGCTCCTGGCCGCACTCGTTTTTGACATGCCTGGACAGATCTCCCTTGTATTTGTAAGTTTTGCAGCACATTTGACACTTAAAACGCGATCCTGAAATAAAAAGAAAGTTATTAAAGCCCCACACAAGCCTAAATTTGAAAAATGGCAGCTAAGCTCGAATGAGATTTATAAACTTAGTTACCCTAGCTCAATTCACGAAGTGATTAATAACTTTGGGTAAAAGACCAAATGTATTTAGGTAAGTATATTTTGACTTCAACTGCCGTAATATTTACTCTGACTGGGTGGTTGGGAAATCACGGTTCCGCAAGGGTACAACTTTGGTCCAGTGCTGTTTTTTAACGTAAATTTTTTCTCGTAAATCCTAATTGATTCGATCGTCTAATTTGGTTTGTGTTTTCCCCTTTGAACATCTCTGTCTATAAATTAAATTTGAGAAGTTATTATAATTAATATCGTGTACACGATTAATTTTACAAATAAAATACAATAAAAATAATCAGTTTTTTGTAGGATTTAAGGTGATGTAAATTAAAAAATGAGTTACACACTTTTTACACAAGGATATCAATTTAGTACATTGTCGATTTTGCTTTCTGTATTGTATTTTATTTTATTTATTTAACTATAATTTATATATTGTGTTTGTTATGTGTGTAGAAGGACCGATGTAACTGGGCGTATTCACGTTGCAAAAAAAAAATTGGTGGGCGGTATGTTCAGACCATCGACCCTTATTTCAAAATCCACTTTGGTCTAAGGTTATTTTTCCTTATTCTCGACAGTAGACGTTTCAGTTTTAATTATTCACGTCTTTGATAAAACGTTATGTTAAAAATCTAATAAATTTGAGCATGACTAGATGCTTCAGAGAAAAGTGGCTTTCACAGCACGAAAGATGGACGAAGAAGAAAACAAAAGCTACATTAAATTAATGTGTAAAATATTCAAAAAAGCTCCAAACATTGTGAAAATTGCACAAGTATCACTAGAAGAAAATCATCATTGATTTATCCGACCTTTTTTTTAAATAGGTAAATTAGCATTGATTACTACTTGGATACATTCTTATTTTTGATTTTCATAGATACTTTACTTTGGTTTACACGTCAATTTTAGGAGGAAAAAAATAAAAAGCATACTGAGACAAAATACAAAAATTTATTGAGTCATATTACAAAGAAAATTGGCTTTCAAGAAGAAGAGAAGTCTGAAATGTTGTGCTTATAGAAAATGTGCTTTTTGAGTGAAGACTTGTATTTGGTCCTGTGTAGGCACAAGGGACATTTGATTTGTGGCTCCTTCCCGCATTCGAACTTCTGATGTTTGGTCAGGTTCCTCCTGTACTTGTAAGTCCTGAAGCAGAACTCACAGGTGAGGCGGCTGGAGGCCCCTGAAAATAAAACCAGTTGTAAAAAAAAACGCCAGTTTGTCTTGGTACCGGGGTTACTTTATAGATTCAGCGTGTTTCACTGCTATATGGGACATGAGGTGTACTTTCTGCCGAGACTTGTGCGGACATATCGGACATGAGAATTGCCGTGCCTTGCCGCACTCCAACCTCTTGTGCCTGTTCAAGCTGTCCTTGTATTTGTAACTCTTGGGGCAACTGTCGCATCGGAAAGGTTGAAAAACATAATCTGAAATCGGACGGAGTTATTATTTCTTTTTGTCGGATAGAAATTTTCCTCTTATGTCTCCCGATCACGAGTCTTCGGGGAGGCCGTGTTTAAGGGCGATGTGAGCTTGCAGGTGGACTTTTTGTTTGGATTTGTGTGGGCAATGCGGGCAAGCGAACTGCCTCGAAATTCCGCACTCGAACCGTTTGTGCCTGTAGAGGTTTTCCCTGTATTTATAACTCCTCTGGCAGCCGGTGCATTTGAATTGTTTAACAGATTCTGAAAAATCAAAATGACAAATTACGTAGGTCTAAGAACGTCATAACCCCTAGATAAACAGGTCCAATAAATAAAATTAAAACAAAAGTACAAAAGCCGTTTATTTGAGATGTTTCGTGTGTTTTTTTTTTAAGTTTTTTGGTTTTTGTTTACAAATATTCAAAGGTTTCCGAGGTTTTGGAGTCCCTCTCGACTGCACCACGACTGGTGTTGACCCGCGATGTGGGTTTTGAGGTTGGCTTTCAGTTTCGACCTGAAAGGGCAAACCGGGCAGCCGAACCGTGGCGGTTTGCCGCACTCGTACTTCTTGTGGTTGTAAAGACCCTCGGGGTACTTGTACCTCCGGTAGCACTTGTCGCACCCGAACTTCTTCCTTTCGACCAGACCTGTTGGGACAAAATGAGGTTAGTGGTCCGCTGGGAAAAGCCAAAAAACGGCAACCTTTGGCGGTACTCTCGTTTTAAAAGACTCAACAGTCCGGTAGGCGTTTTGGTGAAAGGCCGAGAGTAAAATGTACACAAAAACGAGAGAATTGTACAATTTAATAAAAAAATTATCAAAAAAATGTTGATTTCATATTCTCCTCTTGACATTTCAATGAACTGACAATAGGAAAATAAATACACTTAATAAAGGCAAATCACGTGGCCACCCTTAATATTCTTATCTCTTAGAAAATCTTCCATTTATTATCTTATAACAACATTTGGTCTGTTTTAAAGGTTTTAAAAGCACAGATAAAATCTCTCTGTTTACGATTGGATTTTGTAAATTTTTGTGAACAGTCATTCTCTTCTTTGTTGGTTTTTCTGTAAAGCTTCATTCTAACGTGGTATGCTTTTTTTATAAGTGGTACCATTTTTCAGTTTCAAATTAGTTTAAGTGACGGTTTGATGATTTTTAAGTATGTCTCATCTCAAGTCTCATCGCGTTGTTGGAAGACGGAAGAAGACATTCGTATTTGGACAGGGTGTTTAACATTGCCAGGAATAACTGTCCGAAGGGTCTCTACCAAGATACTGGAGGTTGCTCAAGAAGGCATAGTATATGTATATACTCCGTAATCGACATTCTACCGCTGCTGAGATCAAGCAACTACTTCCAGAAGCTGCATTACCCGCGAGAAGGTATGCCATTGGCCCAAATCTTTTGACAAGGCGCGACTCGGTTAAGTTTCCCAAAAAGTCATGTCAATTGGTCTGAGCAAGATTGGTTTAAAGTTTTGTTTTTGGATGAGACAAAGTTTTAAGGTCTGCTGACAGCCCTCTCGTGGAGAAGAACAGGACAGCGATATGTCCCCGCAATATTTTCACTCCGAGAAGCTATGAAGGTGTTATGGTTCGGGCTGCCATTTATATGGAAGGTCGCACAAAACTTGAAGATGTATCAGGACAAGTTGGTCCTTAATAATTAAGTCCCCACAAAGCTGTGATTGTTGGTGACTACTTGGAACGAACTTCAACTCAATATTTGGATTGGCCAGCATGTAGTCCCGAGTTAAACCCTATCGAACACCTTTGGGGCGGAATGTCAAAGAGGGTAAAAGTCGCCCAGTGATGTCTGAGAATATGCAGGAATTAAGTATGACACTGTTTGAAGGGTACGAAAATATTCCACAAAAACCTCATAAAATAGATGCCAAGTCGAATGCAAGAGGTGATGAACGCAAGATGAGGAAATAAATTGCTTACAAAGCAACATTTTTTGTAGTAAGCAACAAAAAATAAATCTTATACCCAATTCAAGTATTTACTGAAGAACGAGGGTAGCCATTTTTTTTACCTCTTAGTGTACATAATCAAAACATCCCTTGGTTGGGTGTTGACGGTCCGCGTGTACTCGCTCCTTCCCCGACAAGTTCAAACAGTTTGTGGTGAATACGATATACTTCGGGATTCGGAAATCTTGAAGATGCTCTGTATAGAATTTCTTTAATACTTTATTCACATACAAGATATCTGGGTAAATCTAAACTTTTTGGCTTTGACGACTGTTGAGGTCTTTGGACGAGGTACGAGAAAATTTCCATCTTACTACCGAGAAAAAGCCCTCTGCTTGCTAAATAAGCCGAGTTGTGTTGAAACTCGTTCCGCCTCTTCTCGCTGTGACAGCAGGTGATCCAAGTACAAAAAGCTTGTTATAATCGAATAAAATATATATTTGGGCTACACTTTTTACAAATTATGTTTTAAAAATGGGTTAAATGTTTAAAAACGGCGTGTGTTGAGTGACGAGGTGTTTCTTGAGTGAGCTTTTGTATTTCGTCATGTGGGGGCAGTGGGGGCATTTGAACCTCGGCTGCTTGCCACACTCAACCTTCTGGTGCTGCACCAAGTTGCATTTGTACTTGTAGCTCCTTCTGCACCTCTCGCATGTGAACCTGGGCAGGTGCGCTGCAAAAGAGAACATGTTAAGCCGTTTCCGCCCGTTGTAGAATGGATCGGTTCACAAATGAAACATTCGCGGCTTTAAGGCATTAACATGTGCTTTAAGGCTACATGAGCTTTCAGATTGGCTTTGTGCTTCGATTTGTAATTGCATTCGGGGCATTGGAACTGCGGTTCTTTCCCGCACTCGAACTTCTTGTGTCGGATGAGGCTGTCCCTGTGTTTGTACTTCCTAGGGCATTTGTCGCATTCGAACTTGACACCTGTGGGGGAAAAATAATTCTGAATCAGTTTTTTCCTCAGATTTGGCACCAACGGTAGGCCTGCACATCTCCCTCCTTTCTTACGCAATAATATTTTTAATAACTGTTATAGTGGTTGGGAATAAATTTTAATGTAAAAATACGTGAGTCAGACTAGGCACAATATCACCCAAAGGTTAGATCGCCCTTGTGCCATATGGTTGACCATTTCACTACCTACTCCATAATATATTAATTTCAAGAATCCTTGTTTGAAATGCATTTAAATAAAAAAAAACAACTTGCCAGATTAGGTAAAATAATTGATTGCGATATCACCCCTAGCTTATGTTACATTTCGGTGCCTCATGGTCGATCATACTAACACAAACACTTTAAAAATTTAAATTTAACTTAATGCAGTATTGTTGAAAATACATTTTAATGTAAAAATACCACGGTCACACATCTTGAAATATTTGATAAAACATCACCCAAAGATCACATATTTAAGTGACTCGTGGTCGACCATTAACTTAAACACATTTGAAATAAATTGGAAGGTAGAAGCAATAGAAAGACTTTTTTATGCAAAAATACTTTTATTTGACTAGATAAAATGTATGGGAAAATATCACCCAAAGGAAAGAATGGTACTAGGATGTAACTTAATTGATAATTTAACGACCAGAGCTTTAATATTTTCACTGAAATTTTACCAAGGAGTGGTGTAAACGCATTTCAGTTCAAAAATACCATTGCCAGACAAGGCCTGGAGAAATAAAACCTTTTCACGTTTCCATTTCAATATTAATTTGATAAGTTCAGAAATATTATTCGACACTGTAAAATATCTAAGATGAATGAAACTGAAGGAAGCCAGAAAGGAGAAGAGATTGAAATAGTTGAAAAGACAGAGAAGAAAATGAAATGTATATGTGTATTTTATGCGGGGGAACAGAACAGGTGGGCGTTTTCGTCTACAAATACGATGTCAAGTGTTTCATTTTCATGTGGAAATGAAGCTCTGATCGTCTTTTGTAGGACTTAGTGCACATGGGACAGTCGAACTTTCTTCCGCATTCCTTTCTTTGGTGCCATTTCAACATAGCGAAGCATTTAAATTTTCTCCCGCAGGTGCAAAGATGTCTAAGCTCTATAAAACAAAAAATAAAAGAGAAAAAGTTAATATTTTATCTGTGATCATGGCTTGTTTTGGGGCTGTTCTCTTTTTTTGTTTAATTCCTTACCTATTCGATTGTCGTAAAGTATAATTGGAAAGACAAAGAAGAAAACATTGATTTTTATTGTGATTTATTTAAAAATAAAAGTTGAATTGGTGAAAAAATTACTAGTCGTAACAATGAGTGACAATTGGATTATTTACTAGTGTGCCGGCATATGACATGGCTTTTTAGATTTCCCTTGTAAGTTGCCTTGTAAGGGCAATAAGGGCACTGAAACTGGGGCTCTTTGCCGCACTCGAACCTCTGATGAAGCTTCAGGCTCCGCCTATATTTGTAGATCCTGCCGCACGTTTCGCAAGGGAAGTACTCCGGTATTTTCAATATGAGCGATTCGATGGTGCCTGAAAATGGCAAAAACGGCATGAGAAGGAATTCCGTCTCGATACCGAAATATCGGAGAAGAATAGATTAAAAACATCTGTAGGGGTTTAAAATGGTGTTTTTATTTGTTTGGAACAAAAACGAAAAGGAAAATACTAGGCAAACAGGGATCAGTATAGAACGGCGGGCCTGTCCGTGTGTCCGGCGTGCTTGACGGCGATGTGCGTGTTGAGATTGAACTTCATCCGCGTCCTGTAAGGGCAGAGTGGGCAGGAGATTTTCACATCCTTCCCGCACTCGTGCTTCTTGTGCTGGTAAAGTCCAGACTTGTACTTGTAGCCCCTTCCGCAAAGTTCGCAGAAGTAGTTCTTGGCGGGGGCAGCGCCTGGAACAAAAAACCTGTTATGACTCGAACGGGTCCGAGGTCGGCTCGTCTTGATGGTGGGCTCGTTTTGATAAGTTTTATGACGAATCGTGCATTAATTGTCTTGGATGGTGAGAATTAAAAAACCCTGCAGATGTACCTTGCCCTACTTAAACCACACAAGAAAAATTGTAAAGGTTTTTAAAATAAACCACACCCTTCATCAAAAATGCCATGCCATTTTACAAAATGATGGCGAGACAAGGTAAAAATGGCCGGGAAAACAACACCCAAAAATAAGACCGTACTTCGATGTCACATGTTTGATTATTTCTCGAGTAATCCTTTAATATTTTCATTAAAATTTTATAAGGCAGTGTTGGAAATACATTTCAATTTAAAATACCTAGTCCAGACTAGGTAAAATGACTGGGAAAACAACATCCAAAAGTAAGACGGTACTTCGATGTCACATGTTTGATTTTTTCTCGAGTAATCCTTTAATATTTTCATTAAAATTTTATAAGGCAGTGTTGGAAATACATTTCAATTTAAAATACCTAGTCCAGACTAGGTAAAATGACTGGGAAAACAACATCCAAAAGTAAGACGGTACTTCTATATCACATGTTTGATAATTTCAAGAGTAACGTTTTAATATTTTCATTGAAGTTTTATCAGGTAGTGTTGGAAATGCATTTCCATTTAAAAATACCTCGTCCAGACTAGATAAAGTGACTGGGAAAACAACACCCAAAAGTAAGACCGTAATTCGATGACACATGGTTGATAATATCAAGAGTATTGCTTTAATATTTTCACTGAATTTATATTAAAGTGTTAAAAAAGCGTTTTAATTTGAAAATATCTCTGTCGGACAGAGTAAAATGTTTTGAAAAATATCACCCAAAGCTGAGATCGTACCAGAATGCCATCTGGTTGATGATTTCACGACTAACGCTGTACGTTTTTACCAGCCAGTGTTATATATTATTATTATATATTATTACAAAACACATCGCCTAGATAGGGTAAAATGGACGGGAAAATATCACCCAAAGGTAAAACCAAACACGATGTCACATGGTCAACGATTTCACGTATAATTTTATAATATTTTCACCGCGTCTTTACCAGGAAGTGTTAAAACTGCATTTTAGAAAACAACTCGATCAGAAAAGGAAAACAACCGAATGTCATGCCATTTATAAACGCATATTTGGCTGTTACAACTCTCATCCATGGTGCTCGATCCTATTTTGTGCCTAGTTATTGTACATACAATCACGCTTATCATGCACATAAACTCATATTTCGACAACTTCGTCTGTACGAAGGTTTAAATTAGATTAGTAGATTTTCGACTATTGGGTTTTGGAGCTGGTTACAGAGTACCCTCTTGAATATAACACTTGGATGAATATACCGCCCACCAAATTTCGACCAACATGGCTGAGCATGATCTTTTCTAAATTATAAAGGGTTTACTATTGGCTTTATATTATCTAACTAAAAACCCTCAATTTTTAATTAACCTTTCTTTGACTATTTTAATAATTAATATAGTGTGTGTTGAAATAATAAAAATAAAGGATAGTTATAAACACAACATTTATTTAGAAATGGTCTTAAGAGGAAGCCTCCTCATTTTCTTTTTCAAGCCATTTAAATGTTATTTTTGTTGAAGATCGTACATTTTGAAATAAAAAGGTTCTTAAAGGATTTTTTTATTGCTGACATTAAATTTTTATTATTAACGCCACAGTTTCAGTTTATACAAGTGGTGTGTTTGTAAAGAATGTGAGAGTTGAGAGAAAATCGCATCAGGGCCTTATAGGGGCAATGAGGGCAGCTGAAGCTCGCTATCTTCCCACAGGCGTGCTTTCTGTGCTGGTACAGGCCGGCTTTGTACTTGTACCTCCGTCCGCAGTCACTGCAGGCGAACTTCCTACCTTGAAAGGGGGGAAAAAAGAAGTCCGTTAATAATAGACAACACGACGATAGAGCCCGTTGGACGGGGATTGAAATTTGAAAAACCTTTTCCTGACCGTGGGCCGAACGATCTCGCTATCCCCCGTATTCACGTGCGACGGACAGATCTCAATATTTATTTTGGGGAAACAAAGGAAGGGGGAGAAAATCGTTCTTGCTTTGTTTAAAGAAGGTACATGCAGAAATGACAAATAAATAATTTAAGTCTTTGTTTATACATATAGTAACTTTTTTATAGGAACATTCTCGTTTTCAAGTCAAAGAAAGCTCGATCTGTTAAAAAAAAAGAAAAAATAACAAAATTAACACAACATCGGAGTGTTTAAAGAAAATTTTATTTTACCCTCATTATCTCGTCATAACTGCCGAATGTATATTCCGTATGTGGTCTTTCAGGTTGCTTTTCCTTTTCGATTTAAAAGTGCAGATCGGACAGCTGAACTGCGGCTCCTTACCGCAGTCGTATTTGAGGTGGTTGTACAGTCCCGACTTGGATTTGTACCTGTTGAAGCAGCCGGGGCACTTGAAGAAGTTACCGGGTGTTCCAGCTGCACAAACACAAGTCAGGTTAAAACACAACTTCAAATCGAAAAAGAAAAAAAAATCGAGAACGTACCGGAGTTGGTAACAACCAAGGGAAAAATTGTTTATATTTAAATAAAATAACTTTATTGCCAAAAAAATCCATTTTTACAAATTTCTCTTAAAGTTGGACTTGGCTGTGTCTTCTGAACACGTGAATGTTTAGTGTGGCCTTCCTGCTGCTCTTGTAAGGGCAGATCGGACAGCTGAAGGAAGGCTCCTTCCCGCACTCGAACTTCTTGTGGTTGTAAAGACCACCGCGAGACGTATACGGCTTGTCGCATTTGTCGCAGAACATCGTCTTCTCTGAAATAAGCCAACAGTCGTGTCAAAAAAACCAAAAACTTACTCATGAAATAAAACAAGAAAAGAAGAAACCCACAACAGTCTTGTTTTTATTTGTCCCATACTGCTAACAGTCACGAAAGTTCAGACCTTAAGCGTTATGATTCCCGTTGTTTCCCTTGAGAGATCTCAAGTCAGTATTTGTAAGTACAAGTGTAAGTATAAAGGCCATAATGGGACTTCAAGGTAGAACTACCAAGAGATCAATGAAACTTTTTTAGAACAAAAAAACCAATGACTTTATTTTCGAGAAAGAAGACATAACAATTATTTTGAGTATTCAATGTTTTCCTCTTTAAGGATGTTAAGAAATGTTTTTATCGTAGTAATAATTAGCATCTGCAGCAACGTTGTGCTTGCTGATCAAGTGGGCTTTTAAGTTTCCTTTGAGCTTCGTCTTGTGGCCGCAGAGACGGCAGGTGAAGCCCGGAGGCTTACCGCACTCGTACTTCTTGTGGTTGTACAGACCACTGCGAGACGTGTACGGCTTGTCGCATTTGTCGCAGAACAACTTTTTCTCTGAAATAAGCCAAAAGTCGTGTCAAAAAAATTACACATGAAATGAAACAAGAAAAGAAGAAAACCACAACTGTCTTGTGTTTATTTTTCCCATACTGCTTACAGTCACGCAAGTTCAGACCTTTCAGAGTTATGATTCCCGTTGTTTTCCTTGGGATCTGAAGTGTTCGACAATAATTTGTAAGTACAGGTGTAAGTATAAAGCCCATAATGAGACTTCGAGGTAGAACTACTAATATCAATGATAGTTTTTTAGAATAAAAAAAACGAAAGACTTTATTTACGAGAAAGAAGACATAATAACAATTATTTTGAGTATTCAATGTTTTGCTCTTTACGCTTTAAGAAAAGTTTTTATCGTAGATATAATTAACATCTGCAGCAACGTTGTGCTTGCTGATCAAGTGGGCTTTTAAGTTTCCTTTGAGCTTCGTCTTGTGGCCGCAGAGACGGCAGGTGAAGCCCGGAGGCTTACCGCACTCGTACTTCTTGTGGTTGTAAAGCCCCTCGGCGTACTTGTAACTCTTGTGGCAGCTGTCGCAGACGTGTTTCTTAATAGATGGCCCTGTAAAACAAAAGAAGAGATTAAATATTTATAGACGGGCCGGTTCGACTGGTCTTCGGCGTCGTACATGTCGCCCAGGGCCTGTTCCGGGTGGACGTTGGAGATGTGGGTCTTCAGGTTGCCCTTTTGCTTCGACCTGTGGGCGCAATGGGGGCATTTGAACTGAGGTTCGATCCCGCACTCGTACTTTCTGTGGTTGTGCAGGCCCGCTTTTGTCCTGTACGGCTTCGAGCAGTCCTTACAAATAAACACTTCCTCGCTTACTGCAAAAAAATAATTCGTCTTCATCATTCAATCAAATATGGTCAAATAAAAAAAAAACTTGGCTATCCACAATATGTATATGAATAATAAAAAAAAGACATTCAAGAGAATAAATTAACACACCTCCAACTACAGATGACCAGTTCATGCTCTTGTTCCTAAATAACTCCATATTTAGTAACTTCTTCGAGCTCAGACCTTGATTAGGAAAGACAACAAGATTTAGAAAATTAATGTAATGCCGAGAAGAAAATCAAAAATTTAAACCTTATTCCCTAGACCGTTGAAAAAAGGCAGGTTGATATTTTGCCATTTTCCCCTTTCGCATCAAAATGAAGGGTTCAAATTTTCCAAACCGTCATTCTGTCGAAGGAGGGGCGTTTTGGAAAAATCACTGTCAACTCGGTTTTACTATATACTAAAATACAGGCAAACTTCGTACATAAATGTAAACACAAAATACTTATGTGTACTCGGTAGAATATACGGATGTAAACACATACATGCATTGTATATATCCCTGGCTTATTTGATATGTATAATAGAACGAATGTGCCCGTTGGCATTTACCTAACAGAAAATAAAAAAATGGTGGGCGGTATGTTCAGGCCCAGGTTTAACAGAAAATAGTCAAACTATTTGTTTTTCCGGGGGCGAAGGGGTTAGTTTAATGATACTATGCTTTAATGTATTCTACACCAATTTCAGTAAGTATAAAAAAAGGAACTTTATTTTTCCATATTAATAATGTAAATTTATGGAGAAATACTTTCCCATTACATAAATCGGCATGATGGCATTTTTGAAATTTGATACTTTCTACTGTTGCTTTACCCAAAATGGGTAATAATAAAACCCAAATATATCTTCGACTAAACCGCTAATACTCCATGGATACTTTTAAAGATTTTATTAAAATAAAAAAATCTGACCACAATTTAAATAGTTAAAACTTACAGTTAACAAAATATAAATAAGGATTGTTCGGTATTTATTTATTATTATTTTCTTTTGTTAGTTATGATACAATAAAAAATTATAAAATAAAAAATAGAAACATTGTTCGTCAAGATCGGCGAGGCACTGGCTACTGGTGAAATCGTGTTATTCCCCTTAGTCATAAGTTCAGGTGTACTTCATGTGGCGAAGTGCGACATGGGACTTCAAGTCCCCTTTGTACTTAGAGATGTGCGGGCAGATCGGGCAGGGGAACTGCGGCGCTTTACCGCAGACGTACTTCTGGTGGTTGTACAGTCCCGGCCGCGACTTGTACACCTTGGAGCAGTGCTGGCACACGTATTCCTGGAGGCAGGCTGCTCCGATAAAACGAAAAAACAAATTAGAAGACAATTTTTTGAAAGTCAACGTATACAAAATCCGAAAGTTACAACGATCCGGTGAAAGAGCGAAGAACCAAAGGACGTCGTCCTCCTGAAATTGTTCGGTTTTTATTTAAAAAAAAAGACACATGGCATACATTTTCTGTATATTTCCCGTTAAAATGCCGAGTGTTTAGTTATAATATGCACTTTGAGGTTCCCCTTTCTCCTTGACTTATGAGGGCAGAGAGGGCAGCAGAAAGAGGGCTCTTTACCACATTCATATCTCAAGTGATTCCAGAGGACCCTCTTGTTTTTGTAGCACTTCCCGCAGCCCGAGCACTGCAGAGGTTTCGGATCTGCAACATCATCAAAACGCAATTACAATTTTTTTCATTTTTAATAATTTCCTAGTTAAACAAAACCTGAGTCGAAGATATCAATAAATTCGACCTCCTTTCTCGAAAACTTTTAATCTTCAGTCCTTGGATAAGCACAAAACCGCAAATCTTTATTTTATTACAGAAGGCAGTTCGTAATTGATTGTATACAAGGAAACACTAGCCAGCATTGTTATTTATCTTGAGTTTAGAAGGGAAATGCGTGCGGATGTGGGTATTGTCCATGGTTGAACTTTTGGCCATGTAGTCGCAAAAATGTTCAAAATACCAATCGTTTTCGGTTGGTTCCACTCGACTGCTGCCTTAGCTCTTGAGTTCTATAAGTTCTGGAAATCAAATCATTATGAAAATCACATTGAATTATTGATCGACCAGATGCAAAAGTGCTGATTCCGAAATATAATATGTATCAAGGTTTCAACAGTTGGCCTACTTCGTCTGCCATTGACAAAGAATACTCGTGGATAAAGTTAGGACCTATACACAAAATGAATACTCGTGATAAAAACGTCTAACCTACGAAAAATATAGTGTGTGCGCGTTTTTATGCGTGTCAAAATATATACGGAGACACGTACTTAAATAGACCCAAAGATAATACAGTTTTCGTGTAATTAATACAAATACAATATTGGTGGGCGGCATTCTTGGGCAAGGCTAGACAGTAATTACTCGTACTCTTGCTTTTTTTCGTGATTAATAGGTATATAGTACGTATTCGATATAAATTGTGCGTAGAAGGTCTGATGTGCCTGAGTGAATTTGGGCTGTGAAAAGTATAACATTGGTGGGCGGTATTCTTGGGCAAGGCTAGACAGTAATTACCCGTACTCTTGCTTTTTTTCATGGTTTATATATACATAACACATATTCTATATAAATTGTATATAGGAGGTCCGGTGTGCCGGTGTACATTTAACTCATGAAAAGTTTAATATTGATGGGCGGTATGTTTATGTTTTTTCGGGAGATTTGGGTTAGGGGTTGAATAATAATTTGTAGGAAATATTCTAGAACAATTATTATGTATATTGTTTGTTTATTTGATTTTTTAATAAGATCGACCAGGAACCCCTTGATTCGGTCCCTGTGCATTTCAAAAGATGTCCTAGCATCTTGCATTTTCTAGAGCGTTCAAGACGTGGATTACGAAATCAAACTTTATTGAAAATAAGATGTATTATTTATTGTTTTGTTAACATGCTAACTTTTCTTAGAACTAGGCAATAAGTACAAAAATCCATTTTTGTTTGTCTAACATAGAAGGTTTTAATTTTACATTTATAAATTTTTGAAAAAAGATCTAAGCACTTCACAGTCTTATTTTTGGGAAGTATAGTCGACAGTTGTTTTGTCAATATTGTGGTCTGCCTGTGGTTGCTGGTAGTGAATCGGTCGGATTGTGAGTTTAAAATTATTAGAACAGTTTTAAAATTGTATTTTGCCTGGGAAACATCCTCAGAGCAGGTGTTCCTTGGACGTGTGCCGGCAGAAAATGTGTGTTCTCAGTGTCCCCATCCTCTTGGCTTTGTAAGGGCACGACGGGCAGGCGAATTTCGGCTCTTGGCCGCACTCGAACTTCCTGTGGTTCCACAACGTCGACGAGTTGGTGTAGCTGCGGTTGCAATTCGGACAGTCGTACTTCTTCCTGGGGGCTGGAGAATAGAGAAACAGGCATGAGAACGTGACCGACAGAGCCTACGACGGCTATATGCTCATATGCATGTTCATTATGTGGACTTTGAGATTGCCCTTCCGTTTCGCCCTGTGAGAACAGTGTGGGCATTTGAACTGGGGTTCGATCCCGCATTCGTAATTCCTGTGGGTCCAGAGTGACGCGGCCTGGCTGTACACTTTACCGCATTTCGAACACGGGAATTGCTTTTTCACTAGAAACAGAGAAAAAAAACAAGTAGGCTATGAATGAAAAACAGTTAAGAAACCCCTAAACAAAAATAACTAAAAACAAAACAAAAGCAAAGTTTCTTTCTTAAAACCCGCGGATTTGAAACATGAGAAACCTGCTGCGACCCACTCCGAAATAAACTGTTTAGTTTCCTATCAAAAAGAAAATATGGGATTTGGAACCAAAAAACTCTTACAGCCCCCAAAAATAATTATTTAAAAATATATATTGAACATATTCTAAGTGGTGTCGAGTTTGACAATGTCGTTGTCGAAAAGTTGATGTTTCATTATGACATGGCGTTTGAGGGAGCATTTGTGCTTCGTCTTGTAGGCGCAGTAAGGACATTGGAAGCGCGGAAGCTTTCCACATTCGTATCTCAGATGGACGACCAGGCTCTGCTTATGCTTGTAGGATTTCCCGCAGGTCGTGCAGGAGTGCCTCTCCTGGGCCGGCTTGTCTAAAACAAGAATAAATAGAAGACAAAATCAAAACCTTGATTTGGCCAAATAAGGCGGGGAGGTTTATAAGGTGATCAACTCACAAATGTTCTATCAACGGTTTCTTTATTTCGAGTAAAAACATGTTAAAACACTTTTCTTTGGTTTCTTTAACGAGCGAAGCAATTTGCATACACTACCGATTCTAGTTACAGATTTTTTTTTTTTTGACTAGTAGGTTTTATATCAAATGTGGCACTATGTTTTTATGTATTCGAAACACGTGCATCCTCAAGTTGCCTTTCTGCCTGGCTTTGTGGGGGCAGTAAGGGCAGCAGAACTGCGGGTCTTTACCGCACTCGTACCTGACGTGGAGTCTGAGGCTCTGCTTGTGCTTGTAGACCTTCTTGCACCGGACGCAGGTGAACCAGGAAAGACTGTCATCTTCAACAACGAAAAGTTTATAAACAACCATAAACGACAGTTGACAAACCGTGGGGAAATTTTATACTCACTGTTTAACCCCTCTTCGGGGTTCGTGCCAAGCGAGAAGAACAGTTGAGATTTCTTTACTGTACTCTCGGACTTCAAGGCAGCTCTGCCGGCTAACAAAATTTCAGTTAGGGATTAGTGGAAAATGAAGTGATTAAGCAAAAATTAGTGGAGAAGAAAAGAGCTAGTAATAATCACAACACCTTTGACTTTTTACGGCTTAATTTGCCCGTCCCCTGATCCTTTTGTCAATTAGCCATATCCTTGGTCCGCTTGTTCTCGCTTGAGATGGGCCAAGACGTGCTACTAAACGTAACGCAGCCGATTCAAATTGAGAACATGGTGGAAGGAACATCTCTTTTATTTCAACCAAATCAAAGATGGCGCGATGATAACACCCTTCTAGCATGCCTAGTCCAACAGTTAGCATAGTTATTCTATAGTCGAAGTGCACCAAGCTATAAACAAGAACCGATGGAAAGGCACAAAGGTGTTGCATGACGTTGTTTGCACATCTGGACACACATTTGCGTGAACAAGAGAACAGGGACTATGTCCTTAAGTTTTATTATTATTACAACAGCAAAAAGACTTGCACCTATAAATACTAATGAAACTGAAGCTGTAACTTGACAATTTTAAAGAAATCAAGCGTGAAAATATGAAGAAACAGCAATGGATGCTTGTCCATGGGATACCCCCTCCATGTAGTCCTAGATCTTTTCACCTACCACCATGTTTTTTTACAGTTTTTTTTTTAACGAGGGTTCGCAACAACAGAGGTCATATCAGCCCTCGGTGTGTTTGTGAGAAAAAGCGCATTTGTAAGTAAGTCGAGTACGATTGCAGGGCCGCTGGATTCGAACCCGGGACCTTTACCTTACACTGATGAGCGCCGTGACAACGCCTAAATCGTTGCGGCCACCGACGCCCCAGCCATCATGATAAAACATTGTTTATTGACGATCACGAAGACGGTAAAAATGTGAACGTGTAAGAAGCATTTTTTTTGTTAATTCAGCGTGTCAAAGGGTGAACAACGGTCCGTTTCGTTTCGCATCAGATATCCCATGTGTATCTCCTTTGGAAGACAACGCATCAAGATCAAAACATGTTTAACCTTGTGAACCTAAGAGGAGAAAATTTATAACTGTATCCTTCCTAATTAACAATCAATTTAAAAAAAATCAAATCGGGTAAATGAATTTTCTAGTTGATAGATGATGGATTTTATTATTATTTTTTTAAATTGAATTACATCAAATGATGATATGTCGCACGGCTATGTGAGTCTTGAGGTTGCCCTTGATTTTCGACTTGTAAGGGCAGTGCGGGCATTGGAACTGGGGTTCGACTCCGCACTCGTACTTTTGGTGTTCTTTGAGGCCGCTTTTGTACTTGTAAGATTTACCGCAGCGCAGGCAAGGGAAACGTCGCTGCCCTGAAAGAAAACAAGCTATAAATTAATCATTCGGCCGATTTTTACGGAGTACGAGGGACTTTACCGTTAATCCAGACCTTTTTTGGTAAGGCTTTGGTTTATTTTTTTTTCTAAATGACAATACATCATTGCGCAGTGGTTGGCAATACTAGCATGTCTAGCTTAACAGTTTGTCAAGTAGTATGGTTATTCTATAGTCCATGGATAAGTAGGCAAGGTTTGAACAAGAACCGATGGACAGAAAGGCGCAGTGTTGCATGACATAGACATGATGATGCTACTTAGTTGCACATCTAAAGACTAAACCCACCGTTGGTCGGGATCAACCACATCAAACAATGTCTATATATTGAACGGTAAGTTGATTAAAATACAAACAACATGAAAAGAAGAGAAAACTTTACAATAACACTTAGTACAAACATAAAATACAAACAAAGAACTGATTATATAAAAACACATTAAAAAAAGACAAGTAAAACAATAGTATTAACAACACATGGGCAAGACGGAAATAACACATATAACTATGTAGAACGAGCAAGGGAAGTAACAATACATGGGAAAGCATACAAATGCATTCGCCTCGAGTATTGCCAAAAAATAAGAAGACAAAATAAAATAAAGGTAATTAGAAAATTGGCAAATAGGGGGAAAATTCGCAAGGTGGGTTGGGAAGTTGGTGTCCGAGCGGATCGAAGTCACGATAGCTCAAGTGGTAGAGCAGCGAAGTATTTAGCCGAAGGTCGTGGGTTCGAATCCCGCTAGTGACACTGACTTTTTTATCTCGACCAATACCTTTCATAAAAAAAGAAAATATGTTATTTGGTCAATCGGACTACGAAATCTAATGGATTTAACTGGTAATTACAAAGTAAAACATATAAGACACAAAAACGCAAAATTTCTATTCGTAAAAGGGGATAACTATGTGCATTTTCTTTGGTATAAAAATGGGAATTTCTTATTAAAAAAAATCGAATCGCCCAAAATTTCACTTTTGTTTCTGTGTCTATGTTGTTCTAAAATCGTTGACAAAAAATCTATTCAGAAACAAAGGGGCCTGGTGGTAAGAATAAGAACAGCGACATTTCCCAGTCTTTTTTATTTTATAGAAAAACAGCAATAAAAGATTATTCGAATTTTTCGCTCGATTGTTTCTGCTCCGGCCGGAAGAACTGCCCTGCAAAATATAGATTATTAGAAAAATAATAGAATTTTGTGAGTTTTTAATTGGCTGTTACTTACCGAAGGAGTAGTGCTTTTTGAAAACGTGCGACTTCAAATTTGCCTTCTGCTTCGACTTGAAAGGGCAAACTGGGCAGGAGAACTGCGGTTCCTTTCCGCATTCGTCTTTCCTGTGCTTGTACAAGCTGGAGTTATGCTTGTAAGACTTTCCACAGTCGATACACCTGAACATTCTCTCTTCTGACATAAAGGAAAAAAAAATCAAATCATGTAACGAAAGTTAAGACAGAATAGGTTACCTCGCTTCTGAAAGATTCAGGGGTTTGGGGAAAAAAGGGGCCGAGATTTGCATGACTATTATTTATTGTTTTCCGTAAAGATACAACTTTTGATAGGAAGTCGAGGCGGGGTGTTTCATGATGATGTGGGACTTGAGGTGGGCCCTTTGCTTCGCCTTGTAGTCACAGTGGGGGCAGGAGAACTTGGGCTCGACCCCGCATTCGTATTTCTTGTGGCTCCTGAGGTTCCTCAGGTACTTGTACGACTTTGAGCAGACATCGCAAACGAAGTTCGCCCCTGTAAAGTACAATCGTTGAGGTTTGGCGATTGTGGTTTTCACTGGAGACTGTTTGGGCCTCGCTTAAAAAATACCTTTCAAAAATCCTCTAGGATATGGACTCCCAGAAATCAAAAATGAAAAGACACGCTGTTCGTCAAGAAATTTTGGGTTCGTGGTCCGATTGAACAAAAAAATTCTTTTCAATTAATTAATCTTTAATTAAGGTTTTGGTCGAGATAAAAAAGTCAGTGTGACGAGCGGGATTCGAACCCACGACCTGACTCATGACACTGACTTTTTTATCTCGACCAAAACCTTAATTAAAGATTAATTAATTAAAAAGAATTTATTTAGTCAATCGGACCACGAAACCTAATAGAAGTAATAATCAAAATGAAGTATACTTCACTAAAGCTCTCCGTGGCCATTTCATTTGTCGCCGAGAATGAAATAGATTACACGACATTTGAAAAATGGCAAAAAGGAGGGAAAAAGGGGGATAGCTCAAGTGGTAGAGTAGAGGCGTATTGAGCGGAAGGTCGTGGGTTCGAATCCCGCTCGTGACACTGAAATTTTTTAAATCTCGATATCATTCTTCACACGCCATCACTCTCAACCACTTTATGTCTGATTTCCTTACTCATTCTCTCGACTTTACTTTCTCATATTCTCAGTTTCTCGCTCTCACACATTCGTTCATTATCCCATTCTTTAGAATACTTTTTGTCATCGATTCTTTATTTTTTCCCCCGGCCGATTTATCTTTTCTTAGTGAAATCCATAATGAGATTATTTCCGTTCAGGATACTTGTATGCCAACATGCAAAATAATTGGATAAGTTTGAATGAGTCTAAATCAAAGTAATCAATTAATGAGAAAACCGCTGTAAGTAATGAACCATATCGTTTTTGGATTGGTGGGAAGAAAATATTGGAAAACTCTTGAACCAGGTTTCAAAAATAAAGTTTATTTTTAAATGATTAGTAACACGATTGAATTCTCTTCTTAAATGGCTAATTGTCCATGTATGTTGAATATATGTCTTCTCAGGTTGCTTTTGAAGGCGGTCCTGTAGCCGCAGTTGGTGCAGAAGAATGGCGGCTCTTTACCGCATTCGTACTTCTGATGTGCCATCAGATTCCTCTTGTACTTGTAAGTTTTGTTGCAGAGCCCGCAGAGGAAGAGTCCTGTAAAGAACCCTCTTGTCAATTAGATATCAACGGCCGCCGTTTAACCATCTCCTTCTAAATAAAATAACACCCGTAATGAGATTTTATTGGAACGTGTTACAGGTTTTGTCCTGGACCGAATTATAGTGGGCTTTGTGGATGAGGAAGAGGTGGCGTTTCAGGTTGACCTTCTGCCATGACTTGTAGGAACAGAACGGGCATACGAACTGCGGCTCCTTGCCGCATTCGAACTTCCTATGGTTGTTCAGGCTCTGCACGTGTCGGTACGCCTTGTAGCATCCTGAGCATTTGTATTTTTTCCCTTCTGAAAAAAAAAAAGCCACACACATGTATCTTATGCTAAATAGAATTTTTTCCCGGGTATTGGAAATATCAACAAATCATGGAATTTAGCATGTGCCGGCAGGCGATATGAGTTTTCAAAGTCCCTTTCTGCTTGGACTTGTAATCGCAGTGGGGACAGGAAAACTGCGGTTCCACTCCGCATTCGTACTTCTTGTGGTTCTTCAGGCTCCTCTTGCTCTTGTACCGTTTCGCGCAAACATCGCATTGATGAGGTTTGTCTAAAAAATAATAATAAATAAAATAAAAGTATCGACAATGTAATAAAATAAAATCTAAAAAGAGAATATCAGAAACCTTCCACACGCCGATTCTCACCTAAGAAATCCAAAATTACCACGCTTTATCTCGTTTTTTTCCCACGCTCTTTCTCTAATGAGAAAAACCATGTCGTTACCCACAGTGAAGGAAAATTAAAGAAAAGCCTTACGAGAATAAATCAATATATTTCCTACTAATTATATCAGATAATTATTGAATTATTTACATGGAAAATACTTTTTTTTAAGGTCAATGAGATAAAAATAATATGTGATTTGAGACCCCTCCAGTCGGATTTGGACTTCCAGTGACACTAGATCTTTCGGATCCAGCAAGCATTGAAATTTGCCCTGGCTCTGCATGAAGCCTGAGCGTATTCCTTCGTTCTGAAAAAGAAATCGATCTCATTTATTATAATAATTTTGTAAGTTTTATATTATTAACAAATTTACTTCAATTGAAACGTCTTAAGTTGGTGGAGTTTTGGGCGTGTGGCGACGGGCGATGTGAATTTTCAGATGTCCTTTCTGCTTAGACTTGTACTCGCAATGCGGACACGGGAACTGGGGTTCGACTCCGCACTCGTACTTCTTGTGTCTTTTAAGATTCCACCTATTCTTGTATCTATTGAAGCAAACATCGCATACATAGTATTTTCCTAAAAAAAAAAATAAACAATTCTACAGGCGAAAACAAACCCTAAAAAAATTAGGTAGAAGTAGGTAGGGATTGTGAAAGAATAGCAGGAAAAGAATACCAAAATTCCGTCTATAAAATAAAGAATAAGGTTTAAAAATAAAATGACATTAAAAAAGAGAAAGAGAAATCCAAAGAGAAAAGCACAGTTCCAATCAAAAAAGGAAAAGTAAATAAACGTCTCGCGGCAATAAACAAATATATTTAATAATTACATCAGCGAATTTATTTACATGAGAATTGCTTTTATATGTATAATAATTTTGGTGTGATTTCGAAATATATGAGATGCTAGATGATCCCTCCTGTTCGATTTGTATGAACGGAGATAACCATCTCTATTTGTCCTCTCTGGATTAACACAAACGTCATGTAATTTTACTAGTTTTTGTTGCCTCCTTTTGAACTGTCAGAAAGAAAATTGTGGCACGTGCCAGCGGGCGACGTGTCTTAATAAACTACCTTTCTGTTTACACTTGAAATCGCAATACATGCAGAGAAACTGGGGTTCGACTCCGCACTCGTACTTCTTGTGCCTTTTCAGACTCCTTGTGCTCTTGTAACGTTTCAAGCAAATATCGCAATGATGTCGTTTATCTAAAAAATAACGAATCGATATGTTAAAGAACAGAAAAAAACATAAAGCTGAAGAAGAAAAATGCTGAACATTCCGCCCACCAATTTTCACTGAGGACTTAGTACTAAATCCAATATTAAATCATATGTAGAAAATACATGTCCACCTGTTTCATATTAAAAAAAGGAACGCTTTCCAAGTATTTTATGATAAATACGCATTTTTTCATACTTTCCTTGAAGAGATGATCTCAAACGAACTTTCTGCTTCGACGTAATCATACAGAAAAGGGAAGAACATTGGTTCGATTCCGCACTCCCTAGTCCATCCGGTACCGGACACCTATTTTTACAAATATTTTAATAACGTCGGTCTAGAAAAGAAAAAAAGACATCCATTAAAGTAATAGAAAGAGGTAGGAATCCTGAAAAGTCAGATACGTACAAACATTCCGCCCACCAAATTCCATTAAGGAAGTAAATGTAAAAATGACGGCTCAAAATTTGCTGAAATCTATATTTATATGGTCATTTCAAACGAAAAAAACCGTGTATGTAAATTTTCCAAAAGGGAAGTAAAATCAAGAAAAATCTCATGAAAAATATGTATATATTTAATACTAATTACGCCAGTATTTACATCGAAATTATATATAAAATATAGGTGTGATTTCGAAATGTGAGAGGTTCCAGATGATCCCACCAGTTTATTTGTACTCGCACAGCAGATCCTCATCGGATCTTTTTTCCTCTTAAAATTCAAAACATGAAATTTTTCTGGATGTTTTATCCTAGGAAGTTGTGTCTTTTGTAGTTATCAGAATGAAAATTGTGTCATGTGCCTGCAGGCGATGTGCCTCAGCAGACTACCTTTCTGCTTCGACTTGTAGTCGCAATGTGTGCAGAGGAACTGAGGTTCGACTCCGCACTCGTACTTCTTGTGCCTATGCAGGGTCCTCGAGCTCTTGAAACGTTTCATGCAAATATCGCAATGATGAAGTTTGTCTAAAAAAATATACGAGTGGTTATGTTACAGGACTAAAAAATAAAGTAGTCGAAGAAAAAGAAGAAAGTTGAGCATTCCGTCCACCAATTTACAATGAACATAGGAAGAACATGGGTTCGACTTCACCTCGTACTTCTTCCTGTACCAGCCATGTACCTTGCTACCTAGTTTTACAAATATCACATTATGCCTAAAAAAAGAAGACGTTTCTTAAACTAGTAAGATGAGGTAAGTATTCTTAAAAATTCTGATACATACAAACATTCCGTCCACCAAATTTCAATAAGGAGAATTCAAAACTAGGTGAAAACTATAGTTTATCCACTTTTCAAAGAAAAAATCCTTCTGCGTAAGTTTCTCCAAAAGGAAGAAAAACTCAAGAAACGTCTCAACAAAATATATTTTTTTACTAATTACGTTACACAATAAATCAACGTCTGCATTTTTTCTCTGAGTTGAATCGCAAACCATGGAAATTTTTCCGCGTAATTTATCCTTGGGAGTTGTCTCCTTTTAAACTCTCACAAAATTGCGCGGTGTGCCGGCATCCGATGTGTCTTAACAAAGTACTTTTCCGCTTTGATTTGTAGTCGCAATATGTGCAGAGGAACTGGGGTTCGATTCCGCACTCGTACTTCTTGTGCCTATGCAGGGTCCTCGAGCTCTTGAAACGTTTCATGCAAATATCGCAATAATGAAGTTTGTCTGAAAAAAAAATACGAATGGTTATGTTACAGCACTAAAAAAGGAAAAACAAAAACAAACAAAGTAGTTAAAGGAAAAGAAGAAAATTCAGCATTCCGCCCACCAATTTACATAGAAGACAGGAAAAACGGGTTCAATTTCACACTCGTATTTCTTCCTGCACCGGTCACTGCTACCTATTCTTACAAATATCAATCTTTAAAAAAAAAAAATTTAAAAAAAAAGGAAGACATTATTAATTTAGTAAAATGATGTAGGTATTGTGAAAAATTTTGATACATACAAACATCCCGCCCACCAAATTTCTGTAAGGCCAACTCAAAACTAGGTGAAACTATAGTTTATCCACTTTTAAAAGAGAAAATCCTTCCACATAAATTTCTCCAAAAGGAAGAAGAAGTCAAAAAACGTCTCACGAACAAAATATATTTAATTACGTCAGAAGTATTTACATGGAAATTTGTATTTGTTTGTATAAAATGTTGGTGTGCTTTGGAAATACAAGAGATTCGAGATGATCCCTCCACTTGAATTTGTTCTTACCAAACAGATCAGCATCTCTACTTTTCCTCGCTGAATTGAATGGCAAACCATGTAATTTTTTCTAGATGCTTTATCCTCTGGAGTTGTCTCCTTTTAAAACGTCACAAAATTGCGTGGCGTGCCGGCAGGCGAAGTGTCTCAACAAAGTACCTTTGTGCTTTGATTTGTAGTCGCAATATGTGCAGAGGAACTGGGGTTCGATTCCGCACTCGTACTTCTTGTGCCTCTGCAGGCTCCTCGTGCTCTTGTAACGTTTCATGCAGACATCGCAAGGGTGAAATTCCTCTAAAAAAGAATAGGAATTGTCATATTATAAGAATAAACAAACATTCAGCTGTTGGGAAATAGAAAACAATATCAGCATTCCGCCCAACTCCTCACTGAGGACTTTAAGTACTCAACACAAACTTAGATCATAAACCAAGCATAAACGAAAGATTCGCCCCCTTTAAAAGTCGAAAAAAAAATAAGTTCAATACAAAATACATTCACCTTTTGAGAAATGCGCACTTTCCTCGGAGTTTTCTGCTTGTGGAGGCTGGTATTTTCAAACGGACTTACTGCTTCGACTTATAATCTACACAGAGGATAGAAAAACTGGACTCCACACTCGAATTTCTTCCAGTACCGGCCATTTTCTTGTACTTTCTTACTAATAGCCATAATCAAATATCAAAGAGTATAATTATAAAAAAATTAATCTATGTTTTAAACAAAACTAAAGAAACGGAAGGCGTTTTGGGAAAATCTGTACAAACATTCCGCCCACCAAAACTTTATTAAGGAAGTAGCCTAGAAGGTTATTAAAACACTTGTTGAGACCAACATTTGGTCTCCTTTAAAAAGGGAAAATCACATAAATTCTTCAAAATAAAAAGCAAGGTCTCACGACAAAATGAATATATTTAAATTAATTACATAAAGTCGTTTGTGTTGGTGCACTTGAGAAATATGTGAGATATGAGAAGGTCAAGAGAGCATTTGTATTTTGAAATAAAAGAAAGACATCGAAATCGTGTCATTATTCGTTACAGGTCTTTATTTGGTTTGTCAAAAAGAAAATCCCGGAGTGTGCCGACAAGCGATGTGCCTCATCAAGGAGACCCTCTGTTTCGACTTGTAATCGCAGTGGATGCAGGAGAACTGGGGATCGACTCCGCACTCGTACCTCTTGTGCCTCTTGAGGCTCTTCTCGTTCTTGTATACCTTATTGCAAATATCGCATCGATGAAATTTGCCTAAAAAAAAGAAAGGGATTGACACGATTAAATAGAGAGAACGGAGAAACGAATAGTATTTTTAAAAAACCGCCTGAGTAAAACGCAACATACCGCCCACCAATTTTCAAGGTAACTATTGAGAAAGTACAAAATTACATTAACCATGTACAAAATTGTATTTTTTACCTGTTTTCTTTTATTGCTTTTTACAAAAAAGTACCAAGTCACATGACCAATCAAAATAAGGAAGTAAAGAAACGACCCGTGACAACAAACATAAATACATTTAATACAAATCACGTTAATAAATTATTTACATGATAAAAACATATATTTTTGCAAATGTATTTTTATGATATATTGGTGTGCTTCCGAAATATATGAGATTTGAGATGACCCCTCCAATAGGTTTTGTACTCGCAGTGGGGACACCAGATGGGCGGTTTCCGCCCGCATTCGTACTTTCTGTGGTTGTACAGCGACCTTTTGTTCATGTACCTTCTCGGGCAGCCGTCGCACTGAAACTGTTTCAACGGCTTGAACAAAAAGTGACCTGAAAAAACCAACGGGAGAAAATTATAGAGCGTGTCGTCATCATCTCGGAGGAGGCGGGGGGGTCGGAAGCTGGAACACTATTGGAAGGACCGGGGTTCGAGGTTGGCACAATGGAATACTTCGAATATATGAGTATATCAATAATACCTCGAGAAAATAAATAAATCGAAGGAGTAAAGAGACGGATCGGACAAATTATGTACATCTAACAAAACACATTTATAAAAACAAAACCATACCTAACCTGGAAGCCAAGGAATTAGAAACCAGTTCAACTTCAACAGCCAAAAATATTTATTATTAATAAAATAAAAATCCAATTAATTTTTTAAAATATAGTTTATAAAGCACATACAAATAGAGTAATTAAAAAAGAAATTATTTCATAATTATCCTAGTCCAACCCAACCAATCAAATTATCACTATTACAAACAGTACAATTATTTATTTACTTTTTTGTGTTTACATGACATTGAAAAACATAATGTTAACCGAGCCAGTAATGCTTAGTTTTGCTTCCATCAAAAACGCATTAACATTAAACTAATTAAATTTTAACAAATAAAATCCAGTCTTTACCTAAAGATGGTGAGAAATTAATAATATGGGGACTTGATATAGTTAACATCGACAGGAAAATCGCACACAATGACTAAAAAGTTCTTTTTAATTCTTTTTTGTTTTCTTTTAAACGATTTGTGAAACAATGAAAACAAAAAAAAATATTCCACTGCATTCCACATCACCAAATACTTCAAAGATGAATATTCGCTAAAAATCATTTTCGGAACCTTTGTCAAGGACGATAAAAAAAAAATTAAAAGTCAAATTAGAGCCGAAGGAAACAATTATTTCATCTTTGTTTTTGTTCATCTTCCCACGATTTGTGAAACAATGTCGAAAAAAAAATTATTTCTCTATATTCCACATCATCAAATACTTCAAAAATGAAAACTCGCAAAAAAAAAAAAAATTCGGAACCTTTGTGAAGGATGATAAAAAAAAATAAAAATAAAAGTCAAATTACGGCGGTAGGAAACAATTATTTCATCATTGGTTTTGTTTGACTTTCCACGATTTGTGAAACAATATCCACACAAATCGTGGAAAGTCAAACAAAAAATAACTAATTGTATCATCCGTTATATTTATTATATTTTCTTTTCCGGGTCGAAACCTTTAGATTTTGGCCATACCTCGGCTAAAAGAGAAATTTTATCTAGGTAAAAATAAAATATATTATTAATTGATATGTCTAGGTAAGGTTCCATGATTTTTTTTTAAATTTAATTTTTACTTCAGTGTTAAAGGAAAAGATTGGAGTGAATTTACCATCGTGAGGATCTGGAAGGCATGGGCCATTATAACTCGTTCGTGGGTTTTAGAATCAATTTTTATTTTGAATGAACAGTTCAATAATTGTTAAAATAACAGTATATTTGTCACAGAATTAAAAAAAAAGTTACTAATATAATTATCCCAATAACAAGCTGTGAATTCTGATGGCATGAGTTTTGACGTTGTGCTTCCTTTTGGACTTGAAAGGGCAAAATTGGCAGCCGAACTGCTTCTCGATCCCGCACTCGTATTTGACATGTTTTGTCAAAGTATGCTTATGCTTGTAAGAAGTGAAACACTTGCTGCACGTGAATCTTTTATTCAATTTATCTACAAAATAAAAAATAAAAATCAGTAATGGAAAAACTCCGGGTACTGGCTTCTTCAGGTGATCGTCACAAAAGGGTTCATCTTGTGACGCTTCACGATGTGCAGGATCAACGCCTGCTTATGACGCGTTGTATGAGAGCAGTACGGGCAGCGAAACTGCGGTTCGATTCCGCACTCGTTCTTCTTGTGGTTGCAAAGTCCTCCCTTTGAATAATAAACCCTGAGGCACCTGTCGCAACGGTAAGTCTGCCGTGAAGTGTTCACGTCACCTAGAAGTAAATAAGCAGAATATCAGGGGACCTAGAAACCCGGTTCTCGATACGTCACGCGTCCCCTCCTGAAATCTAAACCTTATCTTCTAAAATTTCAAAAAATTCTAACACGAAAACAGTTTATTAGGAGAATTACAATTACAAAAAAAAAAAAAAAAAGTAAAAGATCAACGGGAATAGAAATGTTTCAGGACTAGGTGGGTTTTCAGGCTGTCTTTCAACTTTGCCCTGTAAGGACAGTTGGGACACTGGAACGTTGGCTCTTTTCCGCATTCGAAGTCGACGTGCCTTTTCAGGTGCCATTTCCTCTTGTAGGACTTATCACAGTTCTGACAGGCGAAGTAGTTCGTCTTGTCCTTGTGCCTCGCTGAAATTTCAATTTTTAATATATTACTTGAAGACTTTCTTTGGTATTTTTTGTTTCTTATTGCCTTGACCATTTGAAATTTTAACTTTTGCTAAAAGCTAATGGAATAAAAGTCATGATATTTATTGTAAAAAAAAACGTATTTATTATTTAAAAAGAACACTTTAACTTTGTTACATTCTGAAACAAAAAGAACAAAGGTAAAACGTATTTAAAAATTACTCATTATACAAGAGATTTCCATCAACAGAGAAGGCCTCAGAAACTTCCATTAACTGTTCGTTAACTTTTTGTGAAGTACCAAGTTTATTATTATTCATTTTAAACAAGGAACAAACCTCCGGTGAAGAAAAGGCGTCTGACGAGGAAAGATAAAAAAAAGCCTATTTAGAACATAAAAAATAATTTATATATACCCAATGATTCCTTAACTTTCTTTTTTGAACTGTGCCAAGTTTATTAAACTATTACTCTATAATAACGAGGAAACGTTTACCTATGAAAAAGAGCCTTAAAAAACAACTATCGAGATGGGAGATAAGACAAAACATTTAGAACCTAAAAAAGTAATTTCTATACCAATAATTCGTTAACTTTCTTTTTTGTACCAGTGCCAAGTTTATTAAACTATTACTCTATAAAAACGAGGAAGCAGAAAGCAAAAAACTTTTACCTATGAAAAAGAGCCTTAAAAAAACAACTATCGAGATGGGAGATAAGACAAAACATTTAGAACCTAAAAAAGTAATTTCTATACCAATAATTCGTTAACTTTCTTTTTTGTATCAGTGCCAAGTTTATTAAACTATTACTCTATAAAAACGAGGAAGCAGAAAGCAAAAACTTTTACCTATGAAAAAGAGCCTTAAAAACACAACTGTAGAGATGAGACAAAAGAAAAAACATTTAAAACCTAAAAAGTAATTTCTGTACCAATGATTCGTTAACTTTCTTTTTTGTAACAGTGCCAAGTTTACTAACTATTACTCTATAAAATCGAGGAAGCAAAAAGCAAAAACTTTTACCTATGAAAAAGAGCCTTAAAAAACACCTATTCAGATGGGACAAGAAAAAACATTTAGAACCCCCCCAAAAAAATTTCTACACCAATAATTCCTTAACTTTCTTTTTTGTATCAGTGCCAAGTTTATTAACTTATTATTCTTTTTAAAAAAGTACGCAAAAGTAAAAAAACACTTTTGCGACGAAAAAGAGCCTTAAAAGCGTCTATCGATAGGAGTCATAAGAAAAAATCATTTAGAAGACAAAAAAAATACTTTCTATACCAATGTTTCGTTAACTTTCTTTTTTGAAGTAGTGCCACAAATTTATTAATTTATTATTCTTTTTAAAAGGCCAGCAAAACGGAAAAAACCTTTATCGATGAAGTAGAACTTTACAAAAACATGTATCAAGAGGAGACATAAGAAAAAACCTATTTAGGACGAGCCAATAATTTCAATAACAATGTTTCGTTAACTTTATTTATTTATTTTTTTTAAGTAGTGTCAAATTAAGTTTAAACTTAACTTGATCTAAAAGTTGTTTATTTAATTATTTATTTTAAGGAAAACAGAAAACCTATCCATATTCAAGTCTAATAAGAAAAAAGAAGAAATGGAAATAGAAAGAATGCACATATCGAGAGTTAGGGTTTTTAAACTTTTTTCCCGTTTTTATCTTTTTCGGCGGATCGCCGCTGAAGAACAGAATTTTCTAAAAATCTGCCCGGGCTATGAACCTACAGGTTTCCGATCATTTTGGCCTGTGAGACGAGTTCCTGCGGTTTGCAATCTTCAGCGGTCGTACGGGTTTTAAGCACGGCGAGGCACCGTCAACCGCTAACCAATACCCTCGGACCCCCCTACTTAAAATGGCTAGACACGCATTTGCAACCAAAACGTGCCATGCCAAAACGATCGGAAAGTTCGAGCTAAAAACAAAAATAATCTTGATATTTCCTCCTGTGGTCCACCCATACTTGATGGGTTTTTTAAACGAGGAAAATACATTTCAAATTTACTAATAAACTCACACAGACACTCTGAAGATGGCGAGGATTTGAAACGCTTCTGAGAGAACTCTGCGAACCAAAGAAAACCAAGGCAGATGGAAATGATAGGTAAAGTTTAACTTTACGGAAAAAAATAAATTTAATTAAAAAATGTTAGATTCCCTATTGGGATGTGTATTGTAACCTGTATTGATTGTTTCCGACCATTTTGGTCTGCCCATACTCGCTGCTTTGGTCTGTACCAAAATGATCCAAAATAAGGCATACCAAAATGATCCATCCTTAAAAAATGTGGTTTTTTTTTTAGTATTAATGGGGGGGGGGGTAAAAATTCGATAGTGGTTTTTTAAATATTTTTATATAAAGTTTTTCGTACAGTAAGGAAAAGTCTTTATTATGTTAAATCGTATATTTGCGATTAATCCAATTTACACCGAGTAACAAAACTGCATCGGACTTCACCCACCGTCAAATCTCTTTTTATTGAGGAGGGAATATAAAAATTCACCAAAACTTAACACTTTATTTCACAACAATAAAAGCATCATTCGGAACAAAACGAGTAGACGTTGTTGAAGCCGAGGTGTCTGTGGGACATGTGGCTTTTGAGGGCGTGCTTCAACTTGGCCCTATACGGACAATGCGGACAGGCGAACTGCGGCTCCTTCCCGCACTCGTACTTAAGATGGCGCTTCAGATGGGACTTGTGCTTGTACCGCTTGTTGCAGCCGGTGCAGAAGAAGTACGAAGCCGCCGACCCGCTGTATCCTAGAACTGAAAATGCAGCTTTAAAATACTGTCGTGGAAATATTTCACCCGGTCAAACTCACCTAACGTAGGTATTAAATTTTAAATTATAAAACTAGACTCTAATTCTAAACAGATTATAAACGGGTTGTAGGTGTTGTTATATTGAAGCCGTTTTTTAATGTTTCCTCCAAATGCTGGTTGTACATGTGTTTCTTAAGATTGTCTTTCAATTTCGACTTGTGAGAGCAGTAAATGCAGGAGAATCGCGGTGCTTGGCCGCATTCGAACTTAAGATGGCGCAAAAGGTGAGCCTTCCTTTTGTAAGTTTTACCACAGCCGGGGCAACGATGCGGCTTCAAAACCACCTGTGGACCTAGAAATAAAGTCGTGTTACAACCCGTGGTGCTGATTTCGGTTCGATTTTTTTTAAACGACGGCGGAAACCTGGAAAAGCTGGGAAGCTGCTCATGAAAAAATAATTAAAATATTTAAATAAGCCTCTATTGGGGAAACTCTTGTACAAAAAAATGTTTGTTGGCAATGTGCCTTTTGAGATTTTCTTTTAGCTTCGTCCTGTGGGGGCAATGGGGACAGCTGAACGCTGGCGATTTGCCGCATTCGAACTTCTTGTGTCGTAAAAGGTGGGACCGCCTGACGTAGCTTTTTCTGCATGAGGGGCAGTCGAACTTCTTTTCGGCGTCTTTCCTTTCTGAAAAAAATCGAGAAGAAAAATATTTCGTTTTAATATAGTGAAAACAAACTTCCCACTGCATTTCTTGGGCCGGATAGACAATTAATTTGTATTTTAATCTATCCATTTCTAGTTCGCCGAATCTTTTTCTGCTCAACAAGATTAAATCTCAGGCTGAAACAGCTCAACAAAGAGGATAACAAAAAGATGAAATTTTAAGTTACTGTGATAAATTGAAGACAAAGTGGAGTGGAAAAGCCAATAAGCGGGCAGTGATTGAACAGAATAAGAACAGATCTCTGGTCCGCCTAGCCTCGCTTTAATCACACAACCCTTTCTGCTCCCTAAATTTTCTTATTGTACATAAAATAAGAAAAATAAATAAAACTGGAATTAGAAAATATTTCCGTTTTTTTTTTTTTTTTTTTTTGAAGAAATTTAATTGATCCGTCTGGCTTCGCTGTTAACACCCCCCTTTTTACTCCTCCTATTATGGCTCCTATATTTTCTTACTCCACGTGGCAAAAAAAAAAAAAAACATGAAACATGAAACAAACATGAAATTTGGAAAAAATGCACTTTCTGAACGCATTGTCGAAAACTAATCATCACCGGTCCGGCTGGCCTAGCTTTTACACACTCACCCCTTTCCTTGGTTAAACCGTTTTGGCCCCTTATATTTTCTTATTCCACCTGACAAAAAAAAATCAAAATTAGACAATAGAGATATGAAAATTGGAAAAAAATGCGCTTTTTCTCGTCAGACGTATTTTCGAATCACTGGTACGTCTAGCCTCGCTTTTGACCACCCATCCCTTTCCCCCCAAAAAAAGAAAAAAAAATAGAACGTAGACATGAAATTTGGAAAAAATATGCTCTTTTTCTCGTTAGACGGATTTTCGAAAACCAATCACTGGTCCGTCTAAGTAGTGATAAAAGGCCGGTTCTGGCAAAGTGAATACTGGCACACTTGATGGGGTCTGGTGGGGGGATAATTTCATGGAGTCTGGTGGGGGATAATTTCATGGGGTTTGGTGGGGGATTACTCCTTGGACCGAGGCGGTCCCAGTATCTACAAAGGGGGGGGGCAGAAATCTATACACCGTCAGCCCCCATGAGTGAGGCGTGATGACGTGTGAGGCGGTCCTGAAAAGTTGGACTTTGACCCTGTGCCAGTAGCTCCTTGCAGTGACGCCACCTGTGCCAGCTCCCCCTTCAAGTGACGTCATCTGCGCCAGCTCCCCCTTCCAGTGACGTCATCTGTGCCAGCTCCCCATTCAAGTGACGTCATCTGTGCCAGCTCCCCCTTCAAGTGACGTCATCTGTGCCAGTTCCCCTTCAAGTGACGTCATCTGTGCCTGTTCCCCCTTTCCGTGACGTCATAACATCGTCAAACCCCATGGAGTAATCCCCCACCAGACCCCATCAATCATAACATCGTCAGACCCAATGAAATTATCCCCCACCAGACCCCATGAAATTATCCCCCACCAGACCCCATCAAGTGTGCCAGTATCACCTGTGCCAGAACCATCCTTTTATCACTACTCGTCTAGCCTCGCTTTTGACCATTCAACATTTATGATACTATATTTTCTTTTTACAAATAAAATAAGCTAAAAATTAGGTCAAATTTCCGAATGCATATTTTTAACAGAAATGTCTGGCCCGGCTGGCCTCGCTTTTAACACCCCCTCCAATTTTTTTTTAATAATTTGGCTTCTTATACTCTCTTATTCCACGTTCTAAAATAAAAAAAAATTTAAAAAATGAGAACAAACACACAAGAAATTGGGAGAAGATGCAGTTTTTCGTTCGGCGCATTTCACCAGTCCGCAAAGTCTCGCTTGGATTATTTTCAACATAAAGATATAACTTTCTGCTGGCGTTTTGGATGAGATAGTTTATGCAGAGGAAATTCCAAATCTATTTTGAAAATATTTTAAAGTTGCCACTTTCTTTCATAAAATGTATTCTTTTGTACAAAACAGTTTTGGGAAGGTTTTCAATATAAAACAAACAACGAAAATGTTAACAATCGTGATATATTATTTTCTTTTTAAATTAAAACAGTGCATAAAACAAATAAAATAAAATAATATTTTTTAAAATCTTTAAAGGTACATTTTCATTTTGATGCAAATATATAACAGTTAGGATCTGTCTTTGTATAAAAGATGCTTGACGACTAGATGGGACTTGAGATTGTGCTTGAGCTTCGCCTTGTAAGAGCAATGTGGGCATTGGAAAAGCGGCTCTTTCCCGCATTCGAACACGATGTGCCTCCTCAGATGGCATTTCCTTTTGTAAGCCTTTCCACAGGACCAACACGGAAAATTCCTATTCCAGGCTAGAAAACAGAAGAAGAAAAAATATTTGAAGCATGTGATCTCAACGAAGAAGGGCGTGGGGATGGGCCTGGAGTAAGAGAAAACGTAAAAGACGAGAAAAAAAATAAAAATAGAAGGATTAAAGGAAGGACAAGAAATTAAACCGACCTTTATTTAGATAATTATTCTTTTTTTAATTCAAAATGTAAAAAATTCACCAGAGGTTGGTATAGGAAAGGTTTTGTTTTTCGACCAATGCCAGATGTCTCGTCGCTATGTGGACCTTAAGATGTTCCTTCAGTTTCGACCTGTGAGGACAAATCGGACATTGGAACTTCGGCTCGATGGAACACTGGTACCTCATGTGTCTCATAAGGTGGCCTTTGTTCTTGTAAGACCTTCCACAAGTCTTGCACAGGAATTTCGTCTTCTCTCCTAAAAGGCCAAAGAAAAGAATTAACACGTAGACAGTCTGCAAGTCAATGGACAAGAAATCAGGTTGAGCAAACGAGTGGTAAAATTAAAAAAGAATTTATTCGTCTAATATATAACAAACCTAGTGTAACAATTTTTCTCTTTTTTAAAGATTTTTGTTTTTTACAATTCGCCTTTGTTTTTGTTTAATTCACGATAAATCTCTGAACTTTAACACACAAAACAATTATATTTCAGCCCAAACAATTCTCAATGAGTCATTTATCAACAACAACATTGCACTATTAAAACAGTGTGACCGAATTAACACCTAATCCGAGTTCCATCCACGAAAATGCTTCACAGCTAGAAAGACTTCAAAAAGTTTAAAACTGCTAAGCCCCCTCTAAAAAAAACTATATTTGACCGTAAACTGACCTATAAGCTTCAAAATTGTGCTTTGTATCAGTTATCTGAGTCTTATCATTAGAAAAATCCCTGTAAATTGGCCGAATTATTTTTTTTGTTTTATAATCTTTTTTACTCAGTTCTTTAAGTCTTTTAACACAAAAAAAAAGATTGTGGCTAATTAACTTTATTCGCCTGCAGTCGCCTAACTTCTGGTGATTTTTTCTTAATTTTTTAGTCTTCTATAGCAGAAAAAAGAAGGTAGTTCATTAGCGTTTTGCTGTCTCCTAACTTTTGTTGTGTTTTTTCTTAATTTAAAGTTTTCTATGACAGAAAAAAGGAAGTAGTTCATTAACGATTTGCTGTCTCCTAGCTTCTGTTGTTTTTTCTTAATGTTTTAAAGTCATCTATGACAGAAAAAAGAAAGTAGTTAATTTGTTACTTTATCTTCTATGGTAGAAAAAATGGCTAATTAACTTTATTCACTGCAGTCGCCTAACTTCTGGTGATTTTTTCTTCATTTTTTAAAGTCTTCTATAGTAGAAAATATGTAGGTAGTTAACTTTTCACTGTCTCCTAACTTCTGTCATTTTTTTACTTTTTTCTGTCTCCTAACTTTTGTTGTGTTTTTCTTAATGTTTTAAAATCTTCTATGACAGAAAAAAGAAGGTAGTTAATGCAATTTTTGCTGTTTCTTAACATTTGGTGATCATTCTAGTTTTTTGATCTTCTATGGTAGAAAAAATTGGCTAATTAACTTTATTCGCTGCGGTCTGCTAACTTCTGTTGACAATTTTTTTTAATTTTTTCAATTTCTCTATAACAGAAAAAACAAGGTAGTTCATTAACTTTTACTGTCTCCTAACTTTTGTTGTGTTTTTTCTTTAAAGTCTTCTATGACAGAAAAAAAGAAGGTAGTTAATGAACTTTTTCCTGTCTCTTAACTTCTGTTGACCATTTTATTGTTTATTTTCTTCTGAGGTAGAAAAAAGGCTAATGAACTTTATTCGCTGCAGTCTCCTACCTTCTGTTCGCTTTTTCGTAGCAGAAAATATGTAGGTAGTTAACTTTTCACTGTCTCCTAACTTCTGTCATTTTTTTTTATAAGTCTTTAATGGTAAAAAAAGAATATAAGGCTAATTAACTCTTTTCGTTGTGGTCTCCTAACTTTTGCTGGCTTTTTTCGTAGATTTTTAGTCTTTTATAGCAGGCAAAAAGAACGTCGTTCATTAACTTTTTGCTGTCTTCTAACTTTTGTTGACTTTTTTCTTACTTTTGTGAAACTTTCTATAGTAAAAAAACTAGGTAAGTAAATTTATTCGGTGAAGTTTGCTAACTTCTGTTGGTTTTTTTGTTAGTTTTCTTATGCCTTCTATAGCAGGAAAAAAGGAATATCGTTAATTAACTTTGTGCTGTCTCCTAACTTCAGATGGTTTTTCTTCTTAGTTTTCAAGTCTCTTATTGCAAAAAAAAAAAGAATGTAGTTAATAAAGACCTTTTTGCTATCTCCTAACGCCTATTGATTTTTTTCTTAATATTTTTAGTTTTCTATAGCAGAAAAAAAAGGATGCAGTTAATTAACTTTGTGCTGTTTCCTAACTTCAGATGGTTTTTTTTCAAGCTTTTCAAGTCTCTTATTGCAAACAAAAAGAATGTAGTTAATAAGACCATTTTGCTATCTCCTAACGTCTATTGACTTTTTTCTTAATATTTATAGTTTTCTATTGCTGAAAAAAAAGATGCAGTTAATTAACTTTCTTTGTTGCCGTCTCCTAACTTTTTCGTTTCATTGTAATCTTGTACATAAGAAAAAAAATATATTTATTGTTCTTCTAACGTGTATGCAGTTGTTTTCTTAGTTCTTAAATTGTGTAATATAAAACCCGATATATTGTGCGATTATTAATCAATTTTGTGGCCCACATTGCGGATATTTAACTTTATTTCTCACTTCCTTCAAGTCTTGGTTTTATAATAAAAAATATTCTTGCTTTTTCAAATTAAATTTTGCTTTTATTAAATATATATTTTACTCAGTTCGTTCGATTTTCGGTATAAAAAATAATATATTTTGCTCTAAGCAATTTATTTCTTTAAATCCCTCTTTAATGTCTCGTACAGTTTATCTCAGTACTTTTAACAACTATGGCAAACCAATATTATATATCATTTGTTTCCTACCCACAAAAACAATCATGTCTGTTTTGTGATTTTGACTAGTTTTGCAGATTTCCTACTTAATAATAATTGGCACGCAGTCCTTGAATGTCAATGTTTTACCTAATAAAAAAGGTCTATAAATTTCTATTAATTTTTTAAATTAATAATCAAATTTTTTGTTCTCAGTGATTTGAATATTATCTATCAAGACAAAATACATTTTGTTTAAAGTCCTATCTTTTTCTAACCAACACCCCCCTCACATTTTGATTAAATTTATGAATAGAGGCATTGGATTTTTTATCACATTCCAATAACCCCTGACGTTGCGCAATAATGATCAATCATGATTTTGGACTACCTTTTGTAGAAACCTCTACTTAAACCCTATTGTGTCCGTTTTGGGGGAAACAAGCTGAACTTTGACGCTTCGAGGTTGAACAAATAAATCCTACTTTTAAGCTTGAAAGCCGTGCTGGAACTCGAAGCCAATCATTAATCTCTCCGACGGACTTACGCGGTCGCGGTAAAAAGAAAAAAAAACAATCAAACGAAGCATCGTCTTGTATAAATAGCGTGGATTTTGACACCGTTCGTCGTTTTTTCGTCCGAGTTACTGGTTAAGAGAAGGGAGATGCTTGGTCGCGAAATGGGCTTTTAAGTTGTCCCTGTGCTTGGCCCTGTAAGGGCAAACCGGGCAGCCGAACTGCGGCTCCTTCCCGCACTCGTATTTCTGATGCCTCGTCAGATGGCCCTTGTGGACGTAGGACCTTCCGCAGGATTCGCAACGGAAATTGTGCGGTATGCTTCTCCTCCTCGAACCTGAAAATTCATAGGGATTAGAAAACGGTTCGGACCGGCTTCTCACGGGTACGGAAGGAAGAGGAAAAGGGAGATTTCCGAAACAAAACCCATCCTCCGTTGATTTCAACACGTCGTTTATTTTACCTATCAAATATAATTTACAAAAAGAAAGTTATAACACGTTTTAAAACATATTTACAAAATGTCACTTGGGTAAGTGACAAAGGTGTTTGGAGAAAATGTGACTCTTCAGGTTGTCCTTGAGTTTGGACTTGTGAGGACAGTAAGGGCACGAGAATTTGGCTGTTTTTCCGCATTCGTAAGTCAGGTGTCGATTGAGGCTCCTCTTATATCCGTAACCCCTTCCGCAATGATTGCAGTAGAAACACTTTCCTGTTGGAAGAACGAAAGAAATATATCAAGAAAGACGGTAAAACGATCTCCCCTGCAGTCAGTCTCGTTATTTTACCATTTTCCGAAGTTTTATTTAGGGATGTGCTTTGCAAAAATGTGCGCCTTGAGGTTTTCCTTGTGCTTGGTCCTGTGCCAGCAGTGGGGACACTGGAACTGAGGATCTTTCCCACATTCGTACCGTTGGTGCCTGTTTAGGGAACCTTTCGTACCGTACGTACGATCGCAGTCGGGGCACTTGTACCGTTTCAGACCTGAAAACAATGTCTCTTGAATTTTCTTCCACGGGGGTTTTAGTAAAAAATGCATCGATCTTGTGGACGGACGGTTCGGGATTGAAGAGACCCGCTACCACACTCTACCCTCATCATTGAAACTCTGGCATGCAACAAGAAATGAAAAGCCGGAAGAAAACATCGGGTGATTTGGAAAATAAAGGAAGGCTAGTGTCAGTTTCGGGAAAAAATATTTTGCTTTCTTAAGTAGTTCAAAACATTAAGCATTAAAAGAAAATATATCCTGAAGCCCAAGTGGTCCAATACTCATGTGCATGTTCCTATGAACACATTACCCATGATAAATATTCCATTTATATTGCATGTGTTTTATTTTATAACTATTGCTTATATCCATACAAATAATTGTCAATGTTTATGTATGAACATCGTGCATGTACTCTGTATGTTTGTGATAAATGTGTGTGAAAATTAAAATTGTAGATAATCCATTAGATTTCGTGGTCCGATTGACCAAATAACTACTTTCAATTAATTCATCTTTATGTAAGGTATTGGTTGAGATAAAAAAGTCAGTGTCACGAGCGGGATTCGAACTCAGGACCTTCGGCTAAATACGCCGCGGCTCTACCACTTAGAGGCGTATTTAGCCGAAGGTCGTGGGTTCGAATCCCGCTCGTGACACTGACTTTTTTATCTCAACCAATACCTTACATAAAGAAGAATTATCGATAATATGTGTAACACTGACGGTGTTCGTTTGCTTGTCTGCTTTTGTGATAGTGAGGTCATCGTTAGATTTTATTTTTACTAGTGTACTTCAAGCAGTCGTCCTATTTCTTCGTCTTGTATGGTAAGTTTTTAGTTCAATGGATTATGTTACATTCGGTGTTGGATAATTTATGTTGTGTTTTAATCATTTCTCTAGGTCCTGTTGTTCTCCTAGCCAGAGATTTGGGGGGGTCTCAGAGTACTGAATATTCCGCTGAGAACCATAAACATTCACGCTAATGAATACATTCGCTGAATAAAAACATTCATACTATAATTACTATATAACAATAAAAAATTTGGAAGGCACCGGGGGTTCNAAAAAAAACTGTTGGCCGTGTACTTTTTATTTAGCTACAAACCTAAAACTTTGGAAGTCACTTAGTATTTGGTATGCCAGTGCCTCCACCTATCATTCTAAGCACTGTTACCTTAAAAAATTAGAGGTCCCACAACAAACCCTTCACTCAATCACGCTAATAAATACATAACAGATAGTTAAAACTAAGGAAAGCCATCAAATGCGACCATATGCTTTTATCCGCTTTAGGTTCGATGCCATGTTTAGGTAATATCTATGCTGTTACGCTATTGTTTATGGTTTTTGTTAGAATAAAGAGTGTATTGTTCACAGTTCAGTGTTTATGGTTTTGGGTTTGTTTTTGAATTTTTTTTTTCAGAAGTCCTGGGTTTTAACGAAGTCAGTAGTAATTTACTTGGTTATTGTTTGTATGTATTTTAGTCTATTTTCCACGGATAATCGTGCCAAAGGTTTTGATATGTGCAGATTTGTTTGCTTGAATTTACATAAAAGTGTAGATAGATGGAAAAATAGATGCAGTCACTTTGAATAGATTCAAGAGCAGATCAGCAATCTTAGGACACCTAACGTTGACACTAACTTTCCTTATATTGAAAATAAAAAGATGATAAGGAGAAAAGGCTTGAAAATAATTATAAAACAAATATTACATTATAACATAGAATTTTATTCAACATCTACTTCTATATAAACTAAAAACATACATATGTCTTAGTTATGCTAAGATGGTTGGATTATGTGTTTGCTTGCTATGTGGGCCTTTAAGTTATCTTTGATTTTCGCCTTGTACGGGCAAAATGGGCAAACGAACTGTGGCTCTTTCCCGCACTCGAATTTCAAATGGCGTAGAAGATTGCTCTTGGTACTGTACCTCCTGAAACACTGAAGGCACGGAAATCTCTTACTTCCTCTCACACCTATCAAAAATAAATCTATTAGACACGGTTTCTGTTTTGTCGTTTTTCTAACGCCGGGGGGAAAAGGGTAAGAAAAGGAGCTTTTTTTATTTTCGAAGAGGAATCGATTTTATTAATGGACATCGTATGCTTTCATTAGGTGCTGGAGTTGGAGCTTCAGAGGGCCGTGATGGAACTTCATGTGGCGCGTTAGGTTGCCCTTGGTCGTGTAACTTTTACCGCAAATCTTACACTGCGTCTCTGAAGACGATGTCCCCGCCGGTTGCTTGCCTGAAAAAAAAAACCCCAACGGGAATGTTAGTCGTACGAAGAATACAGAAAAATGAGGATGTTGACGGGAAAGGATACATTGATACCAAAAGGAGTCAACTCTGAGCGTGAAACTTACTTATTATTGGACGAACATGCACCGAAATCTAGAATCGCTAACAAATAACGTCATCATGAGGAGGCACTAACAGCTTTGTGACAGCAGGACTGCGGAATCGATCAAGAATGGGCATAGAATTTTACTCAGGGAAACATTTTTCAAAATGTCATAACTAAGGACACGCTTGGGACTCTTTTCTACAGAAGATTCGGGCGAACGCAGCAATCCTTTACAAGTTTAAGCAAGAAACCATTTTACTTTTCCACTGTGGATTTGGGACCTATTGTAGATAGCTTGATGGTTTTGGAATACTTTACTATAGCGGAATTGAGACAAATGTGCTGAAATGGGCAATTTTTCTAGATAGCTCGGAGGTACCAAGATTCTGCTGAAGATTTAGGACAAATGTGCTAAAATGTTCAAAAATTGTAAAAGACAACTGCTGTAGATAGCTTGAAGTGGTGGATCACTTTTCGACAATTTGGGACAACTGGGCTCAAATCTTCAAAAACTGGACAAGACTGCTGTTGAACCCATCATCTACTATAAATCAATTGCTGTCGATAGCTTGGAAGAAGCTGGATTACGTTTGTTCAGAAAATTGCGAGTTAATGAGGAAAATCTTAAAGCATTGGGAAAGACAACTGCTGCAGGTGACTTGTAAGTTCCTTAATCCTTTTCTACAGTTGATTTGAGACACCAAATCAGCTTTAGAATGCTTAGAGGTCTTGCAAAATTGCAGAAATCCTGTAGACCACGTGGTCAATTTCTACTGTGAGATTTTATGTAAAAAAAGGATTGAAGGTTGCAAGATTACGATTAGAAGATTTAGAACAAATGTGCTAAAATGTTCAAAAATTGTAAAAGACATCTGCTGTAGATAGCTTGTAGGTTGATGAATTACTTTTCGACAATTTGGGACAACTGGGCTAAAATCGTCAAAAATCGGGTAAGACAAGTGATATAAATAGGTTGGAGGTTGTTGGATTAGTTTTCGACAATTTGGGACAACTGTGCTCAAATCTTCAAAAACTGGACGAGACAGCTTTTGAACCCATCATCTCGTATAAGTCAATTGCTGTCGATAGCTTGGAAGCTGTGTTACTTTTGTTCAGAAAATTGTGAGATGATGAAAATCTTGGAACCTTGGGCAAGACAACTGCTGTAGGTTGCAGGTTCCTTAGTCCCTTTTCTACAGTGGATTTGAGACCCAACTCTGCTTCGAGGTCTTGCAAAATTGCAGAAATCCTAGAGACCCCGTGGTCAATTCCTACTGTGAGATTTTACACACAAGCTAGTACAGATTGCTCGGTAGTCACCCGGAACCAGTGACTTCAAGTCTTCATAACTTGTCAATACTACTGTCGAAAGGGTTGCCTCGATAGTGGAAGGACATCAGACTTTTTGGGTTTGCTTCTCAAAAATAAAGAAAAACAAGAACAATTGATCATAAAAGACAACTTTCTCTTGAGTGGGACAAAAATCAACAATTGACGACAGCTGTAAACAGGAAAACTGTTGTAAATAACAAGAGGATTGATTTCAAGATGAGATATGACAGCATATGGCGAGTGATATAAATAAATGCTGGTGCAGTTGAGGAGAAGAAAGCTAAAAGTTAAGAAAATAAAATAAAGTCTTAAATCACACCATCGTTTATTAAAACCAATATATAAATACATATTACATTTTTTTGTCTACTTTAATAAACTATATAGTAATCCTTTAACCTTCTCAAATATATATATTTCAAGATGCTTTAACAATTTCAAAGAAAAAAAATATACGTTAAACTATCCAACAGGTAAGGCTGAAGTTTCAAGTTTTTAGAGTTTCGTTTAGTAGCACCAGGTAGTCCACATGCAACGAGTAGATATGTTTTTTAAGATTGCCTTTGTGCTTGGCACGATGGGGGCAATAAGGGCATTGGAATTGTGGCTCTTTCCCGCACTCGTATTTCTTGTGGCGAGCCAGGCCGTCTTTGTAGATGTACGACTTGTCGCAGGTGTTGCATTGGAAACGTTTCCTTGAGGATGTCGACCCTGGAGAAGACACTGCTGGTTAGAAATGAAAATAAAATATTCTGACACAATGGAAAACCAATAAAAGAGGATCAAAGGAGAGGATCGTTCCTGTTCTATAGGAGGACGGTTAGTCAACAAGGATACTTTCATATACATATATTTTTGTGTGTTAGAAAAGAAATTAACTGTTACAAGTTTAATGAAACTTTATTTTACAACTTTTTTATATGATTTTCTCTTTTTTCTTATTTGAAAAAAAAATTGTTTAATTATGCTTAAGGGTCCCAACTCCTTGGTTAATCGGAAGAATGTTCAAGCTGATTTGTGTGAGAATCTACAGGAAAAAAAAAACAAAGAAAAAGAAAAGAAAACAAGAAATAAAAAGAAAATACGAAAAACCAAAGAAAATAAAAATTACCTTTTTATCTTGATTTCAAGATCGTCCTTTTTTTGATATTTTCGTACAATTAAAAACCATTTGCGTTTTGGTAAGGAGGAAGAGGATACAAGTTACAAAAGGGAGGATTTGGTCTCGTCGGAAAGTTCGGACATGTGTTTGATGATGACGTGCCTCTTCAGGTTCGTCTTTTGTCTCGCCCTGTAGCCGCAGAACTGGCATTTGAACCTCGGCTCGGGTATGCACTCGTACCTCAGATGCTGTGACAGTCCCGCTTTGTACTTGTACGTCCTGTTGCACCTGTTGCAACCGAATCTTTCTCTCTGCTCTAAAATAAATTACAAACAATTAATATCAAATAATGAAAAAAAACAATCAAGGCAAAAAAAAAAGAGGAAATTGATTACTTACGAAATATTTAAATAAGTGAAATAAATACAAAGCAAGTCAAAAAAAAAAAAAAAAATCACAAGGGATTACTTAAAAAAAGCGCTGTAAATTCAAAAAGCTCTCCTCCATATCTATTTGACTCAAGTGACAAATTCACCAGAGTTGATAACGTTTGATCAAATCTCTGCCAAATCAAAGAATAAATATCACATTTGTGTACTTATAACTTTTAGCCTTTTGAAAAAATCCCATCAACTGTTCAATGTAGATCACAGCGAGAACAGACGGATCCCTGAAATTAACTCCTAAGAAAAAATCCCCTTATTCATCTGCTGGAATCTAGGTTTTGGAGTAAAAGAAATTTCCGAATATATATTTTTTTGTCAGAGGTTTTAATCCAATATATTACAAAATATAAAGATTTTTTTTTAGCAGATAGGAATAAATCCTGTAGTAATTAAAGCTTGTTTCAGGCCAACAATTGAAATTTTTAGATTTTTTAAAAACAAATCAATCGAGTAAAAAAGGTTATTTCATGTTAACATATACATAGAGGCACATATTTCAAAAAAATAAAAGGAAAAAAGATAATTAAAAAATATCTTATTATTTTATTAAACAAGACAAATTTTTGTTACAAGTTTTATTTCTCAGTCGGCTGAAATATAAGGCTGTTATCAATTTGTAGCTGTAGAAAACCGTTTTCGTTGCATATCGATCTGGAGAAAAGTGGGAAACAATCAAAAAATTAAATAATCTTTAATTTTATCGATATTACCTCATCCCCAGGAGTGGTCTTGTGGAAAGTTCCAAAACAGACCTGAATTAATTTTTTTTTTTTATAGAAAACGTACGGGAAAATAAGCTCATAAGCTTATTTTCCCTTTTATCCTCATGGCGATGATGTCGGCGTGCTTGGAATAAAGGTGGAAACGGAGGTGCGAGACGGCCGATCCTTTGTAGTCGCAGTGCATGCAGGAAAGGCGGTCCGGTTGGCCGCAACTGTGCTTCCTGTGGTAGACCATGTTGTGTTTGTATTTGTAAACTCGGCCGCAATCTGAACAAGGAAATCCTGGAAAAAAATTCCAAAAAAAAATGTTTTAAAACGGACTGGATACCAGGGGAAAAGCCTGCTCGTAAGACTGGGAAAAATCCTAGTTTTATTAGCGATTATTCGCTCTCCTAAGGATGAAAATAAGGTTTTTGTTTTAAACTTTCCTAATTAAAATTAATTCATAAAGCAGAAAAAATGATTAAAGTTTGCTCGTTTCAAAACAACAGTTTTAAAATTGGCCGTCTTTCCTTCCACCTCTCTGATAAGAAAGTCCAAACTTTAAATGTATCTACAAATGTTTATAGAATGTTACTAATTGTTCTATAGATTTTAACAAATAAACTTTCCATTCCTGGAGGGAAAAACCTTCCCCACAGTCAGACTGGAAAAATCCCCACTTTACCACTAAATATTCGTTTTCCTAATGTACACTGAGGATGGAAATAAAGCCGTTTTATATTTTATAAATTTAACTACTTTATAAAGCAGAAAATAGTAAAGGAAATATTTATTTAAATTTATTCCTATTCAAAACGACCCTTTGAAATTTGGTCGCTTTCCCTTTCTATTTCCCTGCCAAGAAAGCATCCCCACTCCATTTGTATAATCAATTTTAGTTATTTTTAAATGAAAGCAACCGTCGTACAATTCAGAACAAAATGTCAACAAAAGAATTTAATAACTGTAAAAAAATAATCCTCCCCTTTCCTAAACAAAAAGTGAGAGAGTCAGAGAAACTCTGTGTGTGTGTGTGTGTGTGTGTGTGTGTGTGTGTGTGTGTGAGTGAGTGAGTGAGTGAGTGAGTGAGAGAGAGAGAGTGAGAGAGAGAGAGAGAGAGAAAATACTTTATTCAGTGACCCTCCCAATAAGGTCACAAAATTTTTCAAATCTGGCACTTGAACAAATAAAGGTTTGGCTGAAACAAAAAGTGCTAGTGCATATTTGAAAATCCATTTTATTACGGCCGATATAACGAAAATAAAATCTGATCTAACAACTAAATGTAAAACACCTTGAAAATATCTTTCAACAAACAAAACCAAAACTGTAATTTTTGTTCAAAAAAATCTTCCCCCTTGGCTCATGTTTTTTATTAATGTAAATTATATGCGACTTCTACATTATAAAAATAGAACATAAGACAATTTGCAAACCAAATTCAGACGGAATTAATAAAGGCAAATAAGGAAGAGAGTTATATGGGGCGAATCGTTCAAAACAGATATGCACACACTTTGCGGTTAAAAAACTGAACATTAAGGAAAACAGGCATTTCATAAAATCTGTTATATTGATAATTAATTTTACAAATTTTTGGCATTTGTATATCAGTTTAATGGTGCCAATGTTTGTTTTTTTTCACATAGGGACACACAAGAAGTAAAAAATTTTCGTGATCACTACAACAATATGAAAGTTTATCATATCATAAAATCCAAATGTTATAATACTGTAAATTATTTCAATCAATTATACTTTTTGTTAAAGGGCTTGGCTGTGATAAAAAAAGTTAATGCCAGGAGCGGGATTCGAACCCTCGACCTTGGGCTGACCGAGCTAGCCACTTGATCAAAGCCGAAGGTCTCGGGTTCGAATCCAGCTCGTGACACTAGTTTTTTTTTCATCTCAACCTTGGATAAAAAGTATAATAAATTAATTATGACAGCTAAATATACATGGATTAATATTTTATATTATATTAGCGGGGTTGCCGTTGTGTTTGAAGGCGAGGTGTTTCTTGAGCTGGACCTTCTGCCTTGCCTTGTACGGACAGGAAGGACAGGTGAACCGCATGTCCGCATCGCCGCAACCGTGCCTCAGATGTGCCAAGTAGCTGATCCTGCATTTGTACACCCTCTTGCACTTGGGACACTGGTTGGGCAGCACGTTTTCCTCTGTGGGTAGGTACGGTAAAATACGACCTAAAAAAAATCGGAAGGGTCAATTTGGGTCAATTGTAGGCCTAGCGGAGGGTATAGAAATTTATGTTTTAATTGACCAGTTACCAGTTTCGTTCTTTCCTTTTTTTCCGGTTCTTACGGCGGGACGAAGCCAAACTAAAAATATCCAGGTCGATACACAAGGGGTGGGTGACTACCCAATCGTATCTAAATTATTTACGATGCTATTTTTTCGTAGCGACAAAGAAAAAAAATTGTCTCTTTACAACAAAAACAAATAATCCAAATACTCCCAAGAAACTTACATAACCTTCCCATAATTCTATCAAAAACCTATATACTACTGTACAGTAGTAGTGGTGTATAGCCACCACCTTACAATTTCGGATTGTTTTAAGTTTTAATTTTTAAACATGAGTTTATATGATAAAACGAAAGGTTTAAATAAAACATTCAAGTAGGATCATAACTGAAATAATTAATTGTAGAAGGTATCCTTTAAATTATTTTCCTTAATCAGTCGTGAGAGAGAAAAATGATTTATTCGTTGACCGTCTTCTCATTTTGAATAGAAATCTTGGTTTTTTGCTTTAAAAGGACGCGATTTTAATAGTTTTTTAATGAATTTTGTTTACATGGTCGATTCAATCGAACTTCAAACAGTCTGAACAAGTTTTGTTTACCAGATCGATGTAATTCACCTTCAAACAGTCTGAACAAACAAATGTACACTTGGAGTTAACATGTCTGTCTATAATATCAATAATGGTGTCATCATTTTGCATCGGCGACACTGCGGAATGACGCGGACCCGTGTTTCAAAAGCTCGAGAAGAAGAGATGTCACCTTAGGTTTTATGTTATTTTTCCCTTATTCGTAAATTTATTTGCATATAAAATTTATCTAAGTAGTACAGAGTAACTTGCGAGGTAGCTTTATGAAGTACTTGCTTTAAGTCTAAAACCTGACTGTTTACAATACCGTTGGATCAGAGCAAAACAGTACGACCGATCATTAATCATAAAAATCAGTGGGTTTTTTTCCCCTAAGCCTAGGAAGTTTTTATTCTGAACAATTACAAATCTCGTTATAAGTTGAATCTGGCTTGAATTGTATGCATTAATGTTTATTTTTGCAGATGGTCGTAAAAAAAAAAAAAAAAAGTGGAGATTTTTAGCAGTTGAATATTCATTCAACTGTCCTAAAGGCGTTTAATCGTTTATCGATTTAATCGATAAAATCAACGGAAATAGGTAACTGAATAATAATTGCATTAGGAATAACTTTATTCGTTCCACGTTAAGTCATTTTTACTCGAAAAACAAAATTAATACGGCGGACACTGGCTAAATTCAAAATACCCAGTATTTCGACATTAAAATACTACTATAAATAAAGACTCCATTTATGTTTAATAATCTAATTGACCGAATTACTTATTTCAATTAATCATTCTTTTTATGTAAGGTCTTGGTTGAGATGGAAAAGTTAGTGTCACGAGCGGGATTCGAACCAACGACCTTCGGCTCAATACTAAACACTTGAGCTATCGTGACTTCAAGTGGTTAGCGCCGAAGGTCGCGGGTTCGAATCCCGCTCGTTACACTAACTTTTTCATCTCAACCATGACCTTACATGAAAAGAATAATTCATTGAAACAATAAGATTCGATTTCTCATAAAATCCATAATGTTTCGGGATAAACGGATCCTATATTAAAATATTGCATACGTCTTGATTATCCCCCATAAATTTATAACACTAGATTCCTCTTTAAACATAACATTCATTTTCCAATCGAATTAGCTGTTCAAGTTAAGGCGATCCAACGGCAACAATTTAGCTTCATTTTTCCATTATTCAACAACACGAGCATGTAAATCGATCCAGCTTTAAAATAAAATAAGCAGCATAATGTTAAAATTGATAAACATATTCATCAATATATGCACAAGTAATGCCAAAGCTCGCGTGTGTGTATGAGGATGTTGATGTTAGATGTCCCACGTAATCGAAAAGAAACGTTCTTTAGTTCTACAAAGGGAGCGTGTAGGAATGCCACCTCGTATAAGAGTTGAACTGAAAGTTTGCTCGAGCACTGCATCGACTGTCAAAGCCCGCTTTTCAGAAGAAAACGGGTGTTTTTCAGTACGTTGGGATTTCTTGTTAAATGTATTTATTAGCACGAATGTGTAGTAAATTAATAACATCAATTAGCTCAGTTGCTACGTTCATACCGCATGCCATGAGTGAATGATGTATGAAGGAAAGAATGGATTTAATAATTGGGTTAAAAATTGCGTAGGGAATTGAAGTTGGGACGGACGAGAGGTCTCGGGCTGCTGACAAACCCGGGAGTCGGTGAGGTAACCGAGGTCTCAGGTTTTTGAAGAAATTTAAATGAAAGGACTACTGAAAGAATAAATGTTTTATTGAGATCGTACAGTTTTGTTTTTTTTTACAACTGGGGCGTCATAGTGTGATGCTTGAACGCCATGTGCCTCCTAAAGTTCCCTTTGTGCTTGGCCGAGTAAGGGCAGACCGGACAGTGGAACTGGTTCGGCCTGTAGCTGAGGGCCTGGCTCTTCTTCACACCGGTAAAATAATCGAAACCTTTACTAGCTCTGTCTGGAAAAAAGGCCGAGAGTTAATCTAATGGGTTGTGCGTGGCGGTCCTGCGGCGAGGGCGTGGGCGGTGGCCATGTGCCTCTTAAGGTGGATGTGGTACTTGGCGTGGAAGGAGCACAGAGGGCAGAAAAACCGCGGCTTATCCCTGCACTCGAACTTCTTGTGGTTGTGGAGGCTCTGCCGGTGTCGGTACGCTTTCGGGCAGTCGGGGCACTCGTACAGTCTTTCTTTCGGCCGAAGCCTCACCACTGAAAAGCAAAGTCGAAAAAAAAACGATAAATGTAATTTCATCCGTCGCAATGGTGCATCAGCAACTATGGTGTATGATTACGGACAAACGTATAATAGCGACAACTAAAACCTGGGCCTAGTCGAGATGTTAAATTTTGGTTTTGGTTATCACAAATCTGAATCTAAAAAACAAAAAAGGACGCATTCTGCTTAGTGCTTTTCAAGTTAAATAGCTCCTTTTCTGCCGCGATACATGTCTGTGTGGAAAGTATGCCAAGTTTTTAGCGTGAAACGGAACCTTTAGGATCCATCGTCCACCCCAAGGAGGAACAATCAACAAACATTATATACAAGAAATTGTATTTATAAAATATATTTTACATAGAAATATAGTAAATATTTGTTTTTGTTTTTTTCACTCCGTGGGCGGTATCATCGCTGTTGCCTTGAGCGACGCCCTGTACTCCTGGAAAAACGGAAAATCCCCATGAAAAACATTCTTTTAAAGAGATAAAACGCTTTGTACAACCTCGTAGTGTTTATTGATGATGTGCGACTTGATCGGGGCCTTCTGTTTCGATCTGTAAGGGCAGAAACTGCACGAGAACTGCGGTTCAAGTCCGCACTCGTACTTCTTGTGCTTCGAAAGGCTTCCGCTGTGTTTGTAAGTCTTTCCGCACGAGTTGCACGCGTATTCGGAGGGCGGCAAAGCTGGAAAAAATCGAAAAGCGGCATGCGTCAGAGAATTTGTCCGGGGGATTTTTCGATAAAGAGAAAATACTTTTAAGGTTTTTGTATGTGTGTTTCTGTGATTTTGACAAAACGAGAGTGCCATTTCAGCTTGGAACGCCGTGAGATTTTTTTATTGCTCCCAAAACGGATTTTCTTTACAATATGTAACGATTAATTTTCAAAAAAAAAAAAAAAAATGTTTTGTGAATTATAATCCTTGAATGCTCGCGAATGCAAGGTGAACAAGATTCATCTGTACAATAATCCATTTTAATTTAAAACAATAATTTTTCCAATTGTCTTTGAAGAGCGGATTTCGTTTTTGTGGGATGTAGAAAAATTGAGTTACGGACACTTTCAACTATTTATTCAATTTTAAAAAACTGAAAAAAGTTCATGTTGTGTTACATGATGACATTAATTCTCGCACTGCATCTAGTCCGATTCAAATTGTACTTTTTATGATCTCATCGTCTAAAAACTCAAGATATTATGTCTTAAAAGTCTCTAAATTAATATGTATATAAAAAAATGCCTGTTGTTCAGGCAAAAATCACATTATTAAAGTTTCCAAGTTTCTTCGTTTCGTAGTTCTACTTCAAAAAAGTCCCATTGTGTTTGAAGATGACATGGGCCTTCAGGTTACTCTTCAGCTTGGATTTATAAGGGCAATAAGTGCAGGCGAACTGAGGTTCCTTCCCGCATTCGTACTTCTGGTGCTGCCAAAGTCCGCTGTGGTAGCGGTAGCTCTTTCCACATTTGGAGCATACGTGTCCTGCTCCTGAAAATTTAAAAATTGAATTGATATTCCGTCCGTTGTACTCGCCTGAACATGATGACCGATAAACAACTAAAAACTGGCGAAGAAATAATTCTCACTAATGCACATAACTATGTTGAATGGTAGGCACAGTATGTATCACACATGGGAACCGGTGAACAGTCAAGCCAGACCATTTTGCAAAATCTAAGCTTTTTTTAACCCACCCACCCGAATGACGGTCTATGTCTAGGGCGTACTGCAGGCAATGGTACGTCTCCTAATGTTATCAGTAATAATTTAACAAGTTTATTTATTATTTGTGATATGAATTCGTTATTTTTCTGCTTTGTCTTGTAACGGTACTTAGGGCAGAGGAATATGACCTCTTTCCTGCGTGCCAAAGGCCGCCGTTTTACCGGTAGCACTTTCCGCAGACATGGCACTCGAATTTCTCCTAAGGCCCTTTAAATTAAGACAGAAGACTTGGTCAAATTCGTCCACCGATCTGCCGACTCTTGAGAGCGTGGGTGTGAAAAAAAAATCACTAGACGTTAAAATACCTATATTTACAAAGAAATAAAAATACATTTAAATGATACTGGTTTGATGTTTGCAAGCGACATGGGTTTTAAGGTTTCTCTTGAGCTTGGCTTTGTAGGGGCAATGGGGGCAGACGAATTGTGGGTCTTTGCCGCATTCGTATTTTTTGTGAGACCAGAGTCCGCTGTAGTACCTGTACGTCTTTTTACAGTTATCGCAGCTGAAACGGCCCGGTTCGCCCCGTCCTGAAATTAAAATTTTTGTATTTCAATCGGACGTGTAGCCTGAAATGTCCCGGTAGAAATGGAACCGCCTCCGGTCCATCGAGTCGCACTCGTATTTCCTGTGCGCCCAGATATCGGTGTAGCAGCTGAATCCGCGACGGCAGATGTCGCAAACAAACGTCTTGCCTAAAAAAAGCCCAAAGTATTTCTGGTAAAATAAAAATCAGCGGATGAAAACAAAAAGAGGTGGATGGTTTCGGTTGTCGGATTACGCTAGGCGAGCATGGTATGCTTCATAGCGACGTGCTTTCTCATGTTGACCTTCTGCTTCGATCTGTGTGGACAGTGCGGACACTGAAACATGGCCTCTTTGCCGCACTCGTACTTCATGTGTTGGCTCAGGCCGCTTTTGTACGTGTACTGCTTACCGCAGTTGGGGCACGTATGCTTGCCGAGTGCTGAAAACCAACAAAACTGTTAAATGACTATCTCGAGTGAAAAAGTAATAGCTAGATAGCACCACCGGCACAAACACTGGGCTTAAAACCTCAAGAAGTGACATTTTCAAATGGTAAACCTATATCCAAAAAACAACAGCTAGTCGTGTCTCGAATGTTTTCACAAACTTATGTTACTAATCGTTTTTCTTACACGGTGTCATCACTTGGCTCCATACAAGGAGCAAGTAAGAATGTCACTCGATATAATTGTGCTCGACTACGCTAGCAAATTTTCGAATTCCTATACATACATGAATTTTGGAGGAAATTGAAGTATTTCTATTGGAGATCAGACTAGTTAAACACGTAGAAACAAAACCATTCAGGTTTTGTACATCGTATATATTTCGGGATTCCTCTATACATGCATGGTGCATTGTATACAATTGTACATAGTTACAATGCCCCATGATGTATGTTTAGAGCACAACCTTCCAGGCTTGTGAAAGGTTATCGCTGAAGAGGGACAGATTCCTTGAAATATATACGACGAACGAAAACTAAATGGTTGTTATTGTTTCTGTGTGTTTAATTAGTGTGACGACCAATTGAATGAACAACAACTTAATGAAGAAAGTACAGATACAACTACAATGAAGTATTTCTGGTTGCAGGCAATCTTATTATTTTGAAGTTTTATATGGATCGACCACTTTTCCACTCAAGAATACTCTGGATCAGTGTTGTCTTTATGAAAAAGCAAATTCAGTTGCTACTACCAAGCTGTCTACTTATTTCAAGGTCTCATAATCAGGGCACATTACTTGGCAATGTTGGGAGTGAGTCAGACTTCACAGCAATTTGAAATCGTTTGTGAAAAACTTAATTATGTCAATGTGTAGACATATTTAAGACTGGTTTGCCATCATGATGACCTTAAAATAGATCGAAAACTTGGCAGTAACTACTAAATTTGCTTTTTCATCAACACCAACCGTGATCCAGAATATTCGTAAATATTATCATTGCATATGTAACAAGTTTAGTGATAGATTCTGTGTTAACCGTTTCATAAAAATGTATTTATAAACGTGAATGTATGTGCAGTACAAGATCGTCGATGGCGGAATTTCGATAACCCCCATTAGACTATTAGTTTATTTATGTGTAGCTATATGTTTATTTATGTGTAAAGGGGAGAGGGGGAGATTCACTTGCATAAATGATTGAGACAGTGAGTGTGTTAAGGTTAAAACTGCGTCGGCTGAAATGACCTAATTGTCCATCTGAATCAGGTTGTTTGATTGTATATAGTAATGATTATTTTGGTGTACCTAGCGCGTGTGGGGAGTGAATGTATTTATTAGCGTGAATGTTAAGTACGCGAGGGCAATGGCGGATGATTGAGTTATTAGTGCATGGTAGAATGGTATGTAGTGTATGCGTAGGAGTGAATGTATTTATTAGCGTGAATAATAAGTGTAAGAGGGTGATTGAGTTACGTTATTATATAGTTGCATAGTATGGAAGTCAAGGGTGATGGAAGAATATCCAGTTCTCCATCCTATTTGAGTGAATGGTATGCAAATAAGAATGATTCAGAGAATGAGTCTGTCTAGGTTAAAACTGCATGCATTGGGGGCTGAAAATGACCTTATTGTCGTTAGCCCCTTGAGCCCATTTGAAGCAGGTTGTTTTTATTGTATTCAGTAATGATAATTTTGGTGTACCTAGAGCGTGTAGGGAATGAATGTATTTATTAGCGTGATTGTTAAGTACGAGAGGGCAATGGCGGATGATTTGAGTTATTAGTGCATTGTAGAATGGTATATAAATAAGAATGGTTGAGAGTAGGTGTTTAGGTTAAAACTGTATACGTTGGGAACTGAAATTACCTAATTGTTTGTCGATATCCCCTTGGGCCTATTTCGGAAATGGTCCAGATAAGACCGAACTGCGTGAAGTCATGGGTCCGGATTTGCACGTATGTGTTTACACGAAAAAAAGTCTGTAATTGCACAAATTTTCGACCACTTCTTTACACATTGCATCTCCACTTGCTAAAAATGCAGTTCTCTATATTAGCGTGTTATTCAACAACCCTCAAAATTATTTTCTTACTTTCACTAATGACATAGTGTAAACGTGTCCTCCAGCGAAACTAGACGGGCCAAAAAGATAAACAACTGGGATAAATACGGTCGGTAAGAAAGATAGTTAATTTTGTCATTCTTTGCAAAATTCTCTGCACCTTGTCTTAAACAAAGCCATTTTTTTTTAAAGTGATGTAAGGTTAAATTTGTAACAAAAAAGTCATTAAATAACTGATAAATAACATTAACTTTTTTATCTTAAATATATTTTTATTTAAAAAAGCTCTCCAATCCCTTTGGATATAACAAAATCGTCGAAACTTTAACATAAACAATTAAAATTTCGCAGTAACAGTAAAAACGATGCATGAAGTAACAACATATTTGCAAACAGTGCGATAATCCCAGTGGTCCATTCGAAACAAAAGTAATCCAACCCTCGCATAATACTTTTTTTAAGTCTCGCTCACAAAAAAGACCCCATGTTCGTAGTAAATGTGGCTCTTGACCCGGACCATTTTCTTGGCTGTGTATTCGCAGTAGGGGCAGAGTATCGCCGGACCCCGGCCGCACTCGTGCTTTTTGTGAGATTCGAGAGTCTCTTTGAGCCGGTAGCTCTTCCCGCAGTCGCACCTGTGCTCTTTCGTCGAACTGGTTTCTGAACCTGAAAGTTTATAGCTTCATTACACTTATATTGGACTCGGCTCTGTCAAATCCAAAGTGCGTAATAAAAACTGTGGGTTCAGTTTCAAGAAAGTTCAAAGACAACACAGATAAATATGCACATATGTACTTCCGACTCGGCTGAGCACTCTTTCGGCGGGCTTTTGAAATTTGGTCTCGTCTTCCGCTCTTTTAAAAACGGCGAATGAGGACTTGCGTTCGACCGGTCTGATCGGTATCGTCGTCCTCGTATAACTATGCTTGGCGAAAGTCTGCAACTCGACACTTTCCTGTACATCTGAAATTGCCATTTATCTCGAATAAGTTCAAATGATTCATTAAAAAAAATAGAACACAGGTGCATTCAATACGGTTTACATGGAAAGTTGGAAGGACAGACGAGAAATCTTCAGACAGACAGGACACCATAGTTTATTAGAATAAAATGGCACGTGATACCAAGCAAACAGAAAAGAGTTATTACTTTGTCAAATAAAAAAATTCTTACAAGTAATAGGTACATATAACAAACAGACATACTTTACTTTTCTCTCTTTTTCATCTGACCGCCTCACTCTTCCTATCTTCCTTTTTTTCCCCATCATTTCAAAGTCTGACGACCCGACTCTCTTTCTCTCTCTCTTTTCTTCTTCCACTTCGCTCTTGGCCTTTATCACTCTCACTCTTTACCTTACCATCTCTCCCCGTACACGGCACTCAAGATATGCTACCATCACACTCTCTATCGCTCTCTCTCCCCCAACTCATCCTCTCAGACTCATTTACTCTCTCTCCCCCCCCTCTCTTTCACCCTCACTCTCTTTCACTCCCCCTCACTCTCTCTCTCCCCCTCTCACTCTCCCCCTTTACACACACATTCTTATCTTCCTCCTCGCCTTCTCTCTCTTGACCTTTATCGTTCTCAATCTTTCCTTTATCATTTTCTTTCTCGCTACACGTCACTCACGATTACACACTTATTCTCTCTCTCTCTCTCTTCCTTCTTTTTCTCAGCCTCCTCCCTCTTGGCCATTATCACTGTCACTATTTCCTTTTATCATCTCTCCCCCTTCACGTCACTCACGATTTCACACTATCTTCCACTCTCTCCCCCCTCCATCAGCCTCAGTCGCTCTCACTCATTCATTCTCTCTCTCTCCCTCTCTTTCTTCTTCTTCTCCCTCACCTCCTCTCCATTACCTTTATCACTCTCACTCTTTCCCTTTATCATCTCTCCCCCTTCACGTCACTCAAGATTGCACACTATTTTTACCTCTCTCTCCCCTTCCTCAGCCTATCTCACATGACCTGTCTGTCTGTCTGTCTGTCTCTCTCTCTCTCTCTCTCTCTCTCTCTCTCTCTTCCTTCTTCTTTTTCCTCACCTCCTCTCTCTTGATCTTTATCGTTCTCACTATTTCCCTTTATCGTCTCCCCCCTTCAGGTCACTCAAGGTATCACACAGTTAAAGATCTCTCTCCTCTCCCTCAGCCTTTTTCACTCACTCATTCTCTGTCACTTCCTCTCCAACTTGACCTCTATCTCTCCTAACCCTCTACTTGCTCTCACACCTTCTCTCTCTCTCGCCTCTCATTTAAACACTATCCTTCTTGACCTTTACCACTTTCCTTGCTATCTCATCATCAACTCTCTCTCTTTCTCTAGCGCTCTCACTCTCGCATTCTCTCTCTCACACTCTCTTTCTGTCTCTGTTCACTCGATTTAATTTTGCTTTCTACGCATCGTTATAGTACACATTTTGAACGGACAAGCAAGTTTTCTGAATTTTTCTAAGTGCTTTTGAGTTTAAAACTTGAAAAAGTGAAGCATGTCATTCGTCATTCGTGCTGTGCTTTCTTAGGTGTTTTTATTTGATCGCAATCGATTATTACTTCCGGCAAGACTGCGCGCTCTTTCTCTCGCAGTTCGGAATTCGGCCTCGTCGCTTATTCTCTTACAACAGGCCGCAATGGAAGATTTCCTTTCCACAACACTTTTCGTTAAAGTCCTTCCATCGAAAACACTCTTTGAAAACCGCTCCAACTTTTTCCACTCATCTGAAATGGCCAATTGTTACTCATGGGTTAAAAAAAAAGAAAAAAAATTGGGGGAGGGTCACCGATTGAAATAACAGGTCTAACAGGTCCAGTCTCAACGACTTCATAAATCATTTATTTCCCTTAAATATAACAAATGTGCGTTTATACAAGTGCTTAGAAATGTATGTTTTTGTGTCGTATGTGTAGAAAAGAAAGCCTGGAAATGGCGGTTTCTCAAACACTTTGTACCATTTGAAATATCTCTTAAATCTTCTGTTTTTCCTTTTGAACTGAAAAAGCTCTGATTTGGTAAATAAGTTTTCTTCGGCTTACATCAACCAATGCCACCTCACTTCATGCAGTTTAAACTAAGGATTTTTTTTTAAGTTTAAATTCGATGAAATATGAAGCACTAAGAAATGTACTTAGAAGCTACAAGTAAACCTGAAAACAGCTAAAATCAACTAAGATACCAAAGAACATCGAACAAAAATAGAACTATAAAATTAACAGTAATCCATGATAATTTGGAAAATTGCACTTTATCTTCTCTCCAGTCCTATTTTTATTATTCAACCTTATAAAAAGTCAAACAGATTTAAACTTATTAAAATAAAATAAAACTACAAGGTTTCTGTTTACCAAAATTAACGATTATTGTGACAAGGTGTTAATAAATACGACAATCAGAAATAACATAAGCGTCAATTTATTTCTGACTTGTACAAAATAAAATACTCTTCTGTCTTTGTTTAAAAATAAAGCTTTCAAACACCCATTGACAAAATTTTATAACAAAACTCATGGAAACATTAAAAACTCTTTTATAATTCTATAATAAAATTATGGTAAATTCATTATAAAACTTTCTAAAAGTGTCTATTGTTTGTTTGATTGAAACAAATACAGAAATTACAGAATAATTCACTGTTCACTGACTGGCGATGTACACACATACACACATATTATATACACATTAATATTTAACAATTGAATTTAAAATATTCAATTATATGAGTGTATATGTGCTTTTCAATAAATAATTTTAAAGCTTGTTTAACTAAAAAGAAAACTTAAGGGTTCTAAAAATAAGATTTTTAATTTCTATTCACGTCCGGAGAGAAATTAATTATTAAAAATTAAATTTGAACTCTTTACAGACACAGAATTGCAATAATTCAACGTCAAAACGAACAAACGAGATTTTTTGTTAGGTCTTGGGATTTTTATGTCGAATCGTTGCCAACTAAAATCGCGGTTACATCTAAACCCAGGGTTTTCGAAAAAGTTCAAAAGTAAGCACTTCATAAAATAATCTCAGCCTTTTCACCAGTTCATTTTTAAAAGGCAAAAATGTGTTCAGTTTTTTTGCCCTTTAAAGAACCGATTGGTGTTAAAAGGCAAGGGTATCTGTATCAAGTGCGTTCTTCATTGTTTTGTTCGAAAACAAAAAAGAAAATTTTTGTCTGGAGTCAGGTACTCTGGATAGGTGGAGTATTTTCCCATCTTTTTATATTATGTGTTTTCTTCTTCGTCGTTTTTATTTTCGTCTACGACCCCGAATGCGAACCGACCGGGGTATCGTATGCATATTTTTTTGTGCCTCTGGAGGGATCTTCTGTATTTGTACTTCTTCCCGCACGTGTTGCAGGAGGATCCGGAATCGTCGTCCTCGTCTCCTTCCGCGGTGTTCTCTTTCCGGAGGACGGTAGGTTGGGGGATGAGGTGTTTCGGGGCTTCGGTCAAGTCCGCGCCGTCCGGGTGGCCGTCCTTCTTCCGGATCAGCACGGGTGTCACCCCTTTTTCCGCGAGCTTCGCCAGGGCTTCCATGATCCCGCACCGCCTCTGGTGGCGTCGCAAGCCCCGTATGTACTTGAACGTCTTGTCGCAGTCGGGACACTTGAACTGCTTCAAGTCCTTCCCGCAGTACTGCATGTGCCTTTTGAGACCGCGGCCGTACTTGTAGGTGCTGCCGCACTTCTGGCACGCCAGCCTAGGCAGGTCCTTCCCGCAGTAGACCTTGTGCCTTGTGAGGTCCTTTTTGTTCTTGTAGGTGGAAGGGCACTGGTCGCATTTCCAAGGCAGATCCTTGTGGATGACGCACGACTTCCTGTGGTGGTCATGGAGGCCTCTGGTGGAAAAGGCCTCCCCGCACCTGGAACACGTCCAAGGAAAAAGAATATTCCCGAACATCGGCAGGCTCTCCACGAACCCGGGCAGCTCGTCCAGGTTCTCGATATCTTCCTCTTCGATGCTCGACACATCGGAATCATCTTCCGAGTTATCTGAACCTGAAAACGACAAGGGTCTCAAAAACAATTTTACCAACGTTCGGTCTTTAAAAGAAAAATCTCACCGCGACTTACCACCCTTTAAAATTAAACTCTTCCTCAATCATACATTTCAATCTCCGACGAAAAATTAACACTACTTTAAAAAAAAACACTGATTCGGAACAAGCGGCGGATATTTTATCGTTACGGTTTAGATTCTTATTTTTTTAATTTGGACTTACACACTAAAAAATGTTGACCAGATCACAGATTAATCATGCATTACACTACTTTCTCCCTCTTTCACCTACCTTGCAATAGCTGAAAACAATCGACAAAAAATTATTATTATTATTATTATACATAACATACTCAACTCATCTTTACTATGTCTATTAATTTGCTAGTCAAAGCATTTATTAGATTATAACAACCTTTGAAAAAAGTGAATCGTCTTACTCACGCCATCTTTAGTATTTCTATAAAGAAAAAAAAATATTTTTGCCAAATTTCGTTTCTTATCTATGTTAATCCCATCTCTTGACCTTTCCTATAGCTTAAGTGAACGTTTTCAAATCAAGATAAATTGTTTAAAATATTTGTGAACAGGGTGACCATCGACAGCAGTTATATCAAATTTTTGGACCTTTTGGTCCGCTTGTTTTCGCTGTATTGACAAAACTTCCATTCTTGGCTATTTTAACCCCGTATCTTGTCCTTTCTGGCAATATAATATTTAAATCCATTACAATTCGTAGTCCGATTGACCAATTAACTTTTTTTTAATGAATTAACCTTTTTATGTAGGGTCTTGGTTGAGATGAAAAAGTTAGTGTCACGAGTGGGATTCGAACTCACGACCTTCGGCTCAATACGCCGCTACTCAACCACTTGAGCTATCGTGACTTCGATCCTCTCGGACACCAACTTCCCATCTCAATCCCACCTCTCGAATTTTCTCTCCTTTTTGCCATTTTTCGTCATGGGTTCGAATCCCGCTCGTGACACTGACTTTACTATCTCAACCGATACCTTTTATAAAGATTAATTAATTGATAATATTTAAAGTTAACAAACTAAAACGCATTGTTTTAAATAATTGTGAACAGGGTGACCATCGACATTAGTTATATTGTCAAATGTTGACTGATTCGTTTTGGTCCGCTTGTTTTCGTCATTTTATCAGAATTTAACGATATAATTTATAACTGTTTTATTAGTTGTATTGTTTACTATGTATAAACAATTTTTACGACTAAAAACGTTATAATTGAATGAATAGTTTCCCTTTTAATTATTTCGACAATAAGTTGATCGAATTGAGCTAGTTCTGGTCCGCCTGTTTTCGCTGTTTTTTCGGGGCTACAATTTTGTCAAGACAGTCGAACTGGTTTGAATAATATTTCAGCGGACAATTGAACAGAATAGTTTTTACTGATGTTTGACCATATTGACCCTGGTCTTACAAATCTAGCCGTTTTCCTGTCATTTTGGTATTATCGATTTTAAGCTACCTGGCGATCTGCATAAGGTTTTTTAAGATCTCCTCGATGAAAAACTGTATAATAATTGTACTTTCTAAATGCTTATAACATATATATTCATAATAAAAAATTGAAACTTTAAGCATACAATTCTAAAACCAGGCATGAGTTAAGCAAAAAAAGACTACTCGCAAAAATAGCCCAATGGGAGAAAGAGGAATTCCTACTTAACAAAATGGAATTTGTCTAATTGGCATAATTTTTTTGACGAGGGTTCGCAACAGCAGAGGTTATATCGACCCTCGGGGTGTTTTTGGGGGAAAAAAACAGCCCATTTGTAAGTATGTTGGGTTCGAATGCAGGGCCGCTAGATTCGAACTCGGGACCTTTACCTTACAGTGATGAGCGCCGTGTCAACGCCTAAACCGTTGCGGCCACCGACGCCCCCAACTGGCATAATTGTCGTTAAGGACAATCAGATAACCAATGTCGATTATATGTCTATTATGAAACGAACATATCCTATGCAAATGTCGGTATTAGCTAGAAAAAGGCTGAGGTGGTCAAATTCAACACACCGCCCAGAGTATACTCAATTTTTCTTGGGGATAAGCCTCTCCAATTTACGCTAATAAATTACTTCTTTTAATTAATTAATATTTTTATGTAAGGACTTGGTTGAGATGAAAAAGTTAGTGTCACGAGCGGGATTCGAACCCACGATCTTCGGCTCAATACGCCGCTGCTCTAACCACTTGAGCTATCGTGACTTCGATCCACTCGGACACCAATGGCCACTATATTTATTTACAGAGTATGCTCCAGTTAAGTGCCTCCTTTAAAAAACGGGACTTAATCAGCAGATGGCAAATGTTGGCAAGTCAAAATTCTATGCAACTGCCACCCCAATAACTGGGATATGTCTGTGGCACCTGGGAAACCTGTTCTTGAACCATGTCAATCTTGATACTATACCCTGCAGAGAATTCTCTACTTCATAAAAACGAAAATCTTCAAAAGAAATCCATTAGCAGAGATCGGAACAATAGATAGAAGTTTTAATGCTAAAGGAAGAAATCCGTAGTCATTCAAGCGCATCAGAGGAGTGATAGAACTATTGACTGGTCGCTGGTAACTAAGAAGATACAACATAGTATATTCAATAACGAGGCCATCTGTAGATTATCCAAGGAGTAAGAAACAGCCACCCAAAACTTCGAAAGCGAAAGAACCGCACAATGGAGACCTTGGATACAAAGAAAAACCAGGGAATGGAATTGCAACGGCATCCAATGACCTGGTACTTCTTAGGAAAAAGATCGAGCCGAATACTCTAAACTTAGGAACTAGGAAGGTACAAGCCGGACATATGCAGTGCATGGGGAGCAAAACCCCCAAATCTCCTAGTATCCTTCATCATCGTCATTCAGAAATCATACAATAAACAGATTTAACAGAAAATATTTTGTTACTTAGCGTCAAACTAGCAAATATTTAGTGCAATATGCAAATACTTTGTGAAGTTCAGTCAGTTACAATTAAAAAGAAGAACCTTTTAGGGCAAATATTTATAATTATAAATAAGCATACAAGTATAACAAATTTAAAAGTCAAAGTCGGTCGAAAAACCCACAACTTCCTGAGTTCAAGATCGATTGGTTGTTGTTATAAACAAAAATTGTGGAGAATCTATTAGGTTTCGTGGTCCGATCGATCAAATAAATTATTTTCAGTTATTAAGTAAGGTATCGGTTGAGATAAAAAAGGCAGTTAAGAGACGAACGCAAAGAGCAAATTTTTGGCGCAAGGTCGACCTAAGCAGCCTTTAAAATTAAAATAAAATATCCTAAACGGCAGTATTTGCAATGTTGATAAGGTTTAAGTGCTGATGGGAAAATTTATTGTGAGTTTAGTAGCATTTAATCTTTAAAACCTTTGAAATGAAACGCCACCTGTTTTGGCAAAACACAAGAAATCCAAGAAAACGTGATATTAACAGAATTTTTACAAAATTTCAACAATTTGCTGTAGGTTCCAAAAAAAGTTTATAATTCCCTAAGAACATTGATTTTTTTTAACACCAGACATTTTGTGGATATATGTTGAACATTAAATAAATAATATAAACATTTTTAGAGTACAGGTTCTTCCAGCGGGACCTAGAAGGACCATATAGACTTTTTTTGATAAATTTCTTAATTGCGTAAATATTTTTTTATATCAAAATCAAATTGAATCAATCAATAAACTTGAGAATAATTTCATGGGTAAATTTGAAACCATAAGCAAAACGAACTCTGTTAGAAATGTACGTTTTGAATTGGGTAAATGGTTAGAAATAAGCAATTTATGACCTAAATTTCTATTTATTATTAACCGATATTTTCATGGGTCAAAGATGGACCAAATCGGTTTATAAGACACTGAAACATTAATCATAAACTTACTAACTCAAAAACAAAAACTTATGAATTTGAGGCAGTATTTAAGCACATGCTGTGTAAAATCTAAGCTTAAAACCCTAAGCATTTTATGATCATATCACTTAAGATTTTAACTATTTTACAAATTAATTTAGAAAAAAACTGAATATAGTAATTAAATTAAATTAAAAAATTGGAATTTAAATAGGCAATTTAAACCTAACAAGTATGATTTTACAGAGAGAATCTTATATTAATAATTAAAGGATCAACTTAAGTTGTTTATGATGTGGTTAAGTTTGATGGAAATTGAATACTAACTCTAAATTATTTAAAATCAATATATAAATTTTTAAAAAACTGATTTTGTCTAGGTCAAGTATAAAAACAAAAATGAACTTTTTCAAAGTCAAGGACAGCAAAAATTGCCTAGAAAGAAGACCAATTTCTTTGATAAAATAATCATTTAAGAGAAAACAACTTTCTGAACTCGAGGCCTGTCCTAAACAGTTTAGGAACAATAAATTTAAGTGTACATTGTGTCAAGGGCAAAGAAAAATTATTTTTGCCAGTTAATAGTCAACAAGATTACACACACGCTACAAATTAAAACCTAGTCAGCCCTAAAGAAGCTTTACGCATAGCAAAACAACTTTGTAAAATCAAGGATATAAGCATTATAAAAAACTAAAAACCTATTACTATACAAATTAAAAAACAATTTTTTGACCTCATGATTTATCTGACTCTAAGCAAGAAAAACCTATGGAGTCAAGGTTGTTAGGAATTTATTTATAATGTAACAGCGATGAAATGACCATAGTAATTAAGAATAGAGGGGGAACATTGTCAAGTTTAAGACAAGAAAAAAAAACTTTCTTGAGACAAGGTCAAATTTTGGCGCTTGATAAAAACAAATTAAAAACAACTTTCTTGTTTCGCGGTCATTATTTTGAAATCAATTATAAGAATTGATAAGAATTCAAAAAAGAAAGAAATCAATTATAAGAATATTATAATCAATAAAAGAATTATAATAAAAAATTAAATTTTTGGACTGAAGGTTTTTTGAGTCTAAGCAGTCTAATGATTGGAAAAACAACAAAGTGGAAAAATCAATTTCTGGATGAAATATCAACTTTTACAGGTTGTAAAACACAAATAAACAACGGTTTTATGAAAAGACAGACATCTTTGCGAAGTCAAGGACGCACACTAAATTAAGTTTAAAAAAAAATTCATTTAGCAGTTAATAAACACATTAAAAAACTTTTTTAGAAAAAAGCCTTTTTAAACTTTCAAAAGTCCTATGATTGGGATTGGATTTTAGAATCCACTTTTTCAGGTTAAAAAAAAAATTCTGGCTTCAAGGTCGTTCGTAAACAGTTTTATGAAAACAAAAACATCTTTGTGAAGTCCAGGACAAACTAAATTTTAAAAAAAATTGGATATATAGTCAATTAGTAGTTAATAAACACAAATTAGAAAATCAACTTTTTGACCAAAAGGACTTTTAACTTTAAACAGTCCTATTATTGGAAGCACAACAAAGTGGTTTAAAAAGAAAACCCTAATCTATTATAAGTATAGAAAAAATTTTGAAGGTTAAGACATACAAAATAAAATACAACAAAGCAGTTTAAAAAGTAAGATCTAGACAGTTTTAATAATAGAAAAGAAAAAATAATATGAAGTTCAAGCAACTATCTGGGTAAAAGATCAACTTTTTTTTTGGTTGATAAACACAGATAAAAAAATTCTTGCTTCCAGGTCATTCCTATAAAGTTTTATGAAAAGAAAAACATCTTCGTGAAGTCAAGGACACATTAAATAAAATACCTATAAACAATAACATAAAGGCAAGCAGTAGTTAATAAACGCAAAATAAAAAATCAACTCGTTTGGCTGAAAGGCCTATTGATTTTAAATCCTATGATTGAAAGCACAACGAAGTGATTTAAAAAGTGAAACCTAGTCGGTTTTAAGAATAGAAAAGGAAAAACAATAGAAATGATGGATGGTGGCGTGAGTATGTCGATTCACTTTTGCTAAATGATAGTTCTACCCATGGAATTATTGTTTATAACTTGTAAACAAAAAATATGTGGGTAGAACCATCCTTTACAAACAGTAAAAACAGAAAAAACAATGTGAAGTTTAAGATAAGCAAAAGAAAATATCCACTTTTACAGGTTGATAAACACAGATTTAAAAAAAACTTTCTTGCTTCAAGGTCGTTCCTAAACAGTTTCATGAAAACAAAAACATCTTTGTGAAGTCAAGGACACACAAAATTTAAAAAAAGTTGGATATAAAGTCAATTAGTAGTTAATAAACACAAATTAGAAAATCAACTTTTTGACTTTAAACAGGACTATTATTGGAAGCACAAAAAAAGTGGTTTAAAAAGAAAACCCTAATCTATTTTATGTATAGAAAAATTTTGAAGTTCAAGACATGCAAAATAAAACTTTCTGGATAATATATCCACTTTTACAGGTTGGTAAACACAGATTTAAAAAAACTTTCTTGCTTCAAGGTCATTCCTAAACAGTGTTATGAAAACAAAAAAATCTTTGTGAAGTCAAGGACACACTAAATTTTAAAAAAAAGTTGGATATAAAGTCAAGTAGTAGTTAATAAACACAAATTAGGAAATCAACTTTTTGCTTTAAACAGTCGTATTATTGGAAACACAACAAAGTGGTTTAAAAAGAAAACCCTAATCTGATTTAGAATAGAAAAAAGTTCAAGACATGCAAAATAAAAAATTCTGGATAAAATATCAGCTTTTACTGGTTGATAATCACAAAAAAAACCGCTTTCTTGCTTTAAGGTTGGTCCTAAACAGTTTTATGAAAATAAAAGCATCTTTTTGAAATCACAGAGACAAAAAGTAATGTCCGTACCAGGTCAACTCATCAGTGTGTAATGAAATAAACACAAATAAATAACTGCTTTCTTCTCTTAGTCGGCTATAAATAGTTTATGTGAAATTTACCATCAAAAATCATCTATTATTAACTAATTACCAGGTCCTCGCTTAAGCGTATTGATTTAATTTAAATTTGCTAAATAACTCTCCTTAAAAGTGTAGATATACACGGTTAATAAAATCTAGGTATTAAAATAAAAATCAATGATTATGACATTTCATTAGAATTTTTGTTAAATTAAAGAACAATGGAAATTTAAATGTCAAAATTACTGAACTGATCAAATTTAAGCATTTTCCTTCTTTAAAATTAAGATTAACTGTTTTGCTCGTCTATTTCTTTTTATTATTGTTTTAACTTCATTGATTACATTTAACATTGGTAAGCATCTGCTAAATTCACACAAATAAATAGAATTTTTTATTATTGTAATACCTGCAGCTGCCGCTATCTAATCATAAAAATTAAAAGCTAGCATTTCATCGTTTACAAATTGACAAAATCCAAGTCGGTAATGAAGAATTTATATCTGGTTTTTACACCACACTGTGATGTATTATGGGGATGGAAGGAAAAAAAAATGATACTGAGGTAGTTCGAAAGTTGAACTTTGAGAAAAGCAGTCAAAGTGTCTAGAAGCTCCTTATGATAGAAGCAAGTCAACGGTTCAAAGAATATGTGCTCATTTTTCAAATTCGACTAGTACAGAAATTAAAAAAAATAAAAAAAATAGTGGGCAATAAAATCTGCCTTGAAATAGCGTAGGGTGAACTTGTTACTCGACCATAATTATGCTGTGATAATATACCTATCCAATAGTGCGGACAGTGAAATATTGAAATATTTCTTTTAGCCAAATAGGTTAGAATAACCAGATGACAGGCAAACTGCTACGCTGTGCTGGACTTTAAAATCTGCCTCAGCACATTTAGCCTGCCAATGACTTGTTTCATAAAACCAGTGGACCTTAGTCAATTTCAGTTTCTTAAAGTAGAAACAGCATCCAGCAACATGGAGATTGGGAAAAATTTATTAACACAAAGTAACAATTATCATAGAAATTCCATCACAGTCGGTTTTATGTATCGTTAAGTAGTATTTCACGATAATCATTTTTGCAATCATATCCATGTATAAATTTTCAGGTGTAAAACTTGTAAAATTGTTTCACATGAATTTGTGGTGGAGGAATCTTCTTTGTAAAAATTTCCAGCTTTATTGTTTTAAACCATTATTTGAAATTTAAAAAAAAAATTATCAGTTTAACCTGGTTCACATTATGTCAACACTGATTAGACATTATTTTTCGCAATTGTGATGTAATTTCAACAAATTCTCCATTAGAGACTTGGTTATTTTATAATATGTCCAACAAGATAGCGGCAACTTTTAATTTGAACGATGACCTGAAGAGTGCCGAAGTTCCTCGCTGTGAAGTTCTTAGAGTTTGAAAGAGGGAGAGAAAAAAAATCCAAAAGCAAATCTGTGATTAAGACAATATCGTTTTTCCCCATTTACGTGGGTTTGACTTAGAAAATCCTTGCGGAGGATTTTCAACCTTTCGCTCTTACAATCATACAGGTTGGGGTCTTTGTTTTCGTTCATTTCATACGGGGGGGAAAAACGATGATAAAGCCTTATGTTGGTCTAAATAAAAAGTTCCTACCTTGTCCATCACCATCATCGCGCAGCAAATCAGCTGAAACAAACAATACAACTGTTAGTCCAATCAAAAATAAACAAGAAAAAAAGCTGAAAAATGATAATTTATACTTACTGTGATGGTTGCTTTCCGTTTTCTCGAAATCGCTGTCGGCCATTTCTGCACTGTGGTCCTCGCCGGCACTGCCGTAACTATCTTTGCCCTGCGAGCAGGAGTCCTTTTTAGCAACGATTCCCTTGATTTGGAGGAGGTTCGCACCGTGTATGAAATCTTCGAGCTCATTATGGGCTATGGTCACCTCGCCCTGGTAACAGAAGCGAACGATCGACTGGAGGACCGAAAATTTGAGATCGGTGTAAACTACAGGGTGGAAATCGAGGGAGTACTGAGAAAGGACATCCTGAAAAATACAAAAAAAATTTCTTCAATATTTTTTAAGAGGAATTTAGCTATACTCTACCTAATGACAAATTTATCTTATAAAACTTTGTATGTCTTACAAGTCTAAATATAAAATAAGATATACCACACGCCACCCCTATTTTGTTGGATATTTTATAATGGCTTATCTAAAACTAATAAAAACATTTGTTTACAGATAAACTGTTAAATATCTTCTTTGTATTATATTCTGGATGTTTGTGTGTCAGATTAAGGTAGAATAACATCAATATTTACATGAGATCAAAATATAGACCACTCCCAGCTTTCGTACTTTTGTGCATTTAATTCTAATTTTCTACTTACTAAATTTCCATTAATTACTATAGTTTGTTTGTTGTTTATGTTTAATCACACAATTGCCAAGAGGCAAAGTGATGTTATTAAAGAATAAATAGACTGTAATTAAAACAATAATCGAAAGAAATTTGAAAATTTGAAAAATCATTTGAACTTTATTTATACACGCTTTAATTTTGATAGTTCCAATGGATTTTGATACTTTAATCATGACTTATGAAAAGAAAAACCATATTGTACATTAATAAAACCAGATTGACAATATAAACAAATATATTTTTTAAAAATTTTTAGAGCTTAACTTTTTTATATAAGTTACCTAATTATTTTCTAGCAATGGATGATGAAGAAATAAATTTTATGACAAGTCTAATAATTAATTTGTACCCCTAAAACTGTAACACTATAAAACTCAAAAATTCTGTGACATTTATTTTTATTCTAGCAAAACGATATTGATATTTAACTATCAATGTTAGTCAATGGTAATAAATTAAATAACGAGTCTAATTTTACCAACCGACAGTCCAAAATATGATGTCAAACATGAGTTGGTTCCATTCAAATCCAGCCCTTCTCTGAGAAAGCCCTTAAATTGCTTAATGTCTCAATTTCACGAATTGAAACTACTCGGATAGATTGGAAACCAGTCTGTCCATAAATAACAACATATTTCAGCTTATTTACAGGCCATTTCTCTCACACAGGAAATTATTTTTGATCATACCATATTCATTTATGAAAAACTGAAAAATTAAGCAGAAGTAGAATTTTTCTTATAAACATTGTGACTGGAAAAGCCATGGAAACATCTTTCGCCTTCTTCGCTCTAAAACTACGTGCGTCCACTTTTGCAGAGTGAGGAAGGCCCAGAGCCTTCTACATCTCTGCTGAGGGGCGCTGGGATACGATACGTACAGTCGGTGATGTTCTTCAACCTCACGTTTGATTAAAAATTAAGATGACAACTGCACAATGCTACCATCGAGGAGAAGGGAAGAAAAATTGTGGCCTGTGCTGAGAGCCGGGAGTGCTACTGATTGAAATTCACAGAGAGCGGCTTATCCTCAGCCACGCGGCAGAGTTCCTTGCCAAACCTAAGCATGCAATCCTAAGATGCCAGGACAGTAGAATACAAGAGTGACTTCTGACTTGGCATGACCCCTGGCAATACGCTTCTCGGTGAAGCCTTAAGGCAGGGATGACACGAAATGGTACTCAAGCTGGGCACCGGCTGTCTCTGCCCTGGATCCTGTCAGTCAGGACGATCCCATCATAAGGTCTTTACCAAGCTAAGTTCTTGCACTGATTTTTGCCTTGTCTTCACAGATGGGTCTACATAATAGTGTATTAAGAGCAAAATCAAATATTAGGTTGCCTGTAAAATAACGGAGGTTTTCGTGTTTTCTTGCAATTACCTTCTATAAATAAACTGTTTCCCTTTGATAGACTATTCTTTTGTACAAATGTAAACACTTTTTAATCCTCTTCCAAACAAAAATATTTTCTTTCCTCAGTAGCATTTCATTACGTTGGAATAATTCAGTCTTTACTGAGATGTCAACAGGTCATTTTCGCCTAGTTCGTAACAGTGCCCAAACAGCCAGAAACGTCAATGAAGTCTTGGGCAATGGGAGTGTGAGTGAGAGCACCGTTCAGAGATGGTTTAAAAATTTTTAGGACAATTTAGCCTTGAAGGTAAAGAAGGTCGTGGAAGGATTTCTTCCCTGGATGATGTTCTGCGAGCTTTGGTCAAAGAAAATCCCAGAACAATTGTTCGAAAACTTGCATATACCACCTTAAGGCAATTGGAAAGGCAAAGCAGCTCAAAAGTTGGGTTCCTCATGTATTAAACGACCGCCACAAAAAAAAAAAAATCATCACTAAGAGTTTAAAAAGTAATTAAAAATCATCAATCATCACTAAGAAGTTAGTGCCTAGTGCCACACTTTGCCGAAACAGAAACAAACCTTGAACCACATAACAGTGGCTCGACAAAGGAGAAGCAACACCACATTTTCCGAAGGCCAACTCATTTTAAAAAAATCACTTTTTGGTTGGCTTTATGTGATCTGATTTACTTCAGCTTTTTGAATCCTGGCGAAACAATCAATGCTGAAATGTATTGCTCTCAAATTGAAGCAAAGAACCAGAAATAGGCATCATTGAAAACATTTTTGATCAATTGGAAAAAGGCGATTCTGTGCACGACGATGCTCGGCCCCACGTCTCACATATGACAACACAAAAACTGTTGGATCTTGGTCACGAGGTTCTGACTCCCCCTCCCTATTATATGTATGTATATGTATCATATGTAAATGCGATTACAAAATTTGTTAATAATAAAGGCTAAAAATTCTGCTAAGAAGTTGTAGAGAATAAAAAATGTTTAAAATCACATATTTAATTGTTTGTATTTTTTATATATAAGCCTGCATTATTTACTTGACCACTCAACATACTGTTAATTAAAATTTTGAACTCCCACTAAACGATTTTCTAGTCATAATTAACTATCATATCATAATTAAATATTTTTTATTAAAACTCGTGAATTTCTGATCTCATTATATTTGATTCACATTAAAATAAGTATGTTGTAATTCATTAACTTAATGATAAAAATACCTACTTATTGTTGGAAATAAACAATAAAATACGATACAAAGAAACAATAAGTAATGCATATGTGCTCAATATAATGAATAGATAAAGAGATGAGACAATGTCAAAAAGGGTTCTATGATTTTTCAGTGTGTTGACTCAGGTTGGGAAACAAACAAGTTACCCATCGAATAAGCTAATTTCACATTCGGCTAATTGTAACTGTCTGGCAAAAGGTAAAAAACCTTATTAGTCCTTAATTAGACGTAACAATATTGGTTTGGTTTTTAAACTCATAAAGGGTCACACGGTTGTAAAATTGACTCCTTTTAATTATCTATCAGTTTAGTAGTATGAAGGATTTTCATTTTAGAACATTTTCAAGGTACTAAAATTGCCATCAAATTAAACTACTAAGTACGATGGAATCTAATTTTGGTCATTTCTAATAAAGAAAAGTTTATTTTAAAGTTTAAAAAATAAATTGTTAGATGTAAACTTTTTGTAAATTTATAAAATAGTAAAATATCAGAAAAGTTACAGGTTTTCAAGAATGGCAATGAATACCGAGACATGCAGTGACCAACACAATTGCACTTGTTGCATTTTAAACCTTAAAAAAGTGCAATGATGATTCATGTTTTAATCATTGCACATGATCATCATGATTTGACACCCTTGGAAATTTAAGTAGACTAAATTCACCATAATTCAAAAAATTCCAACCGATTAAGTATTTACAAAAAGGACCACTGGAAAACCATATTATATTGATTGCTATTGATACCGATGTAAATAATGTGCAAAGATAAAATCTCCACAATTTTCATGAGAATCGGAGAACATTTCAAGAAACCGACTCATTTTGCGGCCATTTATTGTGCTACAGGTATTCCTGATTACAAAACCTCACGAATATGAACATAAGATTGAAATTTTGGATACTTTTTGGGCTAAAAGTATTGCTTAATTATGGATTATTGTTATAAAACGGAAAAAAATTTACGATAACAAAAAATCATTTTGAACAGTTTTATCGAGTTAGTCTTCTTAAATTTTCAAGGTATCAAATCATGACCAACCTGACTCTCTTTAATGACCCGAAAACATAGTTATCTACAATTTTCCACCTTAGGCAAAGTTAAAATGTCAACAATTTTCAAGAAGAATAGAGGACATTTTAACATACCAACTTATTTATTTGGCTGTGTCAAACTGTACTTCAGTTTGCTCTCAACTTACCACTCGTATTCCTAGTTTTCAATTTTAAGAACAAAATATTGTTTAATTACCACTTGGCTAAGATGGGAAATTGTGGTTAATAATGATTTAAAGTGATTCAAGTCTCAGGTACAACGGTCATATTTGATACCCTTGAAAATTTAAGTGGACTAAAGTAAATTCATTCTGTACATTTCAAAAACTTTCACCTGATTAAATATTTACACGAAGGAACACTGGAAAATCATATTTTATTGGTTGCTATTAATATCAATGTAATTAATAGGCAAAGATAAAAGGTTAGGAATTTTCATAAGTAATGAAGATATTTTAATGAACTGACTCATGTCATATTAATCTATTTTGCAGTTTGCTCTTTTTGATATTAAAAGCATATAATATCTTAATTGCAATTTGGCTAAGATATAAAATAGAGATAATAGTAGATAACTATGTTTTTGTGTCATTCAAGTCTCAGGCACACCGGCCACGATTTGGTGCCCTAGAAAACTTAAGCAGACTAAAGTAAACTTTGTTCCTTTTACAAAAAGAAATACTCGAAAACCATATATTATAAATTGTTATTGATGTCAATGTAATAGGCAAATGGAACAGGTCAGCAAATTTCATAAGAATCAAAGAATTTTAAGGAACAGACGCACGTTGTGCTCATCTATATTTTCCTTTGCTCTGAAATTAACACTTGTCTTCATTCTTTTTGATATTAAAAACATAAAATATCTTAATTGCAATTTGACTAAGGTAAAAAAATTGTACATAACTATGTTTTTGGGTCATTAAAGTCTCAGGTACACAGGACATGATTTGGTG